TCACTAGGTGCTTCCAGCGATATCTCACAGTATTGGATCATTCTCGATTTGTCTGGTACAAAGAGAGTTGAAATAAGACATTAAAAAAAGCCAAACTCACAGCTTCATACCTAAAATCGACAAAATGGCTCCAAGCATCGCTACCGTTCTCACCTCTCTCCTCGCCCTTGCCCCGTTGGGAGCAGTCGCAAGTCCTCTGAATTTATGGCGACCTTCTGCACCTGCGACGACATCAGATTCCTCAGCTTCTTCAGACATTTCAGACGTCGGTAAATTAATAGGTGACACTATAACCAACGCTGTAGCAGCCTTTGTCAGCAACCCGGGTGCAAAAGATGTAGTTCCCAATTCATACATCGTCGTCTACCACAAAAACTATACCGATGATGAAATCGACCAACACCAAGCGTCTGTTAAGGTGGCCGTCAAGAAGCGTAACCTGAACAAGCGTGGACTTGCCGGTCAGCTCCTCTCCACAAGAGTCCGTACATTCGCCATGTCAGGCTGGCGTGCTATGGCCCTAGACTCGGACGATCTCATGATGAGTGAGATGAACAACTTGTCTATGGTCAAGTACGTCGAGGCCAACACCTATGTCAAGTCCTCCCGCCTCGTGAACCAGAAAAACGCACCTACTGGTCTGGTCCGTCTAAGCCATGCTGATGCTGGCGGAGAGGGTTACGTGTTTGATGATGCAGCTGCTGGCGAGGGTATCACGGCGTACATTGTTGATACCGGTATTATGGTAACGCACGAAGATTTCCAAGGACGAGCTGTTATGGGTTTCAATGCCGTCGAGGAAGAAGAGGTACACTATTAACCCCCATCCCCCCCTTCTATAACACTAGTTTTAGCATGGCATTATAGCAATCGCAGGACTCGGGCTAACAGTATAGCTATAGGCTACGGATTTGAACGGTCACGGTTCTCACGTAGCAGGTACGGTCGGCGGTGCTACCTTTGGAGTGGCGAAGAACGTGCAGTTGGTTGGCGTCAAGGTCCTAGACGCCCAAGGTGGTGGTACTAACGCCGATGTGATCGACGGTCTCAACTTCGTTGGTTCGGATGCTAAGAAGGGAAAGTCTGTGATGAACATGTCTCTTGGTGGACCCGCTTCTCAGGCCGTTAACGACGCCATCGAGCGCCTCTTTTCCAATGGTGTTGTTCCGGTTGTCGCCGCCGGAAATGAGGCTCAGGATGCCACCAACGTCTCCCCCGCAAGCAGCCCCAATGCTATCACTGTCGGTGCCATCGATCAGACCAACGACCGACGCGCTAGCTTCAGCAACTTCGGTAGCTTTGTCGATGTCTATGCTCCTGGTGTTGACGTCGAGAGTGTCGGTATTTCTAGCAACGACGCTACTGAGACACTGAGCGGTACTTCCATGGGTATGCTCCCCCTCTAATTCCTAGTCAATATAGGATCAATATCTAACGAAGATTATAGCATCCCCGCATATCGCCGGTCTCGCGGCTTATCTTATGTCTCTAGAGGGCCTCACTGATGCTACTGCCGTCTCAGACCGTATCAAGGAACTGGGTGCTGCTACAGGTGCCACTGTCGGACGGAATGTCAGGGGCACCACCAATGTCATCGCCAACAACGGCAACCTATAATTCAGTGCTTGATGTTCTACACGTCTGATGAGTCACAGAGTGCTTCGATTCAAAATTAGAGGACCTCACCCTATCGCTTTCTACACGTACCTCATCCCAGCACACATTGTTATCAGCATCTAGCGAAGCATGAATTCAATACTACATATAGCGATTTTTAACCAGAGGCGAACGTTGGGCCTTGTTTATACTCATTTTTATTTCTCATCTGGGAAGGATATATACGTGTAGATGGCGTAGCGAGATGTTATGCTTCAAATAGATGAGACACCATGCATTATAGAGAAGATGACAGATATTCTACGGACGAGTTAGCGGTTCAAGCGATTTCTTGTCGCTGGACCAATATTGTGTATATTTGGGCCGGTAGATATTCTATCAGTATATAATCAACTTCAGCCATAAATATTGTTCACTTACTATGGTTATATGGGTAAGTTTAAGAAGTGGGCTAGGTATTGTGGCCTGTGCTGCACCCATTACAGTATAGCGCCGCTCTATATAAATATAATGGTATAAAATCAGTTTTTGGCTTATTTAATTTAATCTAATAAAATATTTAGATTTTAAACTATTAGAAAATAATTTTAGTATTTTTTATTATTAAAAAAGCTGTTGTTTTGGTTGAAAAAATGGTAATATTTAATGTAAGTATCTTGATGTACCTGCTTGTCCTGTCCTTGTCCGCCACAGCCACAAATACTAGGCCCACTCGTTAAACTTTGGCCTGTAACCATAGTAGGTTTCTCCAGTATGATATTAGTGAAATGATTCATTACCCCTTTATAATCTGTAACAGAGCTACTATAACGCATCTTACAAGCAATAATTTCGAGACTTTGGAAAAGCGGACGTTACTCGGCTTGTGGATATCACGGTAAGCGATGGTAATATATAATACGAGCCCGCGCAGTCCCGACCCTCAAAGCCGCTGCCGCCAAGCAACTCTCGGGGCTTACGCAATACGTCGCGGGACGTGAGACAGAATATGGAAGCCAAGATGTTAGTTTCTAATGGGCCTGAGACTGTTGAGGATGAAACATATCTTGGCAAGCCCACCGCCAGCGTCTCGAACATATTCCACCAATCAGTTATTTTACTATCCATATCCTAGGAACAGATCGTGAGACAAGCCTTACCATCACAGTGTCGTGTTCGTCGTGGTAAGCTTGTGTATCGGTGTTTATTTATTTGCCTTATGGAGGCTTACGTCGGCTGCGTTCGCGGCTAGTTAGAAATCGCTGTCGGATCATCATGAACAAGATGTTGTGTCAAGTGGTTAGTATTGGGACCTATAGTAAACACCAGGACTAATACACGTATGTACACATATGTAGTTAATGCCTTCTAATATCCCCCGTCTTCTTTTGGCACGTATCTCCGAGGTATAATTCAAGGACAACCTATCGTGACATCGTGTACCTGACCTAGACAGCATATCTAATAGGAAACCCAATCGCACATAACGTAATGGCTGGTTAGGTAGGTATCTATTACTTCAAACGCCACGGACGCAATACTACAAATGGCTCTTCTTAACCTTCTTCGGTCTTAAATCCTTCAAGTACATCTTGAAGCGATCCATTGGTTGCGTCGGGTGGTTCCCCGTGACGTCTTTGTGTACGAGGCTGTAGTACTCGAAGAGGTACTCCTTCTCCAACTCGTCGACCTCGGAGGCTTGTGCCTTAAGGACTTTTCTTGCTCTTCGGTAGTTGGCGTGTTTAGTTGAATTTTTGGTGTATGCGAAGAAGAAGACGGGGGACAGATATGAATTAATAGATTGGATATGGGAGAGAGAGCTTACGGAGGGATATCTTTGAATTTCACCAGGCTGCCGTGGTGAGTTCTTCGCCCGCGCATAGTTCTGGACCTGGGTTGTCCAATATTTTTAGTCCTCCTTGCTCGAGTTGACTATACGGCGAAGTCGTCCGTGACAAGACTTACTAGTAACGATCATCATCTGACCGCAGTGTCCATCGTCGAAGCCGTGCGGTCCTTTGCTCGATAACCCGTGGGCGATGACCTGAGCTACATCCCATACGACATTTATTATACCCGAGCAAAAGGGATATTCATAGTATTAGGATTCATACGCCGAGAGCTACTGGGACAAACTTATGTTCTTTCCAAAGGGCAGCGGGAGACTACCCTCAGACTATACTTGCGGCGCATAGCAATATGTTCTCGGCATAGAAACCCGCTCTGTCTTCTACGTCAGTGCAACGGTATGCCGCGATGAGCACACACACCTACTACCTGATCATGCAGGATGAATGTCTAAGCGGAGCTGACGGATCACCTCTAGAAGATAGGACTGGACTCAAGCTCGATGAACTCCCTCAGACGAGACTAATGTTTCGGATCCGCGTAGTCGACACCTATAGAATTGATGAGCAACACGTCCCGTATGCCAATCTTCTTTACGGCCTAGACTAGTTCGATGCAAATATCATAGTTATCCTTATGCGCCGGCGGAATCAAATAGGTAGTATCGCAATCCGTCTCCTTTGAGCGTATTCGCCATGACCTTCTCTCGCCCGGGAACATGATGAACAATTTTAGCATCGAGCGATTGTAGTTCCTCTACACAATGGTGTTGAGGGTATAGTGTTTTGGCCCACCACCAAATCGGTTGAGGGATTTAGTAGGTTACAGACTTAATTACTATTGTAGATAGTAATTTAGGTGGAAATAGTAATATCTTATATTAGTTGAGGAATACTAAAGCCGAATATTAGGATGCCGAATTATAGCCCGATCGTTAGTGTCATTGTGCATCATGCATCATGACACGGGGTTAACCAGTAGAAGAATTATTATTATTCACGTTCTAGCTGTATCACTACTAAGGTTTTGCTCTATTAATCTCCCCCGCGACAAGACATAATACCAAGGGAATACTTCTATCTAGTTATATTAAACTCTATTAAAGGTATTGGGTGGTATTTTGTTGACGATCCACGACGGGGAACCCTATCTTGGAATTGATCAGGTTCAAAGCCCGCCGTGTGCCTACGAATCGCAATGGACCCGGTACTCCTCGCCATAAATTTCAATATCAGCACTTCTCGGCACAGCCACAATCATTGAGAAAGACTGGACTGTAATTTGACATCCGTGCTTGTTGCTCCTCGCCTCCTAGATTGTTCCTGTATGAGGGCATTGGGCATCTCGTACAATGAAAAAAAAAAAACATGCATCAGTTACAATATTAGTATATGTATTAGTAAGGATTATAAAGAGGATACTTCATCATCTCGTAGCATGATCTGTCACGCCTTTCTGCATTAAACGTGATACAATAAACGGCGATCCTCCAAAGTCCTGCCAGTGCCACTTACGTTATCATACACCTTTCGGCGTCATGTTGGCTAATATGCCCGTTATAACTCCTCGTGAGCTAGTTGTGTCGTGGTTGTCGTAACTGTCGCCTTGGCCGCATCTCTTAAACTAGATGCGGCTGATTTATCGAATATCACGTCAAACCTCGCTCCCATATACCACGCCAAACCAAGCTATTCGCATTTTGTTAGTTTAACTCTACCAATCGGGACTTACGTGGGTGTATCACGTACCATCAGACCGGAAACTAATAGAAGCACGAATACAACAGATCCGACCAATAATAAGGCTTCCCAGAAATCATTCGAGGCAGCGTCTTGTACCTCGCCCTCCGCTTCCTGCACAGCCTGCAGCTTCTTTGCGTCTTGTGTTGGGAATAGAGTTTCAATGAATTGCTCAATCTGTTCAGGTTGGGTCAGCGATAATTAGCTCTAGCGATGAGAATATGAAAAGACGGCTTACCTTGCCACAAGCCACGCTTATCTCAAGGTAGTGAGGGTCTCTTGGGTCGTTCTTCTTCGCTATCCTCCTTGCATATCCCTTGAATACTTCGCAAACGACTCGCAGATTTTGCGTTGATTGCATCATTAGGTTGCAAGCGTCACCCTTTGTTATCTTAATGTGACTATAGAAGATCTTAGGATTCTGAAAAACGAGCTCGAGGGTGGCGATAGCCATGGTCTGTGGAATTGCGACGAAGTTGAAAACGCTCTGCTCCTTGATACCAGCCATATAAAATAGACATTCATCAGCATGCTTTAAAGCGTTGAGAACCATCTCAGAACTGCACTGAAGAGCCTGCGTACGGTACTTTGGGTTGAATAAATCATCCCAGTTGTCAACATACTTGCTCCAGACGTCCTTAGGCCAGAACCTGCGCTTGTCTTCGAAATCCTCGTGCACATCACGGATGATATTGGTCTTTTGTAAGAATTGGCCCATGCTCTCAGACAGCTCCATGCGGTCGAGTAGAGCGGGGTTCGCCGTATTGCCTTGTACGAAGATGCGAGTTAAGCCCTCCCCGACCAAACCAGCAACATAATGACAGTATTCCTCATACTGCTCAAGCGACTTGACACCTTCTTGGAACTCAGCGTTCACGGCGTAGTCAGCCATACCATTACCCATCTTAATGGTAATATCTTCGATGATATCATAGTACTTCTTGTCGATCTTCCTCATCTCTGCGATCACATCGTCGAAGTGAACGAGGAGCTCACGATCCTTCTCATTAGGGCCGTTCCCATTGAAGTTCCAGCCATCAACTTTCAAGTACTTGTCGAAGTCGCGTAACATGGGCTCTTTTGTCTTTAGCGGAATGGTCATGTCATCCTCGATGGTGTCCAATCCCCTCAGCACGAGATAAAACAGAGCGATAGGGACCAGCATTTCAGGTTGTAGCTCTTGAATGACAGTGGAAAAGCTGCGGCTAGTCATGTTCAGGAAGTGAAAACATGATCGTAGAGTGGGCGCCTCTTTGGCGGGATCACGCCTATGAACCGGCTCATGCCAAACTTTCCTACAAAGTAAAAGTTTGAGTTAGTGAAATGAATATTAGATAGGATAGGTGACGAATAGGAGTGATCCTACCATTGTACGATGGACCGTAACTGGTTTGGGTGGAATAGGTAATACAGAACCTCGCCGAGGCCACCCATTTTTGCAGTTGGATGGATCTATTAAGCAGCGGTATATGGGAGAATAATGTGAGAGTGGTTAAAGGGGGAGGTGTCGGTGTGAATAGACCGGGTATAAAACTTCGGAATGAACACAACGAGATAGTGAAAGAGTGGTAATGAAACGAGAGCAATAGTGTTTAGGACAACATTGCGAAATGAATTATTATTATAATAGTAGACTAGATATATTAATGATCGGGACGGAAACGGCGTTTTGGTATGAAAATGAAGTGTATGTGTTTTCTAGAAAATCAAGTTTACTTTTTCACTTTTTGGGACTGACAGTATGTGGAAAAAGATTGCCGGGAAGAAACCAAAAAGTCCGTCCCCACATCCAATTTCGAAGATCCCAGCAATTGGGAATAGCGAATCAGAGCACGAATTTGTCAGCTCACTAGAAGAAGCGAGGCGACAAGCTCAGGTCTGTCTGGACTTTGCTGAAAAAAAAAAGGGACTTAGCTCAGGGCATCTAGTTGGGAACACTCCACTGCGGGGTATGAGCGCCGAGTTTATTGGACTAATGGACTAGTGGATTTGGTAGTGGGTGCATACTTCGTACATGTACCTTATATACCTACAAATACATTTTTCCAAGTTGAAAAGAAAGGAGGTTATTTTTTAACTTAACTGTTACATACATATCTAATGTAGTATTTGTACGTGCGCCAGTACTTCAGCTACTATGTATAAACTAGGTATACAGGGACGCTCATGTACCTAATGTACAAGGCGCCACGCCGTTACCGTAAGTCTCCCCTATAGGGCGTTGGTAGGTATACATATGTACATATATTCTCCAATTCTGCATTTATATTTACCCAATAATTAGTTGTACATATACCTAGATCTTGATTGTGGGGGCGGTAGATAATGAACTCGGTATGGATTTGGTGGCTTATGAAACGGGTGTGCTACTGCACTGTTATACTATTGCAGAATAAGACTACGATATAAGAGGTTGAAATCCCGGAAATCGAGATTCCATATGCACAATTCATTACCTATGAAATTTATACATACAGATACGTCCGAATGAAACCTTTTCTAACGTTGCCGATCAGCCGGAAAGTTTGGGCGCACACACCCGCGTACCGGACCCGACGTACATCACCAAGACAATTTTGCCCCTCCTACTTCGTAAAACTTCTGAAAGCAGTAATTGTACAATTGCTAGAAGGGGTAGTGACGACCCCTAATCAGTACTGCCTGTATACCGTACTTATCGTACCTATATTAACTTAATAACTTAATACTGTAACTTCTAATTCTTGCAAAAACAAGAAGCTGCGATTAATAATTGATAGTTAAACTATAAATTTCCTAGTTCATCTACTTGTTAACATTATATCATCCTTTTTACTTTTCTCATTTATCGTCGCAAAACTCCCCACTACTCCTTAATTCTCACGACGCTTCAGGTTCAAGGGGTGTTGTCTCCCTGCCCCCCTGTCTACGTGTCTTTTATATCAACTACACCGATCCGGAACTTCAACGCCGAAGAGTAGTATATCGGCTATGGCGACGGCCAATGGAACCAGAGAAAACAGATTCCTTATTTGGGGCGGTAGGGGATGGATTGCGGGTCACCTCGAGAAGCTTCTCAAAAGTCAAGGCAAGGAAGTCTTCAGAACCACCATCCGTATGGAAGATCGTGCGGCCGTGAAGGCAGAGTTAGATGCAATCAAACCTACTCACGTACTAAACTGTGCGGGGTGTACTGGCCGTCCCAACGTCGATTGGTGCGAAGATCATAAAGAGGACACGATTCGCTCGAATGTTATCGGGACGTTGAACTTAGCCGACTGCTGCTTCCTTGCTGGTATTCACTGTACCGTGTTTGCCACCGGTTGCATCTATCACTACGACGACGCCCACCCGATCGGTGGTCCCGGATTCAAGGAGACGGACCAGACGAATTTCACGGGCAGTTTCTATTCTGAGACCAAGGGCCACGTTGAGGAGGTGAGATGACAGTGTTAACCTATAGCTTGTAGTTCAGGGGAGGTTTGCTTACACGACTCCCAGGTTATAAAATATTACGCAAACTGCTTGATCCTCCGCTTGCGCATGCCGGTGTCAGATGATCTACATCCACGCAACTTCGTCACCAAGATTAGCAAATACGAACGCGTAGTTGATATCCCAAACAGCAACACAATTCTAACCGACCTTCTGCCGGCATCTATCCTGTTGGCAGAACATAAAGACACGGGGGTTTATAACTTCACTAACCCAGGCGCCATTAGCCATAACGAAGTATTAACGCTCTTCAGAGATATAGTGCGTCCGGGCTTCACGTGGAAGAACTTCACCGTGGAGGAGCAAGCCAAGGTGATCAAAGCTGGCCGCAGCAATTGTTTGTTGGACACGGAGAAACTAGAAAAGAAGTTAAAGGAATATGACTACTCGGTGCCCGAGGTCCACCAGGCTTATAGGCAATGTTTTGAGAGAATGAAAGCTGCAGGGGTTAAATGAGCTTGGACGCAAGTCACCTAAACTGATTTGGCGTATGCCACGTGCTGCATACTCTACGCTTTATCGTGTAACTAACGGCGCTACGGGATAGACTTCTTAAATGACTAGTACCTAGATAGTTAGATGATTAGGTATGGAACTGCGCTGACTTGGAATGGTTTATATTAGAGAGAATAGGGGTGACGTTTCGTTATGCCTCGCCATAAGCTGGTCAAGCAAGAAATGCTAAGATTTCTAGAAATAAATAACTAACTCCTACGAGATTGGAACTGTTTAGAATGGCAAGTTTCAAGTTGAAACTTATACAACTTGACACAAGAGTATTATATAAATGAGATATAAATGAGATATAAATGAGATGTAAGTAGGTAGCTTCATAAATGTATACAATAATGTATACACTTATAGACATCTTTAAGTACCTAACCTAAAGCACATGTATCTGATTGAGGTGGGGCAGAACTGGACTCAAAAGTCGACCCCGCCTTGGTATTGGAATGCATGTATGGATGTATATACAGAGAATCTTGTGCTACCTGCACTATCAGATGTCAGCGGACTACTTCTGCCTAAGTACATGTAGTTACTCAAAAATGTGGCGCTAGAACACTGTGCCACAAGCCCTCATAGGCTAACATTCGTCATAGGTACAAGGTATTGTAGCTAATAGTCTTTTTTTTTTCTCTTTCCTTTTTCTTGCTATGAGGTATTCGTTTAATATTCCTTCGTACCTAGTTACCTACCTAGTTACCTAACCTAAGGTATGTGATCGGCTGTATCCTTATCCCATCTCTCTTTAGACATAACTTCCTATATTCATCTGACCTACATCCCCACCTACATATTTCTCCTAATAAAGTTAACAAATCAAGCACCCGAATCATCTCACACTTACCATCCTTTCATCTACCTCATCTCCTTCGAATCCTAACTGCTGACTCGATAACTGCTCTTGCCAGGATTCACGCTATTTAGCGCTTATAGAATCCACCTCGCAACCTAATACTCTATACTCGGACCCCTCGCATTTGTATTTGCATCTGTGACTGACCAGAAGAGAAAGCATGGTGGCGGTAGTAGATACATCATATTATGACGCTCTCGGCGTCCAGCCAACGGCTACCGAGCTTGAGATCAAGAAGGCGTATCGCAAACTTGCTATCGTCCATCATCCAGGTGCGCGCATCCAACCGCGGCCTTATCCGCTCCTACTAACAGACACCGCTTAGACAAGAACCCAAACGATCCAACTGCCCACGAGAAGTTTCAGACCATCGGCGAAGCTTACCAGGTGCTCTCGGACCCCGACCTAAGGAAAGCATACGATAAATATGGAAAAGACAGTGCTAAGCCCACCGAGGGCTTCGTTGACCCCGCTGAGTTCTTTAGTAGTATTTTTGGCGGCGACGCCTTCGTCGACTGGATTGGCGAGATTAGTCTTATGAAGGATCTCACTACTACTATGGATATTACTATGGCAGGCGAGGAGGAAGGAGAGGAGGCAGAATTCCCTGGTACTGAGGAAGCCATACGCGAGAGCGTAAAAACAACTACTACCGATGCTACCGGTACTGCTAGTGCGCCAGCGCCTGCTGTCGTCGTCGAAGAAGAACCTGAAAAGCCAGCTGCCGAAGCACATCACGACGTTTCTGCGGATAAGCCATCGGTACCCTCACGCGGGGCTTCTCCAAGCCCTACTACTTCTGGTTTAGCGACACCCCTTTCTGGCACATCGACACCCTCGAGACATGCGATTCCCATCCGGCCCGCGCTCATGGACCGCCCGTCGGATGATACACAGTTGACAGGACAGACAGAAGAGGAGAGAGAACTACGCAAGAAAGAAAAAAAGAAGGGATTATCTAAAGAGCAACGGGACCAGCTGGCCGCCTTCGAGAGGGAGCGCGCCAAAATTCGACAAGAGCGTGTCGACACTCTCGCCTCAAAGCTTATCGATCGTATATCAGTATGGACAGAGACAGATAAAGGCCCTGACGTCACCAAGGCCTTCCAGGACCAGATCCGTCTTGAGGTGGAAAATCTCAAGATGGAGAGTTTCGGACTCGACATTTTACATGCCATTGGTGCCGTATACATGTCGAAAGCCACAGCACTCCTCAAGTCGCAGAAGTTCCTCGGCATCGGGGGCTTCTTTAGCCGTATGAAGGACAAGGGAACTCTGGTAAAGGAGACCTGGAACACTATATCGTCGGCCATCGACGCTCAGCAAACCATGGAGGAAATGGCGCGTATGGAGCAGGCTGGTGGCGAGGACTGGACCGACGAGAAGAAGGTCGAGTACGAGCGTAGAGTTACTGGAAAAATCCTCACGGCCGCGTGGCGCGGTAGCAAGTTTGAAATCCAGAGCGTGCTACGTGAGGTTTGCGACAGTGTTCTCCATGATAAGAAGGTACCCCTAAATAAGCGTTTAGAGAGAGCAGAGGCGCTTGTTATTATTGCGGATATTTGTCAGAAGGTAAGCGTTGTCCTATCTTACGGCGTCTTAGTTCATTACATTTTCATATTTCTCATGAATTATTTACTAACACCTTTCTAGGCCCAGAGAACAGAGGAGGAAGGCGAGTATATGGCATTCGAGCAACTGGTAGCCGAAGCAGCTATCAAGAAGGAAAAAGAAAAGGACTCGAAGAAGAAGGGAAAAGACAAGGATAACAAGAAGGTCGATGCACACAAGGAATAGTCGTAACAAACCCGTCTTATTTAAGGCTGCGCGCTCTAGAGAAACACTTTATGGGAAGCGATTAGGGGTATATTCGAAATTTAATGGTTCCTGCATGATGACCTTGAAACAAAGATTCAAATTAGTCTGCATAAACACGGCCACGTTATCCAGTCGACGTCGAAATTGAATAGGAGGCAGAAAATTCGGAGAGAACTCGAACTTCCTAAGCTGCTAAAGAGCTCAACGGGGGGAGGATGGATAAGCTGATCCGGGAAGGAGATGGAAGATATCATAGGCAGCTTTTACACTTCATAGACTGGTTTTAGGGAGTCTTCGGCCAGGATGGGATAAAAAGCTCCCCTTAATATTACGAATGCATGCACGCGTCTCTGTGAATGGAGATATAACCCACTCTACTTGTTAGTTTCTAGGATGTTTTTGAAAATGTATTGTGATGCTGAAGAAGTGCTCGTAAACGTAGAGATCGTTAGTTGTTAAAGATTTATAAGTTGCTAATTTTATAAAGCATGCCCCTTCGTAAAATCGGGGTTATTAAACTTGTAGCAAGTATATAAGGAGTCTTCATAATATCCTGATTTTGATATTAAGTAACTAGTTGACAATGGAGACAATAAACTGGAAGGCTGTAGAATACGAATGTAGTAACTAGGTTCAGAATAACGGTAGTCTATGAAGTTGAGTACCTATATGATTAATGTAGACGCCTATCCCCCTTTCTAGAAGCAACTAGGCTAAGTGCAGAAATCAGAGCGTCTGGGTCCATATTCAGAGTTCTGCTACGGCATGACCAGCTAGTCAACTTTAGCAACCCTCACTCCACATCATAACAGAACTGTGATTACAAAAATCACACAAATAAAGCGTAACGCTGTGCCCCAAATTAGGAAGTTCTAAATCATGACAATCCCAACCAAGGCAATATGTGCGGATGTATAGAACTCCTAGTGCTAAACTATTCAATTGTTGCTATCAACCCGCCAACTTTGCTCTTTCGGAGCATATAGGTAGCCTCGCGCACACGGCCTGGAGGCAAATAAGAAATTCATCGGCAAAGTCGACGTCCACGTATGTACATCTCCGGGTGTGGCTACTGATGGAACTTGCGTTCACCTCCTATAGGCGTTTTTGTGACCCCATCTATTTTGGGCGTGTGTAAGTAAGTGCTGGCTCCTTTATTCGTTATTATTTTGGGGTATCATTGAGAGTCGAAAAAGAAAAATAGAGATCTGTCAAGTGATGTGGAGATGGTCTATTGACTCAACGCCTGTCCGTCATAGTTTGTGGGGGTATCCATTGGTGGTACAGTAAAGAATAAAAAAGAACGACAAAAAAGGCTGAAAGACAATTGAATATAAGTCGCCCGGTACAAAAATGGAACTCTGAGGCGCAGCAGTTGGTTGGGTTATATGCTGTGAAGAATCGTATCCAAAATAGAAGGAATCTCGTACCAGTACTGATGTGCTGTAGCTGGGGGGGTATAATAATTTCCAACTCTTATCCTCCGTCAACTTGGAGTTCTATTCCGCTATCCCTATCCTGTCGTTCCGAACCGCCCCAGCTTGCCAAACTGATAGGGCCGTCTAGAAATTTTTCATCGAATTCAATCGTATTATCAGATATACTGTTTGCGGTTGAAGGTCGATCCTCCTCTTCGTCTGGAGCTAATACTCGTCCACCTAGCTCCACGCCGGTGATAGGAACGCGATACTCGAGTGCCTTCTTCCCTTCATTGATGAGTACCTCAGTCCAGTCAAGACATCTTCTAATGCTTTGGTTGATCTTCTGAGAATCAACAAGCAATTGTTGATGCTTTGATAAGTCGAGCTGCAGCCGTTCCTCATCTCGTTTTCGGTGCTTTGCGTCCCGTTCTGCGACGATACTTGGGTCAAGAGATTCGTTCATTGAATCACTGTCGGACAACTCCTCTTCTATATCTTTCTCTTCCTCCTCCTCCTCTTCCGCTCCAGACTTCTCGTCAAGGTCGGAAAGGTCTATTACCCCTATCTCCTGCTCTGAGGTATCTTCCAATGATATCTGACTAGGAACTGCGGTGGATGCAGTGGAAAGTCGACCTGCGCGGGAAAGGCGTTGATACCTTCGTAACTCCGAAGTCTGCTTCCGTAACCGACGCTCAAGAGTTCGGTTAATGGCCTCGAGAGATGCGTTCGTAATCTGTAGATCTTGAACTTTACGTTCACGCCTGGCGTTTGCTACGGACTCGTTCACCGGTTCTGTCGGATTGGCTGGATTGGTGGGACTTTGCAGGCCTGATGGAGCTTCTTCTGGGGATGCGCACTCTTCGTTCTCGGCAAACTCTTCAGCTGCTTGAATTATGGAAGCGAGCGTCAAAGGGGCCGGTGTAGGAGGTACGGTTATAGGAGGAGAGGTTTCGGGTGATATACGAGAGCTCATTGGCTTCGGGGTACTGGAACCATGGTCTAACTTTACTAAGCTTCCCGCACGAGAATGGCCGCCGGGTCTTGATGTACCAGTACTGGACCGGCGGAGTCCGGGGGATGGTGCTAGCTGAGGAGCAGATAATGCCTGTGGACGTCCTGACGATGGAATATTGGCTGTCTTAGACGAAGCTTGCGAGCCCTGGGACGGGAACTTGGCCGGGGAAGCAGGCCTCTGCGCGTGAGTATGGTTACTAGCCGGGGGGTTTGTTGCCGGGCGGCTGGAGGGTGGTCTAGGAGCCGTTGACACCGTCGAACCAGAACTACGGGATACAGGAGGCGTGGGACTAGACCGCGCTTCCGGAGCCCCATTGGCATACATAAATTTGCTGGAAAGACTATCCTGGGAGTGACCGAGGACTGGCGCAAAGGGCACCGGATGAGAGGGCTTGTTCTCTATCGTATTTCCATTGGCATAGAAAAAAGTCGGGCCTTTCGCTTGGACCGGTTTGGAAGAAGATGCCGGGCGAGGAGGTTTGACATCGCTCGCGTGAAAGAACTTAGATTCTAAATTACGGGCAACTTCTTGCTTCCCATAACCGGTCGTGTCTGGGGATACGGAGCCAAAAGAGGCCCCTGACCTTCTCATAGCATCCCCCTCTACCCTCGGGCTCGGTAGGCCGAAGCTGGACCTGTGATCCCAGACATCTGACCTTTCTGGATTGGGTGTACCATTCGGCGTGTTACCAGCACTTTCGACACGAGTTTGTCTCGAACCAGAGCGAGGAGTAACGTTGGTGCTAAGGTGAGATGGGAAGGATGAGTCGTCGAAGTAACTTGAACGATTGGATGGTGCTTCTCGGCTGGTATTGATCGCACTGGGAGTATGTTGACGCCGACCCGCTGGGGTTGCTGCGGCAGATAAAGCGGGAGACTGGGTTCCTGTCTTTGATGCGATCTTAGGGGTTAGGGGATTCCTATTTACGACCCTTGCAGCAGAGGCGCTAAGTGAAGGCATTTGCGATCGGCTCGAATTTGGATTTGGGCTGGCAAGCGGAGGTGAGGATGTATCTAAGGGCATGTTTCCTGTTCCTGGCTCCTTTAACAGGGGAATTGTAACAGGTGCTGCATTTTGGTTCCGTCTCCTTAGGGGGCCTCTGGAGGACGAGGACGCGGACGACGAGGCGGCTGCTGCTGCTATTATGGAGGTCTTGGCAATAGTAGTGGCTGTGGTGGAAGTGGATATTATTGTTCTCGTCCCTGTCCGCGTACCGGTGCTCGTGCCCCCAACAGTCCTAGGGGGGTTACGTCCAATTGATACCAAAGAATCCGAAGATGGTGGTCGTTTTAATCCCGTCTTAGTTATGGAGTGATAATTCGAATCCGAGGAGCGCGTGTTGGTGGAGGAGGGTGGTTGAGTTGAAGATGTATGAGGGATGAATGTCGTGTTGTGCATCGTTAAAAGTGTTAATTACCTAAGGCAAAGGCAATTTAGGTAAGTCGAACCCATGTTTTTTTTTCTTGTCTTTCTTTCCTTCCTCCCTGAAGGTCGCAATTGCATATGATGGCCTGAACGGCGCGGTTTAGGTCTCCACTAATTTGTACTATGGTTACTGTTACTGGTAGACAAACCCTACCTTCCGACGGACTGTAGGCGACCGAACCCGTTTAGACTCCTTTCTATTGGCGGTAGACCGATACTAATTGAGTTCGCTTGTGTAATGATACTTGATACCTGCATGCACCTCTATAGCATGTGACTGTTTCTTATGAAAGCGTATATCCGAACAATTATGGTAGATATGAGAGGAGAGAAGAAAAAAGAAAAGAAAAAGAAACAGTAAGGAGGTGGGTTCGAAAAGAAATCGTCTGGAATGAGAGACAAATACTTTTGTCGAATTTGACTGGATCAACAATTTCATTGCCCACAATAAAAGGATGACGTCCCAAAACATACGTCTGATCTCGTCTGGGCACGTCCTCGTGTCTGATACGTTTACATAGATCCACGTTCCTATCCTTTTCTAAGGGTATTTACATATACCTATAGGATTTATACGTTCTCATAAGTTGTGCTTATGAATTGCCCCATGGCTCCCCGCAGTTTAGAGGGAATAATACTAGTATATTAAGTTACGGGATGTGCAATGGAACATACATGTAGGTAGTAATGTAAGGCGTATGTATAGATTTGTATATATAGGTTAGGTACATTAGGTGCGCTAAGGTTTGGCACATTACTGCCTGACAGCCTATCTACCTCTTAGGTAGTTAGGTATTTTAGTATGGAAAGCGCACTAACTTTGACAGCGCTGTACCCTGTTAATTCCAGTGGTGGGTCACCTTAACTAGGATTAAGGCTGTGAAGGCGGTGAATTCAATTGCACCTCCTAGCTTCTTTTCCCCTCCCTTCGTCTACCTATTGACCGCGAGATCGGCTGAGCTGGCGGCCGGTACCGTCTGCACGACATTGACCAACAAAACTTTCGATTATCGGAAACTAGTCGTTTTTAGCACCGGCAAGCCTAGGAACAAGAAGGAAAAAAAGAAAAAAAGAAAAAAAAAATCAGCAAACACCTGATTTGCTAGTCAGCCTATCTCTAACGACAATACATCTTAGCCTAGGTAATAGGTGATAAACCACGGGGAAAAAAAGGGAAGAGGTAGAAGGTGTGGTCAGGTAACGTCATCTGGCATATCGCCAGCATATCGCGACGATGGCGCTCTTGGGCCTATCGCTGGTTTTGGCTTCTGTGGTTTACGCAGCTATCTGGAGGCCGCCCTTCATCCAATCTCTTCTATCGATATGGCGCGGCGACCCTCAGATCCAACAACCCCCAACGACGCGCCGTCCCTCTCCAGCGGATATCATAGTAGAACATGAGGAAGAGGAAGATCAGTCAGCCGCTACGACGACAACTGGTCGTGATACATCGTCAACTGCGACGGCCCAAAGACCCGTTGTGGTTGCTGCTGCTGACAGGGCAGCTATGCCTCCGCCTCCTAAGCTCATAATGCATCAACCGAAGGAAACCGCAATGAATTCGCAAGCCGACTCCTCTCCCTCGCCGCAGACGACTCCTAAAGCCACAGCTTCAGTCCAACTCAACAGCGATAATATACCCTCATTCTCTCTCTCATCCGACCCTCCTGCTTCCGCAGCTGCCATCGCCCGCGCCGTTGAAGCCAACACCTCGCCCTCTGCCCTACCTACTTTCTCCGCGCCTTCCCCTCCTCTCGAACCACTTGCTCCAGGAAAAACCTCCATGGCACCACCCCCTCGTCCCCCAACCCTTAATAACACCGGACCTTCCCTCCTAGGCGTGCCTCCCCGCGGCCCCATCCCTAACCGGCACCAATACGACCGGCAACCCGGAACCTCCACCCTCGCTCCGCCTCCCACGCACTCCTCGAAGCCCGCCAAACCCTCGCGCAAAGTAACCCTCTCCCCAGGCCGCAGTCCGCTAGACTGGGCGCGTTTATCCGCTAATCCATCTGCGGACCTGCGCAACCTCGGCCTCGGGGCGCCGTACCTGCGAGTGCCGCCGAGTCTACTGCGACGACAGACGGGGCGCAAAGGCAAGGACGCGTGGACGGCGCTGGGCGGGCGCGTGTACAATATCACGCCGTATCTACCGTTCCACCCGGGCGGCGAACCGGAGTTATTACGCGTAGCGGGGCGCGACGGGACGAAGTTGTTCGGGGAGATACATCCTTGGGTTAACTACGAGACGATGCTGTCGAGTTGTCTGATTGGGCTACTGGTTGAGGAGCATGAGGCGCAGAGTACAGGGGAGATGGAAGCTATGGACTGATCGCCTATATCTTCTACGTATGGACATGCTAGAATTATAAGTTACTATGTAGGAAATAGGGAATGGCGGTAGAAAGACTATAGAAAACGATATAGCATAGCATAGCATAACACAGGTTGTATATTACTAGAATGGGGGGCAATTGGGCAACAACACTTTGCATCGAGTCGGATCGGGTCAAGTCGGGCGACTCCGGTATATTATACTTAGCACATGGTAAAATTAGATATATAAGCGAGATACCCCCTTTATAGAGACAATGCCATTTAGGAGAAGACAAATGGCACTTATAAGCTTAAAGATACCTTCATCTCTTCCCAAACCTGAACCGCAATCCATCATCGCTCTCATCATCACTAGCAGCAACAAATCCTATTCGAGACCTCTTCGCTGGCTGCTCTTTGGCGGGAGGTGGAGCTGCACGCTTAGATGTTCTCAATGATTGCGTCTTCTGAGCTGTGCTCTGTGGCGTTGATCTAAGCGATTGCGACTGCGAAGTCTGTTGCGACAGCTTATTCGTGCGTGTCCTCGATGGAGGGGCGATGACAGCCTCCTCACTTTCGCCGTCCATGCCGTAGTCATCATCTTCACTACTGTCTACTGGGGGGAGAACCTCCGTAGATAGCTTCTGTCTCTGGTTTCCAGCTTTCTTTGCCGGCGTATTGATGGTCTGTCGATCCTCTCTCTCACCCGTACTTTGACTCTGACTATGTGTCTGACTTTGCTTCTCTCGTCTCCGCTGCTGGCTTTCGTCCTCAAGCCAGTAGTCATCACCGATGCCGAAACCTTTTGACTTGACTTCTTCAAGTGCTACAATAATCCTCTGTGGCGCCCGCCCTCGGGGACCTACCCGAGATTGGAATTTCTTGAAATTCTTTCGCCCGTTCCATGCGGGATCCCAGCGACCGTCGGCTATGTCTTGATCTCTGGTTCGTATAGGAGGTACTTGGCGCAGTTCCATGGGCTCCTCAATATGCAAGCGCCGGATTTCTGCCAAGTCAAGGCCCTCTGGTGCCGTGGCGAGTTCTTCCCTCTCTGCCTTTGCACGAGCTTCAGCCTCCTCTCTATGCTGTCGCGCTATGTTAAGGATATCTATCTCTTTCTTGATCTTTGGTGCCCTGGCCTTGAGCTTCTGCGATTCTATCACGGGTTCTTCCGGCGTTGGCTTGCGGGGAACCGGATCTTCTCCTGCAGCGATGCGACGGCGCTTTACCTGAGCAGCCGTAGGTGCAAAGTAGTCTATCGTATCTTGGGGCTCGAGTGGCGGGGTGCGGCGCTTTCGTTGCGACTGTCGGGTTGAACGAACTGTCTGTTCTGGTTCTTGTGAAGCAACATCTTGTGATACGAAAAGACCTTCTTGTGACGGCTCAACGTCTCCTGCTGAGGGCGTCAAGGTAGTCGGAATGACTTCTGGTGTATCATCATCCTCTAAATCTACACCAAACCCCTTAAAACGACTTTTCACAGCCCCTCTCGCCCGCCTTCGAAGGGGCTGTTTTTGCGGCTGGGCCGAGGGCTCATCTTCGTCTACATCCATGGCTTGTCCATCCGAGCGCTGCGGTTCAATTTGTGACGTCTGCGGCTCCGCTTCAGCTTCGAGAGGCCGCCGTAGAATACTGGCATCATTGTTAAGGATCGCATCAAGGAAATCCTTCTGATCGATAAGTCGATGATCCAGTCTCAGAGAGACTGATCTGTAGAAATCGGCGAACCAATCGGCATTCTGAGGAGGACTGGGAATCCATCTGACCACGACAACACCTTTGCCCTCGCTTCCATCCTTAAACTCTCCCATACCCTTCTCTCCTGCTACTCCTTTGACATACCTAATGAAGTCGTCTATCTGTGTTTCTCCTTCGACTACTTCGTTAAATAGTGCCTTGCCCCTCCCGTTTGTTATAGGTTCTAGAAGGTTATCGTATTGCTTCCTATTGTAAAATATGAATGTATAACCATAGAATATCTCGGCACGATCAGTATTGGGGGCAAAGGCTTCGACCGGTCTTGGCACTGCTTCATCTCCTGGAGGCGGGATATATTGCATAGCATCAGGCCAGTTTGCGTCGAAATCGCTTTCTAGTGCACTCGCTGTCGCACCATCGCTGCCATTTCCAGGTGTCGCAGCAGTGATAATAGCACTGTAGAACCCTTCGGTAACGAGGTATCGACCGTTTACCAGGGCCTGTAGGCCCTTTGGCACATTCCTCTTTTTCGATACAACGTGGGTCGTCGACTGGACGTCATAGTGGGCAAGAAATTTGACATCAAGTTGTTCTAGGTCTTCTCGAAGCTTAGAGAGAGGGTCTGCTCGGAGCTGATTTGCAGTAAAGGAGAAGCTCAGGGCAACAGGAAACCAAGTAATGCTAAGATAATATCCATGATCAGTTGTTTTGCACGCATACTGCATTAGAGTAGAAGAACGCACCGGAACTTAGGCGGGAACGTGCCCATTTGGAGGGTATTGACATCTCGTGAAAGAACACGCGTTTCGCCTTTTATCTTTTCATCATTTATTCGCGTTCCACCTTTAGAACCTAGGTCTTCCACTGTGATGCGTGAACGACTCGATACATTTTCCTAGTAGAAGTATCTCAGTAATCGAATACACATGACTACCGAAGGATATTGGGACAGCGTACCCCATCTCCTTCGGTTACTTCGTCGACTTGTATAGTGACATGCTTTCGCGATACTCTTTCTGCTCCTTCTCCCCTGATAGCAAGCTGTCCGGCTAATTTTGCATTAGTTACCAGCGTTATAAGTGTAGATACAGAATGAGCGCATACGTTCAGCGACTGTTCTACCAAAGAGATATCGTTTTCCTGGTCGCAGCCAAAGCCGTTTACCTGAAAGCAGCGATCGTTAGCACTTGGAAGCAGAAGACGGGCATAATGTGTGTCTTACCCTCGAGGGCTTCACCTTCATTTTCTAGGAGCCACATAGTCGACTCAACACCGAGCTACGGATCTCAATAGTAAGTAGTGGGGGTGAAGATGATGAAAGAAGCGTGAGGCTAAAAGCGTGTCGAAACGCGAAAGAAGCTCGTTATCACGTGTAACTAATAGATTTAACATAGTTATATTAAGTGTATTTTTGGAGGGGAATCTACAAGGTGGTCAAAGCTGTACCTGCATAATCCGTATTAGGGTACCTACTTAAAAGATGTTTCAAATGCGTTTAAGTTAGGAGGTACGAAGTAGGTACTTTCATATGGGTGAGGCAGCAGGGGCAGAGATGGAAGCTACGTTGAAAGGTGTAAATCACACTGTGAGGGGTATCTAACATCTAGGTACGTAGTAGTCGAGGTCTATTGTTTAACTGTTACTCAATGCAATATTTTACAGTTCTGAAAGAAATATCACATTTACGTAACGATCTATCGATATATTTACCAAAGTCCTAATGGAGCAAGATCAGATGCTAATCAACTTATATCTAAATCTGGTAACTGTATCTTAGCTAACTATCTTATACAAAAGGGGATATATCCAGCGACATGTCAAGAAATCATTTTATATTAGATAAGTACTACAACCCAAGCTGAGCGGCTGAAGGATTTATGTTGCGAGTATATATAAGCGACTTTAACGCTTATTAGAAAATTCTAACCTATTGGTAATAATCCTACGTCTTGATTATTCCGGGAACGTCCCTTAAGACTCTGTATGGAAATTATGACTATAATAGAAGTATCGACATGACGTGAGCGACGAGGACATCCTGGAAGCCGGCTGAGACTTAGATTTAGAAAACGGAAAGTTAAGTTGTCATTAGACCTAAGATCATAATGATCAGATATATATATAAATACCTATTCATCTTCTTTTATCCGGATTCAAACACTTCGCTCTTCCCAGACAGCTTCTACGATTATTACGCAATTAGCCCTGAAGGGATTGAAATTAACCACCTTTATAACCCCCTTTGGTTGAAGTATACGATCTCAGAGTCTCATAGCACAATCCAGACTTCCACAATGCATGGGCCTTTTGGTACCTATGCCCTTGGGGCGTTCTTTGGAGGACTGCTTTTTGTGGGAGCCGAAGCGCAAATGAAGGTTAGCAGCTTTGATGGTCCCGTAACCAAGGAAGAGCTGAAGTCATTCAACGACTATGTCGTTACCCTGAAGCCTGCTACCGACAACAAGGGGAATCAATGGGTGCAGGGCCATAGCGGAGAGCAGACAAAGGCCATGGGCCTTGTCTATCAGATGGCCGGACAACAAGAAACGCTAGACCAGATGCTTCGTTTCTGCGATGCGGTTTTGTCGGAGAGAAACGACCTAGCAAAGGCCCCAGTTGGCCAGCACAAGATTTGGACGGGCGGAATCGATCCTGTCTGGCCGAACGATGTTACCATGAAACCAATCCAAACTGGCGGGGGAGAAGGCGACCCTGTCGGACACCTAGCCAGCTGTGCTTATCTTATATTCAAGACGGACAAGCTTCATAGCCAGAAGGTAACCGATGGCGATCCTCATAAGTATGGCGCTACCTATATAGATCGAGCCAAGACCTATCTCAAGCAGGCGGATTTCTCGATGAGCAACCATATCTTAAAACGTTTACTAGATCTTTCGAACGGTAACAAGATGTACTTTGCCAAGGACTCGCCTTACATGGGCGGAAAACCAGTCCCGTGGAATCAACAGATGATGTTCAACTATGCGTTCATGAATCTCTGCAGCGCACATAGGATCCTCAATGACAACCCTGAATTGTTTGGGAAGTATAAGTCGATCCTTACTGCCAGCATAGATTGGTTCTTCCAAGGAGGTGGTGTGCAAACCAAGAAGAGCAAGAAAGGTAGCACCGTCTACGACTGGGGCTATACCGTACCGAGAACGACGGGAGAGGACTCGAATCATGGCGCACTTGATGTTGCCGGATTTTACCGTACTTATATCGACGGAAATTATGGCATCACGGCCGACCAGATGAAGCCATTCGCCAACATGTTTGTTGATGTCATGACTCTGGGAAAGGAGAAATATGCCGGGACTGTAGATGGCAAAACCGATGGTGACGGCCATGCCAAACCCACTAAAAATATCCGCAGTGGTTATCTATTTTTGGCCGAATTCCGGCCGGATGCTTATAAGAGCATGATGTCGACCGATTTTTCGGTCGGTGGTAGAGGAACTGGAAGCGCTGATGGATTTTCCCGTTTCCTGTGGGTGAAGAATCAGCGTGCCAAGGCGAAGTAAACAAACGATGGTTAATATCGTTTATAGCTACTAGTTACTTATATTCTACATGTTAGCGAGTGACACTCAATTAGAAGTAAGTTGGGTATTATAGTCCTATCTAGGTTACACTTCTACATACTGGAAAGGAAGAACCATTTATTTCGGCTAATCCCGGTTAATGATCTATGTTATTTCATATTTCATAGCATTATGAGTACTAGACAGGTATGGAGTTAGTACTATATTTGTATATATAGGTAACTAGGTTATATCTAACGAGATCAAGATGTCTGTATTATAGAGGTAAATGGTGAAATACTTAATTTATCTGTGAAACAAGCTCTACACGTCTACAGTTCCTGGAGCAAGTCCTAAATATTCCTAGGAAGTCCTAAAGGTGCATAGGAAAGGGATCGTGACCCCTGTCATACCTTGGCATATGTATAAACCTACCACTTTAAACTTCCGGACATCAACTTACCTTTCTCCTACGTGCGTATCTACGAGGTATTTACATATATCATCTAGGCACTGCACAGGCTGCTCTTTTTATTTTGGTAAAATCAATCATACAGAAAGGGAACTTAACCTGTCGAATCGGCAGCATGCGACGCTCCTCAATGACCAAGCGTAGAGCATGCTTCATAGCATGCATTCTCCCTTGCGCAGCAGTATACTACTGTCTAAAACACACCCTGTATCTCGTCGAAGAAACTCTCGATCTTGTATACAGCGCCCAACAACGCCACCGCATTAAGACGCGCAAGCGCCCTAAATCAAGGCCTCTAGCTGTAATCCCGACCGTACCCAAGAAAACATCCGCTTCTGCCCCCACCAAAACTTCCTTCCTACATCTACCCCCGGAGATTCGCCTCATGATATACCGCCTAATTCTCGGGGACCCGGCCATCATGCAAGTCCGCCCCACGTACTCGGTATGCGGCCCCCGCCCCGAGACATGGGCGCCTAGACAGGGGATCCGCGACGACGCAGACGAGCCGAGCAAGGCGCTCCGTCTGACCATTGGTCTCGGCGGTTCGCCTCTGCGCCAGTTAGTCTCGCCGCCGCGTGCCGGGTGCGTCGTCTACGGATGCGTGTCGCAGCTGATCTGCGGCGAAACGCACTGCTTCGCCCTGACTCGGTACCGCCGCGACGAAGCCGTGTACTACACGGACTTGATGCGCACCAGCCGCGTCGTGTACGACGAGGCGTTGGATCTGCTGTACGCGGAACACACGATTTCGTTGTTCGGGGTGGAAATGGCGCGGTACTTTTGTCGTAATGCTAGCCCGGAGGGTATGAAGCGCATACGCTTTGCGCATGTGGCGCTTATCATCCCGTCTTCGAGCTGGAATTCCCCGTTGCAGAAGAAGAGTGTCAAGGATACTATGAAATTACTGCGCGACTCGCTGCCGCATTTGCAACAGCTGGATGTTGAGGTGGCGGTGACGTGGGGGCAGCCGAAGAACGCGGGGCGTTTCTGGAGCTGGTTGACGGGTGATAGTGTGCTGGGGCAGTTTCACGGGCTGGAGAGGTTCGTGCTGAAGGCGTCGGCGTATTTGCCGTTTACGAGGCGGCCCTATGGGAACTGGGCGGCGTGGACGCCGCAGTATGAGCTTTTGGAGTCGTGGGATGATGGGGAGTATCAGGCGTTAAAGACGAGGGTGACAGGTTTGGGTGAAGTGGCGGCATACTCTTAATATTGTCTGAATCTGGTATCTTTAGCATTACCCCTTTTGAATTAACATTAATACCTTTGGAGGCGCTGTATGCTGGATCATCACATTAGAAGCCTACGCTGTCCATTTGATGAATTATGTTTTGATTATTTAATTAATGATTTATATATATATATATATATATGCATACCGTAACATTCATAAACTCATTCGTAAAATGGTACATAATGTCCCTAACCTCATCGTCAATAGATATTTCAACCCTTCCTCAATAGTCTTTTCGTCAAGCAAGGGGTCATATGTATAACATGGGCCACCTTTCGACCAATTATCCCCAAAACATTATATGATATACCGTCACATACATTCCTTTATCTCGTAGTTCAATAATGTCCCCTTGAATGTCTCCGAACATCACTCGACCTCCGATAATCTCTCCCGTCAGAATAATACGTCGCGGGCGGAGCTCTCGGACTCCTGCTCCTATGCTGCTCAACATAGACCGGCCTAGTTACGCTTACGATCGACGTGCGGCGCGGACTGTGATGGGAATGACGGGAGCGAGATCTATGACCATGTGTTTCCCGCGGATACCGCGTGGAGTTGTGATGACGGTGCGAAGACGCCGGCTTCTCGTTATCTGGCTCGAACGTAGTGCCCCATGCCCCCGGGTTGCGGTAGTTGATACACGAGCGAATGACCCACAGTAGTATGAGGAACCCGACGATGGAACCAATAACTATGCCAGCGATGGCTCCGCCCGAAAGGGTGTGCGTTGATTCGCCGTCGGTTTGTGCGATGACTGTCGTAGTGCTCTGTTGACGGGCAGTAAGGACCTTGGAGATTGCCTCCGGGAGAGTCCTTGTCGGGTTGATGTGCTCGAGCTCGCGAGCTAAGATGCGACCGATAGATGAGCCATCTGTGGCCGGCGCTGGTAAAACAGGGGCCATGATGGGGGGTAATTTGTCTCTAGTTAGGTAATTCCTAAGGCTCAATAGCTTATACTAGGATAAACCTCACCGTCAGGAACGTAGTGTGGGTTTAGTTAGAGTTTGACGTACGCAGAAATTAAACAGGGGACGAGTAAGACATGAGTCGTGAGAAGGAGAAGGGTAGGTCGAGTTCAAGTAGTGAGAACGACCATCTCGATTCTTGCAGCATATCATATACAGAAGGCGACAAACGATGACGCCATGGCTGCAAAAGTGTAACCTGATATGCTACCATGCTAAAGTGTACCTGGACTAATAGTAACTAACAAAGCTGGGATGGCATCTGTTACCTGGATAAATGGTGGTGGTGTAAGTTCATCCTTGCTCGCCATTCTTCAAAGATGGAGTCGTCCTGCCATACTATCTTACCATCTTTACTCTATGCGTAGATAGTGCTTAGGTAGGAATTTTACCGAGGAAGTAGCATTTGCAATTCTTGATATGAGCTTAGAGTATTCCTTTTCCTTGCTCGTTAGCGTCTGGCGCGAACGAAAAGCTCCGACGAATTCGGCATTGCTATTGGTCCATTTGACCCCCTCGTCGTAGCGCGGCTCTCGAGCGGTCATTATGATGTAAACTCGAAGGAAGCGGGGTGAAGTATCCTGTTGTAAGACCAATACTAATTCTGGCAGATTTAAATCGATTTATTTTCTTGATATCTCTGTTTTTCGACATGTGTACTTATATAATATATTGTATTCGTATACGAACATGATATCAACTTAGGTTAGGGCCTATATATCACATGCAACAGCCAATCGGGAACTGGATAATTATTTCATTATCTGTACGTTGTTAGTGGTACGATTTAGTTCTTTAAAGGTCCCACGGACGTACGCATAAAACCAGCTGTGGTCTCAAAAATTACTTATATCGTATTGCGTCTGGAAACTAGATATAGGTTAGCCTGAAATGTTCCTAACGATGTAACCCTACACTGATAAAATCCCCCAGTTACCTTCGTGTTCAGACGGTTCGCTCCCTCTTGACGGCTTTACTCATGATAACATAATCTGGGATAAATTCCTTGCCGAACCGTAGCTTCCTAGGCTCTGGTGATATCTCGTCTTTCTCGAACCCTAACTTCTTATAGAAAGTAAACGCTCTCTGATTGCTCAAAAAGCAAGTAAGCATGACTTTCTCAACGGGGGGCGTATTAACAGCGACGTTCTCCAGGAATCCCATAAGTATCTTGCCTAGGCCAGTTCTATAGAATGTAAGCAGTTGGCACAACAGGAAATGGGAATTAATTGGTAATGTACCCTTGTAGCTCTGGCTTGAGGTGGATCTCGTAACAGTATATAACGGGCTCTCCTTCTTCATATGTAGGCATTAAAGATGTGAAGCCGCGGACACTTCCCACGATATTCTTGACTAGGATGTATCTCAACTCGGGGGATTTCATCTCGGCAAGCTTTTTACCCGGCTTCCACCCGGCTGATGAAGATTCATAATCGGCTCGGCTAGTCTCTTCAACTAGTTTGAAGCACGCGTCGAGGTCTTCATCACTCAAGTTACTCGAGCTGGTAAGGCTGAGCGGGAACTTGTCTTGTGTTCTTGGGTTGATCCACTCTGGCCATGTAGGGTTGCTAGTGTATATATTATGTTAATGACTAGATTTTCTTATGAATTGTCTCCTAATGAGTCTAAGGAACATATTTACCTGGGGCGTAGGTGCTCCTTAAAGAAACTCTCGTCATTCTTCTGGTTTGCTTTCTCAATAGGGTTTGTGGCAGCACGTCTGCGCTTAACACTCTGCTTAAGGCCCTTCATCTTAATCTCAAACACTGGTACGGTTGGTGAAATTTGTAAAAGCTCACGAGCCGCATTATCATCATGTGTGTAGTAAGATTGAAGTAGTATTTATACACTATTTCTTCTTCACGCGTTTAGAAGTAAGATTTTTATGAGTGTTGGTGTTAAGGTATTTATAAGTTGCAACGCGGCTTATGTAAATTACTCGTTTAAAGCCATAAGTTTCTAATGTCTGGAATATCTCTTATCTCCCTTATCTCGACCCTGATGCAGCATGTTAATTGCATAATAGTCTGTAAGTTGGTGATGCATTAGTTATTAGAATTTCGTATAAACTCTAGACTATCAGTTTCAACTTTCCTTCTCATGCGCCTCATTCAAGGAATATCAAGTCTGCGCTCTGCTATTGCCGTCCGAGACTATGCGACTAACTCACCAAAGGGTCGGCTAGGCTCAGCTCTGAGTTTGGATCATGTAACTATGTCTATTCTTATTCTCTTGAATCTCTATATATTTTTGTCTTGATTTAAAAGCTAATAAATATCCACATAGTTCCTCTTACGTTCACGCGCCCTATCCCTCTATCGCAGTATAATCCGCGGTACGAGACAAATTAGTGATCCGACTACTCGCGCCGAGACACGCAATTTTGCGCGCAGAGAGTTCGAACGACATCGCACTGTTACGGATATAAATCATATACGCTATCTCTTATCTACCGGCAAGACAGAATGGGAGGGTATGGAGAGGTATATTGGGGGCATGTAACGTCATAATACATATATGTGTTTATGGCAGCCTTCCTTTTTCCGATTCGGCGCTGGCTTCATAACGGGATACTCCTTAGTCTATCTAGTACATTGTATCGTACACACCGCGAGTCACCAATAATAAGCGCAAAATTCAGACGACCCAGTGGAAGTATTAGATTTTTCGGCCCATTTATAGATCCGTCTATCGATTTATTTATCCTTGTCGTTGCTTATGTCTTGGATTTGCGCTGCAGATGATGTAGAGGTAACCACGATGTCGCTTGCCAGCCTTTCTTCTCACGACCTATCGCAATTATATGTTAGCAAATATCTATTGGAACCCCTGTGTTTAGAACCATATGATCATGGGCTATAGAAAAAGAGTCCCTGTTGAAGACGCCTTGCTCTCTCTAGACTGACCTTGCAATGTTCGCAGCGCTTCTTGACTGAACTGTGAACCTTCATGCCCCTGGTCTGCTGCGTGACGGCTTGGATCATTCTCGTTGCGCTCGCTATCGTCGGCGGAGGTCTTGCTGTCGTTCTGGGGGCTAGGGCTGCTTGGGAGATGCTACGAGTGAACTGATGTTCTCGCAGAACCTGTCGAGCTGCCGGTATCTGTGTCGCGCGAAGGGACAGCGCCCGAAGCGACGATATTAGAGAAGAGATCGCCATTTCTAAGAGGAGGATTGGGTATCGCAATTGCTCTCTCCTAACACCACTGCGTTTAATATTTGTCGATGCAAGATGTAAAATGTATGCATGTACATTTGATACAGGGTTCTGAGATAGAAAACCCGCTGTCGAATGATGTGGGGCAACTTAATGTTACGTCTTATTGGTTATTTTAGGGAATAATATTTATGTACATATCTTATATATATACATAAAAGCACAATCCTCAGTGTGTACATTTATTAGGTAGTTACGTCGAATTAAATTAAAACGCTCTCCATTCTATTACGGACAAATTCAAATCTATCTTCCTTTAGGTATCATAACTTGCGTATGTCGGTTGACTTCCTCGTTCTAAAAGAAATCGTGATCATTATCCCCTTATCACCAATCCCACATATTCTCAATTTGCTAGTAGCATCTCATAGCTCTTTCAATTAACTACTGCTCGCTCCTCAAGAATGTCTTGAAGATCGAACTTTGTGTGCGATCCTCCCATGGGTACCCGATCTTCTTGAATGACTTCTCTAATTCGGTCACTTCTGATTCGGGGCATTGTATACCCGTCAATATTTTACCTATATCACTGCCGCCGTTTCTGTACTGAAATAAACTGATGTTATATCTCAATTGTAAAGTTCCCAAAAACTTCTCAAGGGCGCCGGGACGTTCGGGAAAGTTAAACATGTACAACCTCTCATCTGCAACGTCTGACCGGCCCCCTACAAGGTAACGGATATGTGACTTGGCAAGCTCGTCACCTGACAGGTCTGTGGCCGTCATGCCCGCACGGTTAATTCGGTCTATAAGGTCCTGGAGCTCTTGATCTCGTCCTGCTGCCCCACCTGTCAATGATATACCAACTAAAATGTTGGCAATTTCATTAGTTGCGTAGCGATAGGAGAACTCTGTCACAGCATGCGGCATAACATGGTTGATCAATTCGGCAAAAGACCCCGGCTTCTCCGGGATGCTAACATGCAGTAAGGCCTCTTTACCCTCGCCGAGAGTAGCGCGCTCGGCTACGAAGCGCAGCCTGTCGAAGTTCATGTTTGCACCGCTTGTGATGGCTATGACGGATCGATTCGGGTTGCTGGACGGATTCGCTAACACCCACTTCTTCAGTCCAGCAAGAGCTAGCGCGCCTGCCGGCTCTACGATAGAGCGGGATTCTTCGAACACATCTTTGATGGCGGCGCAGGTCTCGTCGGTATTCACTTCGACAATCTCATCGATCACTTCTTGACATATCCTAAAAGTTTCTTCGCCGACTGTCCTAACCGCTGCGCCATCGGCGAACAAGCCCACTTCCTTTAGAACCACTCGCTTGCCTTCCCGCAATGACTGGACCATGGCATTCGCATCCTCAGCCTCGACTCCGATTATCTTGACGTGTGGTGCAATGCGTTTAACGTACACGCCAATGCCTGCGATAAGGCCACCTCCACCTACGCAACAGAATATTGCTTGGAGTTTCTGGATGTTTGTCTGTCGTAGCAGCTCCATTCCTATAGTTCCCTGTCCAGCGATGACATAAGGGTCGTCAAAGGGTGGTATGTTGAGCAGGCCGTGTTGCTTTTCCAGTCTCGCGCATTCTTCTTTAGCAGCGTCGAAGTCCTGACCGTGAAGCACCACGGCACCGCCTAATCTTGAAACATTTCTATGCTTGATACTCGGCGTTCCCGAGGGCATAACGATTGTTGCTGGTATCTTGAGTAATCTAGCAGAGTAGGCTACTCCCTGGGCGTGATTTCCGGCACTGCAAGCAACTACACCCTTCCAGCTCTGGCTTCGATCGAGATGGGCCATCTTGTTGTAGGCGCCTCGCAGCTTGAAGCTGAAGACAGGCTGCTCGTCTTCTCTCTTGAGTAAGACATTGCATTCGAGTCTGTTCGAGAGGTTTGTAGCATGTGTGAGAGAAGTCTCTTTACACGCTTCGTATACCCTTGAGGTAAGGATTAGGCGGAGATACTAAGGACATAGGAAGCAATTATTAGTCATTCGTAGGCTAGGGCAAGTAGACATGATAAAGTGACAAAGACGAACATCAGGATGTCCATTGGGCAAGAGAAATTCCTGAGGAATGACTTCTTTTTGTCTACGCTCCGATGGCGGCGAGGGGTTTGCACTGTACTCTGTAAGAGACAAACCTGATGGCGAAGGGGTTCGTGGTCGAAGGCTATTAGTTCCATTCCTAGCCCTCTCGGCCACTTCAACATCAATTGGATCAACTGTCGTCCCAGGCATATTGAAATACTCGAATACCAGTAACTTCTACGGTATCAACAAAACAAGGGAGAGAGTATGATACGAGAATTATAATAAATTGTGTCCAGCACCAAAATGATTTTAGACTTTTGATAGTGGGGCACTCCCTTGTATCCATTGGAGCTTACCTTGCAGGAGCTCTACATAGCGGGGTCCTACCCACCTAATCCCGATGCTTGTTGTAGTAGGTACCTACCTTAATCAGGCACCGGTAGGAGCGACTATAGCTTTGAGAGCTAGGTTCTTTAGGCGCCTGCCTATAGAATCTATAGAAGTGGAAGCTTTTCTCCAAAGAATGATGGGGCTCTGATGGCATCTTTGGTAATAGGGAAGGTGTATCGGATCCTACGCTTTGCACGATGTGTACAAAGAAACTAACCTAGTCTATCTTATCGTCTTATCGCCTTATCCGGTGGCACATTATGGGTCTTTACGTACTCCATGTCGAGAGTTAAACAATTCAATGTGTATTATTAAACCTTCAACCTCGAATTTGCGCAAACCGGCTCAACCTAAGCCGGTGTATATTTAAGACATCCGCTGGTACGGGTCCTTCGTAACCAGGTCGCTGGAATTCAAGATCCAGGCAGCCAATTTGCCTGTAAAACCCTACTTCAGCATGGCGGACAGATCCATGCCCTCGTCTTTCGACGACAACAGGTACCTCTCCCCCTCACCCGCTTCTCTCTCTCTTCTTCTCTCTACCACCACACACGAACACATATCAAGGTTGCTAGATTAGATATTTAGCTCACGAAGGCATAAATAGGGAATACAATGAAACCGGGTTCCAGAAGATCGGCCGCAAACTGCGAGAGGAGCCTCTAATCCCTCTCGGTACGTCATTCCCCCACACCAACCAACATTCTTTCATTCTTTCAAGCCTCAGCGCCATGGGCTTAAACTTTTCAATTAATCTTCTCGGGATCAACAGGAACCCTCCTTACCACACTCGCCGTGTACAATGCCTGGCGCGCCATGCGCCGCGGCGACCACGCCCAAGTGCAACGGATGTTCCGGGCGCGCATCGGCGCGCAAGCTTTTACAGTCATGGCCATAGTTGCGGGAGGCACCTACTACGGCGCGGACCGGGATAAGCGCAAAGAGCTAATTAAACTTGAGGCCCAGCAGCGCGCCGAGGAGCGCCACCAGAAGTGGCTGAAGGAGCTTGAGGTCCGTGACGAGGAGGACAAGCAATTGAAGGCAGCGATGAAACGCCGGCAGGACCGCGTGCAGCAGCGGCGGACGGAGGAGCGGGAGCGGGTTGCTGTGGAGGAAGGGGAGATGGATTCGGATGTTGGAGAAGAGGGGGAGAAGAAGGACGGTGGGTCGAATGTGTTAGGTGCTCTGTCGAGTGCTGGTGGTTGGTTTGGAACGAAGAAAAGCGAGAATACGACGACATCTGAGCAAAGTAAAGCCCGAGAGGGAGGCTCGGAAAAGAAAGCTTAAATGGGAACTACCGGGCTGTGGCATGCATTATGAAATTTGCAAGTGACTATTCTCGGTTTCGGTTCTAAAAGAAATATTGTGTACCAAACTGGATCAAGACCGGAAGGCTAGGGAAGAGTACATCTAGGGGTAAAGGATTGAAAAGTCATCTCGATAGGCCATCCGAAGGGAGCCTATAAATACACTATACCATTGTATATATCAGCTAACATCACGTCTCATCGTATAAATGGCGACATTGGAAAGGGCTTTGCAAAAAGCATAGAATCTCGATTCACTTATCGCATGTAACAGAACTGACAACTATAATAAATTCCGTGTAGAGATTCCGACGCCCACGTCATCCTAACGCCGCTATAGCCTATCCGTAAATCAAGCCATTGACCCTCCGCTCCTATTTGCGCCGACTAGCCCAGCCATCTCCAACAGCGCACGATCAGCAGCGATATCTCCCGTACCCAAGTTTACTCTCCTCCTGGATTCGGCCTCGCGGGCTTCCCATTCCCAATGCTCCCTTTGTACCCTCGCCTCTTCATCACCACCGCAGCCCCACACTTCGATATCGTCGATGTCGAAGCGTTCCTGGAAGTCATACTTCCGAGATGCGCTGGTCGCGAATGCGCCGCCGCGGGAAGAGTAGTCGTGAGTGAATACGCCGAACTCGAAGCTCGAGTCGATGACAAGAGACACGGGTCCTAAATTTCGTAGAGACTCGTGACGCGACGACTGGCTTTTCTTGGGGTGTGGACAGCCAAAGTTAATCCCAGGATGGACTGCTGGTGCTTTTTGAAACGCCGCATAGTCACGGTTTAAGGTAGATGCCGGGAAGACATCATGAGTTGGCGCAAGCTGGAATAAGAGTGTATCTTCGTCTCCGAAGCACTCCTTGTGTGTATATCGCCACGGCTGTCTGACAAGTGCTCCGAATACTAAGCGATCACGGTCCGCTGGGCTTCCGTTCGGGAATCTCTTAGGAGGTAGGGTATCATGAAAGGCGTCTTCTGATCTATTGCCACTTGGTGGGTCTGAAAGCCTAGTGCCAGATACTAGGAGAATCGTAGGCGCACGCCAGTTGAAGACCTTTGACTCAAAGCTACCCATTGAGTATCCTGACTTTGAGCCAGAATAAAGCAAACGTAGCCGTCGGAATAACTTGTTCCCATTAATGAAGAAGGAAAGTTGAGATAGAACGCTAAGGTTAAGAATGTCACTCCTATCTTGCAATAGGGGAGGCCGTACTATCGCAGACGGTATGGCTCTGGGCATACTATCCTTACGTTTTGAGAAGTCGAGGTTCTTAGAAAACAGGAAGTGCTCAAATAAGGGATTGAAACCATCGAAAAGAAATGGTAAACTTGACGGAAGGATCCTGTTAAACTGGGCGTAGGTGATACCAGGGGATTTCTCAACGTCTACAAAGGTCGACAGGATATTCTCAGCTGTCGCTCTCAAGTCTTCGAGTTCCGAGCCCGTGACCCTATCAGCGTAGCTAGAGATATTCTCTTGTGCATCTAGTGGGGCGACTAGGAGCAGTAACATGATTAATTTTCTGAGATTGTCTGCTGGTATCATAGCTCCGTGTGTAGTAGCGGCGTGAGAATCGCCCGTCTTGAAAGCGTCATTAATATCGAGTGAGTCCAACGCAGCTAGAACAAGCTCGTCATCTTCCGCCGTATCATCATACAAATCATCACCAGCCTCGTCAATAGCAAAGCCGGGGGCGTGTACATTGGATGATGGTTGCGATAAACCTGCATCACGCTGCTCGGTGTCGATCTCAGATAGCTTCCGATCGTACACAGCCAAGCTCTTAAACAGCAATTTCCTCCTACTACTAGCACTTTTAGTTAAGACCTTGGTGTAACGCTCTGTCATTATAACCACGACCATGGTCATCTGCTCGATGCCGAGTATAACTGGTGCATCACTGAGGAATGGAAACGCGCCAATGTAGGTCAACATATGGAATAAGACAGGCGAGACGGCGAGGATGTCTGGTAGCTCCAGAAAGCGAGTAATGGTGTCCTCTTTAAGGTAACGCACATTTTCCTCTTTATCAGCAAGGGATCTGAAGTTGTCCTTAAAAGAATATAGCTCTAATGGCTCGAAACATTTACGAGCAAACTTATCGGCCTATTCAGTTGATTTCATGTTAGCTTTGAATGGGAGCTTTAAGATGCGGTGTAGCCAGAAGATTTGTACCAGGTGTGTCCTAATTTCCTCTTTAGAGGGAGGCTTGGCCTCATTTGACAGGGTTTGTCCCATGATTTCTCCTTGAAGAAAGCGAAGCCATCCCAAGGGAAGAATACATGTAGTTAAGGATAGGTATGAAATATATATAAGGTGAGGATGAGATATAGGTATGCGGTCCTACCGCCTGTAGATAAAGTATTAAATTCAGCACTAAAATCGGGCGTTCGGGAGTCCCACTCAGCTACATAGATTGGTATTGCTAGGTGCATCTACCTATAAATGGCGGGGTGATCACTGAATGCCACGCTAAAATCGTATGACGTATAGTACCTGTACTTACTTCACCCAGCTGTATACATGTACTAAATTCATTCAAGTCCAAAGCGTCGATTTTTGACACGCCTACGTATTTTATACCTTGAACCACTACCTACATGTAATACATATCATCCCTCAACGATCAATAGGCTAGGAAACTTTTCAATACTTAAAGTTGAAGTGAAATGTGCTCGGAGTATCATAGCGTATGAGTCAACTGATAGAGATGCCTCTTTTTCCATCTCGACTCTATTATTCGAACCGCAAGAGGTTGTAGCACCCAATCCAGAGTCTTGCTAGCACGTACAGAAAGACTATAAATTCTAAAAATAATCACAATACGCACAAAACTCTCAACATTAACTTTGTTCAGTCAATGTCTTGAGTTGTGTTATTGTTGTCCTAAGTTTTGGCCCTTTATAAGTCAGATATGATAAAGTGGATTATATTCTAATATATCACAAAGGGCCCAATGCTACGTATGACTATTCCTGTTATTTTCGTACAATTAAATTAATACATACAATAGGATCAAACATGTCTTTGTCGCCGCTATGATGTATATATATATATATATATACTGCCGAGGTTCGAGCATGCTTGTGTGGCTTATCTTTTTGAGTTTCAGTACCTAATTAACATCAATCCTTTTCGAAATATAATATTCACTACAATGCGTGTTCCTTATAGCATCATTTTCGGCTTCATCGCCGCAAGTCGGGCGTGGCCCACTCCTTTCCCTGATGGCAATCTTAATACGGACTTTGGGAGGAATCCATCCGAGGTTATAAGCCAACTTCAACAACTAATAGAGAAGACATGCCATAATGCTTGTCTAGAACTTTTCCCTGATGAGGGGGCCAATCACGAAGCCTGTATGAATATATGTCGTAAGTTGTTCCTTGTCCCTTTCTTTAGTCACTTTAGTCTAATCACTGTTGTTTGATAGATCACAAGCAATCCGACTCCGATAATACCAGCCCGGATTCGGGTATGTAAAGTCTATGATGAACGTTCCAATTGAACCAAGACAATACGTTTTGAGCATCATGATACTATTGTACATAGTAAACGGCAGCCAGCATTTACGATTTGCGATTTAAACGTCGGGTTTATTATTTTAGTTACATCACGGAGCACCTTCAATTCATATATCATTTGTAGCATATATATACCTACATAAGTATCATCATGTACTTAAAGATTTAAATTAATGAGCATTTAGTATGGATCTATCAGTATAAGCTTACTTATTACCTATATGTGGCGATAAGCAGTTTCAAAGTTTATTTCAATGTTATCTTTAGGGATGCTTTTTACCCTTAACGATCTGACTTGTTCAACGTGTAACACTAAAAAATACCAAGAAATACCTAACTTGCTTCAGCCACAGTTACACACCCCTGAAAGTCTAGACGTTCTTTATATGCACGGTAAGTCTTGGTGTCCGTGTCCCTGGGATGTCCCCAGCAAATGCAACCCAAATACAGGTCTCTGGGATGAGAGATAGTAGCGCGGCGCTAAGTGGAGATGTTTAACTAAATATGGCTAGCAGGTAGCTTTACGTATAAATTTGTATATAACAGTACTGAATATCAATACTTTTCGAACTGAAAGGCTGCTCCTGAATATCAATATATGTGTCTGGATAAAAGATTAAGTATAAAAAGTTGATCTTTCTATTAAGGTTTTGTACCTTACGTATAAATTTATATGTAAAGATACCTACTAGCCATGTTTGGTTAAACACCTCCACTTAGCGCCGCGCTACTATCTCTCATCCTAGAGACCTATAAATGGTCAGGGCAGTCAATGTTATCTCAAACTCCACCCAAATCCACCTTCACATGTCCCCGTTTTAGTCTATGAAGCAGACAACGTCTCAATTCCCCCCGTGCAAGAAACAAGAGTGGTTAGCCACTCACTCGGGATCTAAGCCCTGCATATGAACTTTATCATGTATGTAGTATTAAACGTAATAGCTAAATAAACGCCAGAAAGGTAACAAAACACCTTTTTATTTCTTGCTTTTGTTTACTCCTTTTCTCGTTTTCTTGTCAACTATCTTGGCAAGCAACAATCTCTCCAGAGAAGGGTTTACTTTCGAATCGTCGTGCGTCTCAATAAACAATACGATATTACTTAGGAATATAATAAATCTGCTTGGCCGGATATAATATACAATAAAGCAACAAGATATCTATCATGTCTCTAACCATTGCCCCTGTTAAATGCGAGGACAAGATAGATGAGCAACATCATAAATCAGCATGGTTTCAATTCATGAAGGTATGGCTCTAGGTTCATATTCTGTTAACTACTGAATTATCTCCCTGATTCTTATTTTTCAGTCTGTCGCAACATTTAGGGGGGATCTCACGTCATTGACCGCGCCGCCTTTCCTGCTTGCTCCTCGGTCTATAGTCGAATACAGCGCGTACTGGGCTGAGCACCCACGTCTTCTTGTATCTCCCGCAAAAGAAGAGTGTCCTAAAAGAAGGGCCCTATTGGTTCTTCAGTGGTTTCTAAGCACTCTGAAGCATCAGCATGCAAGCAAGGACGAAAACGGCAAAAGAAAAAAGCTGAAGCCCTTGAACCCATTTTTAGGGGAAATATTTTTAGGCAAGTGGTTAGACGACGCTGGAACAACCCATCTAGTCACCGAGCAAGTCAGCCATCACCCTCCAGCAACTGCGTTTCGAATCTGGAACGATGCACATGGCGTTAGGGTAAGAAACCGCAAATGTTTAATCAGATACTTCTCGTTGATATTCTGCTGACGTACAACTAGCTTGAGGGCCATGTCTCACCGAAAGCCTACTTTTCGTCTACGATAAATATAGAACGACAAGGATATAGTGTCTTACACATCGATAAGTACAACGAAGACCATTGGATCACGATGCCAAAAGTTCATGTCGAAGGGATTGTCACTTTCCAGATAGCCCCAGAGCTCAGTGGCGTCTCTTACATCCGTAGTTCCTCGGGCTACACGACACGTGTCAACTATTCTTCTAAAGGCTGGATAAAAGGCAAAAGCAACTCGTTTATCGCCACTATATACCCGGATAATGATGAAAGCAAACCCCTATTCATCGTAGAGGGCCGATGGAGCGATTCATATACCATCAAAGACGGCAAGGGGAAGGTGCTAGAAGCTGTTGATCTAACCTCGCTACGGAGGACACCACTTCAGGTCGACCCAGTCGAATCGCAGCACCCCCTCGAATCTAGACGAGCATGGAAACCTGTTGTCGACGCTATCAATGCAAACGATATTTTCACGACTGGACACGAGAAGAGCAGGATCGAGAACGCCCAGCGCGCGCTACGGAAAATGGAAAAGGACGCAGGTGAAACATGGACTAGGCGGTACTTCACCCAAGTCGAAGAAGATCCTATAGCGGAAAAGCTTTCAGTCAAGAGTAAATCCGCACCGGCTGATGGACCTAACCAAATGATCTGGAAATTTGATGACGAAAAGTTCAAGAGAATAACAGAGAACCAGCAAGATGGTATTAAGAGCCCTATCCGTTCTCGATTTGATTCTGGGGTTGGATTCCTGGAAATAGAAGAGGTATAGATTCGGTCTACAGCAACCATTGGGAGCCATTTTCGCAGGGGTTTAGCATGCTATTTTAGCAATGGCCACGTTGGTATACGGAAGGTTTGTTAATATTACGCCGGCGGGTTGGGTAAATAAGCGATATTTTTAACATATCCACGTCTAGCTGGATAGACTCGTGTTGGGTTGTACAATAAATTATTTTATTCAACGCTATACGAAAACTCAAAGACGAGCTCAGGGTGCGTTTAGGTAACCTTATGCTCTTAACGTTATGCTCTTACAAGAACCATCTAAACTCCGGAACTTTAGGACCATCTCTCAGCTGCAACGTTGATACATCCTTCGCAGTGAGATTCACGCCCTGTCGGCGGTTGCGATTGTTATTATCCCACAGCACTTTAACAATATGTTAGTACTGGCTACTTCAGGCGAGAATTCCAGGGGTTATAACTTACTGTAAAGACCCAGGCATCCTGCAACAAGACACCCAGTAGCACCAAAAGACGCGGTGGTGATTAGGGCAGGCAAGTACTTGGGTGCATCTTTCTCCTGGAATACATTGCTGGATACTATCCCCATAAGATTCGCCAAGGGGACTCCAACCGAGGTCAACGTTAGACGTTCACCCTCGTGCGCCACATTGTTATTATACCACTAGTAAGAAAGTTAGATATATTTGAGAATAGGAACGCAACATTCAAGCCAGGTCCGGCTAGATTTGTTCGATGACCTATGGTCTCGCAAGGGATGACTTACAGTGCTTAGCAATACGGACGGTGCAGAGGTTCCCCAGCACATCATGAATGTTGCGAAGTAGGCCACTCGTATCTGCGCATGAACGTCTGTTATCGAAGCGTATATAACAAACCCGATAAACGTAAACGCGAAGCCGAGGCATACGAAAGGGAACCGGATTCGCAAGCCATCAGATGTAAAGGCCAGTATTAATAACATAACAGCGCCCTATAAACACATTAGAAAAGATGCATATATTAACTAGGGAACCCGGACGACTCGTTCTTACTGTGACATTAGGCGCAACGGTATACAGGTTGATCGTAACTGTATCGCTGACCAATCTCTGGACGATCTGGGGCAAGAATAGAGATACTGCCTGTAGAGGTACACCGAGACATATCTCAATGATCAGGAAGCCGTAGGTCGTCGGTCTCTTAAATATCTTTAGAGACTCTCTCAGGACGAACTTCTCATTAACGATAGAAGAACTGTCCATCTGTATACGGCGGTACGCTAGCGCTTTCTGCTCCTCGTTCAAAAACCGGGCCTCGGCGGCAGAACGGGGCAAATAGAAGAAGGTAAATATCGAAAAGCACACCGTAACACTACCTTCGACGATGAAAAGCCACCGCCAGGGGTGATCTACGAGCGTTGATTTGATCTGGAAGACACCGAAAGCAAGTAACCCGCTAAAAGCATTGGCGATATTAGAGGCAGCGTAGAAGATAGCAAGACGACTCGCGAGTTCACCGCGTCGGTAGAAAGTCGTTAGGTAGTAGATGACAAGCGGGAAGAATGCCGACTCGGACATGCCCAGAAACCATCGCAGAGCAAATACACCGCTAAAGTTTTTCGCCGCCGCGGTAAGAAGCGTGAGAGTGCCGAAGCAAAACATTAGAATGGGGAGGACGCGGGCTGGACCGTATTTCTTGCCTAGCATGGCTACTGGTGGTGCGAATAGGACGTAGGGGACGAAGAATATCCCGACGATCTGGTTATACTGTCCCGGTTTGAAGTTTAGGTCTGCGATTGGGATGGGTAAGTAAGAGATGGAAGTGAGCTAGATTGCTTTGCTGACCTTTGGATAACCCGGCGGTCTGCGCATTTCCCAGGTTGCCTTTATCAAGGGCATTGAATAAATACTGAGAGGTGAATTATTAGCATGTATACGAGGATAGGTAGGTTGTTTTCTATGAAGCTAGAATAGGAGATTTTGCGCCGGTTGCTTCCAACAACTTACCATTACAGCCAGAACCGGTAGCAGACGGAGATCGAATTTGCGGCAGAGTGCCTTTTCGGCGATAGGATCAATAATGTCCTCAGAGACGGCCGCATGGCTTTCGACATCGTTGCTGTTTCTATCGCTCGAGATGGTGTCCTTTTTGATCCCAGCTGAGTCCGACTTTGCGAGGCCGACGAACTTATCATCTGCCATTGTGAAGCGGTGTTGCAGCCACAACTAGAGACCTTTAGAACAGTTGGTTCGAAGAAAACGGTTTCTGGAATGTAGATGTATCACAAACAGGGGGAAGTTTTTCAAAGTTGGGTTCGACAGGTCATATTAAAGAACAAAAATTATCTATCTTTGCATGATAACCATCCGATCCGTCCATCTTGGCTAGGATCTAATGACGAACCTCCTTTACATTCCAAAGTAACACCAACCGTCGTTATCTAAATTCTGGGGGAGATAAACGAGATAAAATGAGATGTAGATATGTCAACCCAATCAGAGTCGCACAGCAGATCTTACCACGCTGGGACTTTGGGAACCATATCCCTGTCCAAACTGATAAGCTATTGTTAGACAATGAGGTGGTAATAAAAAATGGTAACTAGTGTAAAAAAAAATTATTTTTAAAAAAAGATCATCCGTTTTTCTAGGTACATATGTATGCAAAGCTTGTTTACAGGTTGCATAGATGATATCTCGAACCGATATATTAAATAGTTCGAGATAGCTCCAACAGAGAAGGCTTACCTCATTGTTAATATAATAATACTTCCATGCATAGGTCGTGGGGGGTATCATTGGGGTATCCTGGGGTTCAGTGGGGGGTTTTCGGTATAAGATATCCATCACTCCATGAAGGCGGGAGGCTTATCCTCTAGGTTAATATCTTTATTTTATTTTTTTTCTTTACATAATTACCCACTTAGATACATATACATCTAGGAATGAACCTATGAATCATGAATACAAGTCATGTGCCAGGTACTATTTCGTTTGGTTGCATATGCACCTCCCTCCTACATGTACATAACTACATACAGCAAGTCTCAATGTCCGAATAACGCCGATATGGGGTACAGGTAGTGAAGTAGCCTTTCCCCTCTCGGCTCGCATTGAATATTTAGGTAGGTACATAAACTTCTGTTAGGATTCCTTGAACCATATTTTATGTCTGGGAAGTTCCAAGCGACACCAACTCGAAAATATCGACCTGCAGAAAAAATACCTCGGTAAACAGCCTACATTTAATAGTCGAGACTCGTAGAGAATTCATACTGTAATATTTGACTAGTCCTTCGAACGAACAAGGTATACACCATGGCCGAAAAGACCCCCGTACTTACGGATAAGGCGCCAAAGCCCTTGGCTGGCATCTACAGCCAGGCCATCAAGGCCAACGGATTTGTCTTCGTCTCCGGAGCTGTTCCTATGGACGCTGCGACCGGGAAAATAGTCGACGGTGATATTCAAGCCCACACTGTAAGTCAAAGTACTCATAGTACCGACCTTATCCCCCATGAAACTCTACTGATGAAGTACTTTTTATATAGCACCAATGTATCAAGAACCTCGGTGCCATCCTTGAAGCTTCCGGCTCCGACCTCAACAAGGTCGTCAAAGTCAACGTCTTTCTCTCCGACATGGACAACTTCGCGGCCATGAACGAGATCTACAGTCAGTATTGGGGTGAAGTAAAGCCTTGCAGAACGTAAGTGACTGTCCAACAGACTACACCCAAAGAGAACATCTTTTATAGTAGCTAATCGCTCGTAGATGTGTTGCCGTTAAGACGCTACCACTCAATGTGGACGTCGAGATTGAATGCACCGCAACCTACTGAGAAGGGCTTCTTAACTATAGTAAAATAATAAAATGCTAAATGAAAATCGTGAGCATTACGATGTCACTTAAACTGGAGGGGGTGAAAATAGGCATGTACCTATGTCTTAGTTTAATTACAAGACTTTTTCTCAGCACCTAGAATTATCAATCAGTGACACTTACAAGTATTATTCTACCTATTATTCCTATGACTAAATGTCTACTATTTATATGATAAAATGTTAAAAAATTAGACTATATTATGAATTAAATAGTCTTAAGATCGAATGGTAGTAGATGCTTCACTTTAACATTATGACTCCCTCACATTATAGTTGACATAAAACAAATTCAAGTTTGAACAGAGGAGCTAGCCAAAACTATATGAGCCCGGAGCATTTTGAATTGCTACCTAATGTATTGATACACCCGTGAACCCAGGTACTTCTCAACAAGACAATCGTGAGACATAGCACATCGCTTATTTTATTTAGGCACTGAGTCCGGTTCCGGGTACATCGTTTCCCTAAGCGCATCACAGAAGTATGTGATAGCCTCCCTTCCAGCGTCTAGGACACCATCCATGGCAATAAAGGGGTGTGGCTGGCCAGCCATGGTATGAACATCAGCCTTTACGCCCGCATTGCGTAGTTTATCTCCGAACTGCCGCCCTTCGTCCCTTAACACGTCCAATTCCCCAACAACGATAACGGCAGGTGGAAGTTTCGACCAGTCTCCTTCCCACAATAACGGACTCGCTTCGGGGTGAGACCAGTCCGACCGGTTGGGTAGGTAATGTTCTCTGTACCAAAGCATCTTGGGAGCTGGGAGGGCCGGGGTATGCTGGTTTTCCCTCCACGATGTGCTGTTGTGTATGTCCGCCGTGTTATCCGTCACCGGGACCGAAAGTAATTGTAAGGAGAACTTGAACCTGCCTAGGGTGGCGGCGCGTTGGCACATGATCGCAGCCAGATTTCCGCCTGCAGAAGAGCCTCCGGTAGCAAGCTTAGTAGTATCTAGTTGCAAAGCTTCTTTCCCTTGGCCTAGAGCCCACAGCACACTTTCCCAACAGTCGTCCACTGCAGCAGGAAAGGGGTCTTCGGGGGCAAGTCTTAAGAGGGAGTATCAGAATTTACTCTTTTAAGTTGCGATTTAAATAAAATATAAAGGGGTACTAACCTATAGTCCACGGCGATAACAACACACTTGCTGCGGGCGCAGAGATTTGTTGCAATTACGTTTTCTGTGTCGATAGTTCCTAAAACCCAGCCACCGCCGTGAAAGTAAATACAAACAGGCCATCCCTCGGCAGGCTTGGATCCATTGGGCGTGAACGCTCGAATCCTGACATCCGGGCCGGTAGTCTCCTTCCGCGAGATGCTATAGTCCTTTGTCTGGGCCACGGGGGCCGGGGGTCCAGCACCTGGGATTAGAGTGCCACTTGCCCGCGAAGCTTCTATGGGCTGCAAGTGAACTTGCTGGTTCTTGATTATATGCTTGTTATAGAAAGCCTCATATTGAGGGTTGATGCGGTGAACTATGGACGAATGGAGAGGATAGGGGGGTTCAGGATGGTCTCCCCTGGTTACTCTTTGTTCAACACTCATGGTAAGTGCTTTTAAGAAGATATAGGTCGTATTAAAAGTTAAATTGTAGATTTTATAATAATACGACAACACTGGATGTATAGACTACAAAACTAAAGCTCTAGGAAGAAGGAATTGAGACCAGTCCACCTTATCAATGAGTCCGCACTAGCTCTTATACTCCGTCCTGCCGAGAAGCTATTGTGTACCTAGGGTTAGTCTTATCAGTTCAATGTTATAAGCGCGGCCAACTCAAGATCGTCAGACTATCATGCAGCTTGATGTGTTCTAAGACGCTTTCTTTGACCCAGATACACAATGACATCAAAAATTCCGATACCGCCACTGGTTGAAGGAATAACCTAACTATCGCTACCGATTTGTGATACAACCGTGGCTATTCTCTTACTAGAACCGAAAAAGTTCGTCGCTGGGCAAACCTTACAGGACTAATCCCCGACTCGCTCCCTTTGCAGCTCTCAGGGTCCAACCTACATTTATTCGGTCCACCTAAAGTTGACATCATGACCAACCGGGAGCCCATCCAGTCCCTACCATTTGCATATAATGCGCGTATGTAGCATGTAGCTTTGTCTAGGCTTTTCCCAATGTAACCTACTAGAGGGACAAAGAACCCCAACTGGTCAAATCGGGGACAACGTAGGAGCTATAGGTGGGGGTCAAGCGTCACCGCTCACAAACTCAACTCCTATCATGGAAAGGAGGTCCACAGAATTAACTCGTACTCCGGGTCGGTGGAAATGGTGTAAACGAATAAAATTATAGTTGTATATCGCACGTCATGAAACCCCGGAATAGTGATTAGTTGTGTCGTATAGGATGTTCCGGTAGCGGCGCAAGGCCGTGATATCGATAGCTTCTAGGAACGCGGTCCGGGGCCCGGGGTTGCGTATGCCTCCCATGCTCCGATATATCAAGCAGGAGGAACCGACGTGGGTAAATAGTTGTCACTATCGGAATACTAGGAAGCGTTAGACTATTATCGGCTAGGCTACGGGTCTATTTGATTCACGGGAATTCCGATTGGTGATTGTAATCACACCAATTCCTCGAAACTTTTACATATAGGAAGTGTATAGAAGGTGTGCTTCTGTACTACGGTATTAAGATTCTATAACCTCCTTTCCCCTTTCATACCAAGTAATTCATTTAGATAAGTTCAGTCGTCGACCCCGGCCAATTTTAGGACTATCTCTATATCAGTTGCGCCAACTGCCTCCTACGACGATGACTTTATGTGCTTCAAGTTGGCTCATAGGAAGCGTCAAGGTTTGAGATGAGAGATGTATAAGACGCTCTGGGTGGTCATTGGTCTCCATAACTGAGGTTTAGAGCTCGTATCACGAGATCGAGCAAGGATAGAGACAACTTTACTGTTATCCGAAGAACTCTAAACTTGGCCACGGAAGCTCGTGGCTATATAAACTGGATAAATACATCCCAACATCTTGCAGAGTAATGAAGTTATCTTCAAGCTTTCTGAGTCCATTTCATAACAGACAACAGTTTTTATATTTTTACGAATGCAAGATTAGAATATGGCATAGCACCTAACCTAGGGCTTACGAATACTACACAGGTAGCCCTGCTGTTGCAGTGTAATTTTTAGAGTTCGAGGTTTGTTGGTAAAGGAGTAATATCAAGCTCAACGATATTGTATACCTGTCTATATGAGAACTGCTATCCCTAAGGAGAAATTACTCGCTTTTATCTACTATCGGTTATAACCGGCTAGATAGCTTACAAAACGTATATATCGCGGGAAACTTATATATATAGAAAGAGATGTAAAAGGGAGCAACAAGTTATTTGAGGGGGGTAGTAGTCATTTATGTAGTATAGAGCTCACCCCGACATACGTCTCTGTAAAAATGTGTGATAGGATGATACATTTATAATTGGCCATTATTTAGGGGTTAAATTTGACAATATTCACAATATTGCAGACTAACATCATGTGCAAGAAAAGCTTGACTATAATGTACAGAAATCTAAGTGTTTAATGTGGGTTGGTTTAGAAGCCTGAGTATAGAGTTATCTAACCCAGGTACCCCAGGTGAGTTTTTTTTTATAGTCGCTTAGCTAATTAGATAATCTTAAGTGTTTGCAGCAACGGAACATAGATTTATAATGTATTTTTCTTAGGTGTGTTAGGTTATATAGTTCGATGGAGCAAGTCTTTAATATTGAGTAGTTAAAGTAGTAAACATTAATAACTCTATATGCATTACGTCTTCTTAGCTAACCCAAATTTCCCCTAGGAGAGCGGAAGTGTTATAAGTTTATACTCTATGTCCTTAAGTGCCAGCTTGACCACAGTACGTTTCTTATTTATATCTGGTTGGTGAAGCTCTTTTGGGACATGCTTAAGATGCATATCTCGGGTCTTTTGGAAGTCTTGATTTGAGAATATAAGTGGAATGTGAAATACCTGTATCAAGATGGCAACTTGAGGACATTGATTCATCGTGAATTCTTTATTATAGCTTCATATGATGTCGGGGTTTGAGTAATAAGGGATGCTTTACAAAGGGATAGTAATAAAGCCGAAGAATATATTAAGCTATATCAACTATTCCTTTCTGATCGTAGTTCTCTATAGAGTGGATAGCCATGTGTTTCATGCTGCTGGGTTAGAAAATGTACTAGGGAACAAACAGGACTACTCGAGCTGGGGGCGGTGAAGATTTAGTTACATAGTGTTATGGCCCTATATTCAATGCTACTATTGTGTTGTTGGCAGGACCACAATTAATAAAGTAGAATTTTTTTCATTACTCGCTTCTTTCAAAATGCAAATAATAATAGACTACTTGAATTGGTAGTAAACAAAGTAGCGTTGCATAAAACGAACGTATCATAAGAATGTATTGTAGGCTACGTCACTCTTTGGTGGCGCTAATGTAAGGTTGTTTTGGTGGGCTGTGCGGGGCAGGTGGCCTACCTCCCGTTGCTATGTCATCGGCGCCTGACGCTTTCAGCTGATTGAACCAATTCTATTTTATTGTTTACAGTAGGTACCTTAGCTACCTAAATGCTAAGGTACAATTAGGTACAATTAGGTGGTACCTATACATACCTATGTATGTACCTCATAGCTTTACAGCTAATACAACAGCTAATACATGAGTTAAAGGTCTCCCCACATGATATAAGCCCCTTGTTCCTTGTCGAACCATAGACCCAAACTCTTGTTGTCTTCATAAAAACCCATTGTTTTAAGCTCGCAAGGTTGACAGCTTAGAAACAAGCTTGAAATACCTTACCTACTGCATATTCTACATCAAACAATAGCAACATAACCACGCATATACAAGTTGCGAACACTCAAATAGACAGCATGGCCGACGAAAACAAGGAGCAACAGCGGACTTCAGTCGACGAGACTCCTATTTCCCCTATCCGCCCGAATGGTGAGAGGAGGAACTCGCTCGAACAACACCTGAAGCAGCGTCCTGACCGTTCTGAGCTTATTGAGAGTACGATAGCTCCCATTATACCTATATTTCCCTATGTAGAAGCTACTATTGCATACACATCCTGTATAAAGCTGACACAGCCTTCTCTCCAACAGGGAACATCTTACCTGCTTCGAATGTCGCCCCCGGCCTTCAGGAAAAGCAGAGGGAGGTGAGTATTTATATCTGCCCCTCTCATCCGTGAAGAAGTTTAAAAAAGCGAAAATAACTAACTATGAGCTCAAATACATAGCTTGCAAGACACATGCGCGCCGACTCGCTCAACGACAAGATCTCCCACCGACCCCCTCCTGAGAAACTTATCAAGGATGGTGTACTTCACGAAGACCCCCGATCACCCGAGGAGAAGTACCAAGAGGCTATCGAGGAGGAGTATGCTAAGCGCGAGGGCGGTGCTTAAATGAATGAAACGGGTTTGCTGGCTGTGATACTCCTGGATTGCTATGATGATTTGACAAATGTTATCGGTTGATATCGAGTACTATATAAGTGGAAGCTTGCTGTGAATTCATGTGAAATCTAATAAAATATAATCATAAACATATTATGCGGGACAAAAATATTTGATTTTTTATTTAAGCTAACTATCTAATCTACCTGATCTCAAAGAGTATGGCGTTTCTTGGGCTGATCATGGCATCATCTCACCCATCTTGCAGCTGAGACTTTCCCACAATAGTTACAGGTGTAGCAGGCTATTCTACGTAAAATAATACAGGGACAAATAGGAAGGTAAATAAATCCGCCAGTAACCTGTCTATACAGCTTCAAACTTACGCGGCCACGTCGTAGTGTATTCGACAAAGTGGATCAAGCCCAACTCCAACTCCAAGACCAAAGACCAAGACCAGGACACACCCCCACTTCCCCGACTTCCTTTCCTAGGACGGCGCAATTCCACCATTAAGAAAGGGGGATTCCGGTCCGGGTTGATGGGCCAATGTAACACTCGGTCCTCAAGCAGCCGAACGCTCCATGCTAGCGCTGGGGGACACTCCCTGCGACTTTGTCGTGTGCCCGGATCTTGGGAACGGGGACGAGTTCCGATAGGCACGCATATTGAGAGTGGCCGGGTTGCCCCGGATCGTCGTTTGTGCCGGCACTATACGAGATGCAGGTCCAAGGTGCTTCTCCGCATACCATGGGGCTCATGGTCTTGTTGGAGGACGCATTGTGATCTACTGTATATATAAAGATAAGGATTAATACGCATATGATAGGATTTAGAAGGTGCGATCAGACTGCAAGGTGATCTTGGATCGTGTGTTGGAACCACATTCGTTCCTCGTTGACACGATGCATCTAAAGTTATCCGTGTTAGCTAGCACCTTTGCGTGCGCAGTCTCTTTAGCTGCTGCTGTTGATATCTCCGTAAAGTCGACAGGTGGAAACGCTACTAACGGTCATCAATATGGCTTCTTGCATGAAGTAAGTCATATACATATTAAAATGAGGAATAAAATACTCAACTTACTCAATTAGGACATTAACAACTCGGGCGACGGCGGTCTCTACGCCGAGCTAATCCGCAACCGAGCCTTCCAGATCAGTGAACGCTTCCCAGCTTCACTTGACGGATGGCATTCTGTGAACGGCGCTAAGCTATCGTTGAAAAACTTGAGCACGCCGCTATCCGACGTCTTGGTTACTTCCCTGAATGTTGCAGTTCCTGAGGGACAAGACCAAGTAGGATTTTTAAATGACGGGTACTGGGGTATGGACGTCAAGGCTAGCAATAAATATAGCGGTTCGTTCTGGGTTAAGGGGGTATATTCCGGCCAATTTACTGCCTCGCTGCAGTCGAGCACAACCAGTCAGACTTTTGGAAGTACGAAAGTCAAGTCCCAGTCTACCGCTGATCAGTGGACGGAACATAACTTCGAGTTGACTCCCTCGCAAGACGCACCGAGTTCTAATAATACGTTTGCCATCACATTTGATACCTCGGTAAGTAGCTCATCGAGCTGATGAAGCAGGTATGGCTGGTCTAATAAGGATGTCTCAACAGGGCGCAGAGACAGGGTCGCTTGACTTCAATCTCATCAGTCTCTTCCCTCCTACATTTAAGGGACGGCAAAATGGGATGCGTGTCGATATCTCAGAAGCATTGGAACAACTTCACCCTACCCTCTTCCGTATCCCGGGCGGTAACAGTGAGTCGTTTTTATTCATGCGATTTCCAAATCGTATAGCCTTGATAACTAACCGACTATACTGTGCTTCACAGTGCTTGAAGGCTTGACAAACAGGACATGGTGGGACTGGAAGAATACACTAGGCCCCCTGAAGAATCGACCCGGCTTCACGGGTGTATGGGGATACCAGCAAACCAACGGCTTGGGGTTACTTGAATACCTAGAGTTTGCAGAGGACTTAGGAATGGAGATTGGTAAGGTTTCATTCATACCTTTATAGACAATATCTAATTTAGTGATGATAGTCCTCGGCGTCTACGACGGCCTCTCTCTCAATGGGGACATCACACCACAGGATGACCTGCAATTCTTCATCGACGACGCCCTCGACCAAATCGAATTCGTCCGCGGACCCGCCGATTCCAAATGGGGCTCCGTCCGCGCGCAGCTAGGGCACCCGGAACCCTGGAAGCTAGAATACGTAGAGATCGGTAACGAAGACTGGCTTGCCGGGGCACCGAAGGGCTGGGATACGTTCAAAAAGTACCGGTTCCCGCTGTTCCTCGAGGCCATTAACAAGGCGTACCCGGATATCCAAGTTATCTCCTCGGGCTCGGTTTACGACGGATACGACATCCCAACACCGGGAGCTGGCGATTACCATGTGTATGCTGAGCCGGACACGCTTGTTGCTGAGTTTTCGAAGTTTGATAACGTGAAACAACCGCATATCATTGGCGAGATGGCGGCGGTCCATCCGAATGGTGGTTCTGGCTGGGACGGGCCGCAACAACCGTTTCCCTGGTTAGTATCATTCCATTGAATTTATTAAAAGTCTTTACCTTATAATCCTCCCGGACTCGTTTGAATATTATGACTACGTTAGCTGTGGGGCTTGGATATATGCTAACTTGAAGCTTCGTATAGGTGGGGAGGCGCCGTTGGTGAGGCCGTGTCGCTCATCGGCTACGAGCGCAATGCAGACAGAATCATCGGGGCGGCATATGTAAGTTACAGTTTGATAATTTTGTGTAAAGTTAGGAATTGTGAAGGACTAAACTAATAAATGCTACAGGCACCGATCATTCGGAATAGTATGTCGAACTTACCACTTACGCCTATTCACCCCCTATGAGCATTGCTAATTGATATATGATAGTGAACCGCTGGCAGTGGGAAATTACAGCCATTCAGTTCACTGCTAATAAGGTTACTCGATCTACGTCTTGGTACGTATGGGAGGTAAGTTATATTACCATATTCGAAGCTTTGGAATACATACTTATACTACTTGCGAATAGCTTATGGCGGCTCATCTCCTAACAGAGACACTGCCGGCAACTTCACAGTTTGATCCGGTCTACTACGTGGCTGGAAAGAACGATAAGACAGGAGGACACATTTTCAAAGCAGCAGTCTATAATTCAACAGACGGTGCTGATGTCCCTGTCAAATTATCCTTCGAAGGTGTTAAACAGGGAACGACTGCCGAGTTAACTATCCTCACGGGACCGAAAGATCCATATGGTGTCAATGATCCGGCTACCGACATTAATGTTGTAAAGACTAGTAAGAAGACGATACGATCCGACAAGACCGGTAGTTTTCAATTTTCGTTACCTAACTTGAGTATTGCCGTCTTGGATACGAGCCCCCCGAAGTCTCGTCGCTGGAATAGGGCAGCAGGAAAGGGTTGATCTTCTGAGTTATCTTGGCAATCAATATGTTAGATTATGACATATAATATAAATAATACCCGCTGGCAATTTCTGTTAAATCAAAAACAATCCTACCGTCGACGTGATTAATAAGAGATGAAGTAACATATTTACGTGGACTAAGAGGCTCTTGGAAATTGGAGGCTCGGCGAATTCAACTCGTTAGATCCTATTGGTTAATAGGAAAAAGAGAATGAATGGTTCTGGTTCCGTAATGATGTGGTTGCAAGTCATAGGAGAGCCTCGAGGATATGTATCTCGAGTTGTGGGGTAGCACGTATATGCGACCAGTTGTCCCATATTGGGGGCTACACTGCTGTGCTGTCTTTCACCAATAAACGCTCGAGACATAGGAGACACATGGCTTGCGAAACACATGCAAGCTTTGGATGAGGTAAGTGTAGGCGAAGTTGGAGTAAAGAAACGGAGTTTTTATGTTGCTCTCCGCCTGCATCGCTGCCCGACTAAGCTGAAGCCTCTCTTTAAAGGGTCAGCAACTAGTACGCTCTTATCCGGCTAGATTTTGGAGGCTCATACCCCGGAGAGAACATGGCAAACACGATAGCGGATAGACGGCGTGTTTACCTCGCCTGTCGAGCCATCTTCGTGGGCCAGAAAGCGGAGCTACGGAAACAGAAAAAGATACGCGAAGAGATCGAGAGGTGGCCACAGGTGTTAAGGTCACTTACCCATGGCTTGAGCATAGAGAATGTGGTCGAGATCCTTCGCGACCTCCTATCACGGCATATCTTTAAATCAGAAGTCAAGGCGAAGGCGGAATTTCCCGAATTGTTCCACACACCACCGGAACAGGAGGTCAAACGTGAAGCATCTGAAGTTAAAGCTGCTAAATCGACAGCCGAGGTACTAGACGAAGTTGCTAGTGTAGGACAAAACGACGCCGAATGCAATGCCGGAGTTGAGGAACATGCTACTAAGCAAACCAACGAGAACGCCGTCAAACAGACCGACGAGGACGTCATCAAACAAACCGATGAGGGTGTCACTAAGCAAGTTGATGAGGACGCCACCAAGCAAGCTGATGAGAATTCCACCAATCAAACTGGCGAGGTGCTTAACGGGACTGAAAGAGATAGTCCACACCCTAAAATCGAGTTCCCAAGCACCGGAAATGTAACTTCACAACAGCTAGTCACACTGCCTTCACTATACCCGACATACATTCCGTATAAGGCACAGCATATTATACTAAGTGAGGCGCAACGTATGCTAGAGGAAAGTTGCTTCGAATTTACTAGAAAACATATGCCGGCACTTCTCGAGAATACAGGGTTGGACTGCGCTAGTTCACTCGAACTGACAAAATGGACGCGACTGCTGGCTAAGATGGCTGACGAGATACCCGAAACGGCGTTTGACTTGGGAGCAACACCTTTGAGAGAGGTGCTATTCTCAACAGACAAATTGCGACATAGCGCGGTTCATAGGGTCCCGATGACTGCCCGTGGTATAAAAGATCTACTCAAGTCAGCAGTGACCCTTGCATTTACAATTGGTGACCACAAGCATGCGGGCCAACTCGAAGAGATATGCTACGAGCTAGACAATAAAGTCAAAGCGATGGAGATGAATAAAAATGCACTGGTGTATTCTGCCACAGCCGATCTGCAGGATATTCAACGGCGGCGAGAAGAGTTGGATAACCTGGAGAAAGAAGTGCTTGCCACCATGGTGAGAAATGATCAGAAGAATAGAGGCTTTATCGGAGCGCTACTGGAAGATTCGGTGGGTAGGATCCTGGAAGGGAAGACGGAGATTGAGACGGAGATGGACGAGGAGTTGAAGATGGAGGAGGATGAAGAGGAATTTTCAGAGTGTCATACAAGTGTGGAGGACTTTGAACAGGATTCAGTTGTATAGTAACCACTTGTGATATATGTGTAATTTGATATATGTAACTTGGGATGATATATTCCGTATAATATCACGATATATGTAATAGTTGTTATTGTTAGAGTCTAAAACTTAGAGGTAGGTACAAGCATAGGAACCCACTAGGCTAAGTACCTCCTAGAATACCCCTCACAGTGTCCGTCGCACCCGCATCCGCATATACATCGTACCTCATTAATTATTTAAAATAGGCATCACGTGTTAACGCGTAAAAAGGATGACGCGCTGCAAGTCTTGGAGTATCTTTGTCTCATTACCCCCGCGATAAAGAATCATGATTATGATAAGAGGAATCGTCTTCAAATTTACAGCATGAATTCGAAATGGCTGAGAGACCTGGTACACCGAAAACCGAGAAAAAAGAGCCCGAGGTAGAAGGGCCTAAGCAAGATGATGGCCAACATAATACTCTCAAATACTCTCTCCTCGGGCCTTCGCTCACCAAAGCCGGCCAGGACTCTGTCGATCAATCTAAGGTTTCGGAAATCATTTATAACGCATCCAAAGGATCTAAGTTCTTTAACCGCGAAGAAGTCAAGGACAAGATCTTGACGCAGAAGATCGAGCAGATTTTGGAGAAGAAGCGGCGTCTAGAGAAGCTTGATCTAACTCGCGAGCTCCGGGCTGCGGATCAACTCATAACCCAGCTCGAGGTCTCCCGTGACTTAACGCAGTATATAGTCCACGTCGATTGCGATGCATTCTATGCTGCCGTAGAGCAACTCGACCGACCCGAGCTCAAGGATGTCCCATTCGCTGTTGGAGGCGGCGTGCTCACTACATGCAATTACCTCGCTCGAAAATTCGGTTGTCGAAGTGGCATGGCTGGCTTCGTCGCCAAAAAGCTATGTCCTAACCTCCTCCTTCTCCCTCTCAACTTTGACAAGTACACCTCCAAAGCTCAGGAGGTCCGACAAGTCTTGGCGCAATACGATCCAAGGTTCCAAAGCGCTAGTATCGACGAGGCTTATCTCAACATCACCGAATATTGTGTCGAACATAACATGACGCCCGAGGACACTGTCCAGCAAATGCGAGACGAGATTCATGAGAAGACGAAGATCACGGTTTCTGCTGGAATTGCCGCAAATGCGAAGCTGGCTAAAATCTGTTCTAATATGAACAAGCCTAATGGCCAATACATCCTGCCTAACGATCGTAATGCTATAATGAATTTCATGCGCGACCTTCCGACGAGAAAGGTAAACGGAATCGGGCGAGTTTTAGAACGGGAGTTGCAGGAGATAGGGGTCAAAACATGTGGCGATGTCTATCCCCATCGTCAGCTTTTGGTACGTGCACAGACTCATTTCTGGACTTCGATATGACGATCCTTTACTTTGAACCGAGACTAACACATGCTTAGTACGTTAAAATACCTTTCTATTTTACAATCTGTAATTCTTCTCTTAGCAATTAAGCTAGGCGGTAAAATAACAAGGGATCTGCTTATTCAAAGTACTAACTTATCGCAGACGTCAACTTTTCGGTGAAAAAACGTACGAATTCCTGCTCATGTGTTATCTCGGGCTAGGCAGGACCGAAGTCCAGCCCGTGGAGGAGTTTGAACGGAAGAGCGTCGGAACCGAAAGCACGTTCCGAGATCTTTCAGACCCAGTACAACTGAGAGAAAAACTGAAGCAGACAGCTGACGAATTAGAAAAGGACATGCGAAGAGCCGAGTGCAAAGGTCGGACTCTTGTCTTAAAGGTAAAGTTACATACATACGAAGTTTTGACGAGGCAAGTTGTGACGCCAAGAGCTATTTGCGCCGCGGACGACTTATATAATTATTCGTTGCCTATCTTGGCAAAGCTGGAGCAAGAGGTTCCGGGTATGAAGTTACGCTTAATGGGCCTCCGGTGCACGCACCTAGTTAGCACCAAGAAGCCCGACGCTCGTACATTTTTTGGACTGAGACCTTTAAAAACGGGGTCCGACGGGTTGGCCGACGAAGGGACAACCGAATCTGCCCAAGAATATGATATTCCACAAGAACTCCTAGACCAATTACCTGACGATGATACCCACGAGCCCGGCTTAGATCTCGCCGGGCCTCCCAAAGCCGAAAAAGACACCACTTACCGACGCCACGGCAAAGAAATCCTCCCAAACCCCAACCCTAACCCCAAACGCCCAGCCCCAGACCCCGAGCCTGAGGAATATTGGGATTGTCCCATCTGCAGCCGGCCGCAAGCCACCGACGAGCGCCTGTTCAACGAGCACATCGACCTGTGTCTTTCGCGCCAGACGATCCGTGATACGGTTCAGCGCGAATTCAAACCTAACCCGAGCTCTGCAGTTGACGCCGCGCCACAGCCCAAGAGGCGAAAAGGCAGTACCGAGAAGAAGCAACGTAGCCGGACGACGAATTCGGCTGATCCGAGGCAGACGAAGCTGTTTTTTGGTGGGGGATTATGAGATTTGTTTATACTTTATGATGATAGTTGTATATAATGATGCAAATATTGTTAGTATTATACCTCCGCCCTTGGCCCATAGTAATTTTGTTTCCTTTATTTTGTTTCCCTGCCAGCCAGTCGCCCGTATTCTTCTTGAAGCTTCCTACGCCTCCTTTATTATAACGTACCTACGGCTCGTGTGTAGCGGTCGCTACGTAGCTGTGGGCTAGTCAAAATACGTCGGACATCTTCGGACGGCAGTTAACTACAGTAATCTAAAAGTGAGGGCAAAGATGGCTTTTGGTTCCTCGCGCATCATATTATTCCCGAACAAGCCTCTACTATGGCGCCCCCGTGGATCTTACAATCACACCTCATTATTATGTTCACAAGGACGCAATCTACTAACTTATTACATACTGAGACTACAGTTTCTCTGGGCACATCCGGTTATAGTCCCAATATATCTGTTCGCATTTTGGAGGCAGACTAGCTCGGCGATGCTTATCCTAATCTATATTGTTTGGGTAATGTAACACGCAAAAATATAGTACGAAATGAGTATTACTGCATGTGGAGACAGAAGTATCAAAACGAGATGTCTACACGATGGGATCGGATAATATTATTCTTATCCAATTATAGAAGCGTCATCAAGTTTTCTGCATAATTGCTTCTACTACGAGACTTCTCATATATTCCAAATCTATTTCCGAACAGCGCTAAAATCTATACCGATTCCTGTAATTTTCAGAGGTCGGAATAACCTTCTTGTTGAATCAGAGACATTCATTAGACTTGCCCAACTTCTCAATTGAAACCTAGCACCAATAGCAATGAATTAATATAAAACGATTTCTCCTGAACCCTCCTGTTCAGAAGTATTTTAGATCAGTCCTTAGTTACTAGCCGTTTTCTTAACTAAAGCACAGTACCAAGGCAAAAGCTAGCATTAATAAGTAAAAAAGTCGAGACGATCACATTTAAATATAACGTATAGCTTATACGGAAAACCAAAATCACTATACCATTACAAGGTTAAATACCCGTAAAACCCTCCCATCTTAGTTAATGAACAGTCATCTTTGCATGACAATAGAGGCAGCTAAAACCAGCGAACATAGCACTTTATGATAAAAAGCCAGTTGTGAGTAGAACAAAGAAAGGACAGTATTTTGACTTGCTTAGAGTTATTTATAATAATGGGATTGATTCATTCAGGGCCATTGTTTGTGAAAGGTCTTTACTCTAGCTATGGCTAGTCTTATGTTGATATAAACTAGTTTGCGCAATAATTTATTAACATTGAACACAAGTATATCATTACCTAACAGTAATCGCCCGTATTGGCGCGGTTTACTATAAAACCAATATCCACGTAACGACACTAGTATTTCACAGTCATAACTAGAACACGAATAACATAATGGATTACGATTTAATAGGAAGGTTGCTCCTATCGCTACCTGCAGAAGATGCGGAAAATGCTAGGATGGCAGCATTGGCAGATAGGACCTCCACGTATTTCACAACAAATCAGAATCTTATATACCGTGGTGTTGCAGGAATAGGGCGCCGTAAGTAAGCTTCTCTTCTATTACGAGAGGACCACATTTATTTTTATCTATATATCTCGAGTTTTCCAGCAGACAAATACTAATAGTCATTCTTGCACCTAGATGGCGGTGCACTTCTTTTCCTTGATAAAAGAAGACACCCCTCTCGGAACATAGTTGTAAAGTACTCTATTAGCGATGAAGCGGACGCGGACTTGAGAAATGAGGCACAATATCTCGAAATGCTAAGAGGCGCCGAGCATATCGGGCAGATGATTCCTCTTGCTGAGGCCAATCTTAATGTATCGGGTACTGGGAAACGTCCTACCCTCGCGCTCGATTTTATTCCGCATGGTACAATATATGCCTTTCGGGATAGGATGGACCAAGCTCACTATCGAGTTCCCAGTCGGTTTCTTTGGCGTGCATTTCTCTGTTGTCAGTACTACCATTTCCCTAAACACATTGGCCTCTCGGGTTTGCGCCAACTACACTCTCAAACAAGAAGCTAACCAGCATTTTCTCATTATAGTGGTACGTCAGGTGCTAGCTATGGCATTTCCCCCGCAGGGCGGACCCGATGAACCGCTGAGTCGGGAACAATTTCACGGTCATCCGCCATTAGGAGTGATACAGAATTCACCTCATGGGAATAATGTTATTATTGGTGATCTAACTAGTGATGACTTCGAACATTCACTTGTTCCAATATTTAAGGTGTGTCAAGTCTTGTTGTAAGAGTGAAATTATGCCTCCAGTATTCCTCGATGAAGAAAATTGCGAGTGTGAAACATGCTAATTTTTGTTCCAGCTCATTGACTTTGGACGGGGAGATGTATTACCAAATGCAGACGACGCGATTTACAATAATATTGCTAATATCGGAGTTGTAAGCCACCCTAGTATAAAAGTCCATCTCTGAATATCTTGCTAATAGACCTACAGCTATTCATTATTATTTTCCAACATCAGCTTGATGAGTCTTATCTAAATCGCATTCCACATGGGGGCTGGCCATACCAACTCGATAATGGACAATGGATAGCGACAGAGGCACCCCCTTTCTTTACACAATCACCGTTCATAGATATTGAATTACGAGACCTCGTAGCAAGATGCATGGCGATCGGTCGTGACGCGGTCCCAACTCTAGACCAGCTCCTAGAAGAGGCCCAGAGAGGAGTGGCAAAAAGACCTGAAGATATAGTACTTGATGATACCAGAATAAATACCATACAGACCGAGGGGGACGATATGATTGGAGCTTTGGTACAACAATTCATATTAAATGCTGCCATTATAGAAGAGGAAGCAGCCACGCTCAATCGACGTACAATTAACCATCATCTAGGAACAACTCTACTAGGTATCAATGCGACTACAAGACCAGGACCAGCCCAACCCCAATTCAAACGAAGTAATCTAGAACCCGACACGGTAGTCGATAATGACGTTGATTAGAATCAATGACTACTTTTTTGAGAGTATTGGTTACGACGAAAGCTTAGTATAAAACGGATGGCTGGCCTATCGCTAAGCGTACTTCTTGGGTGTCTTAACGATAGGGAAAAGACTATAAAAACGGCGCCCATATTCGAGTAGCCTTTTGACTGGAAGTATACGTCGTGGACTTCATGGGGATCTAGGGGAACTTATGATGTTGAATTTAGAAAGGAAATGTTTATCCAATTCCTGCATAATTCTATAACGTTGTTATGAGATGTCAATATCTAAGTGAATATAATAGTATGTAGTATATCGAGAGCTCGCCTTATGTAAGGCTACTTGCTATTTGACAAATGCATTATAGCCCAGAAAGCCGAGCATTATCTCGGCCTGTATTAATCAAACTCCGTCCCTTGAATAGTCTTTTTAATGAAGGTGATGTTTAAAAATATCAAGTGACACTCCCCACGCGGAAAGCCTTAATTAACATCAAAAATTGAGAGAGGAATTCGTCATAGACCTAGTTTAGGAAAGCTGTACGTGACAAATAAGCTAGAGAAAATAGTAAACATTCGGAAATTCACCGAGAGCTTCTCCAAGTATACTTGCACGAATTATAGCTGCCCTTCAGGTACCTAGCCAATCGATAACTTGCTCATGGACCTCAAATCGATAGAGCGGCCGAGCATTGCGCCGCATCACACGTCACCGGCTTATTGGCACGTGTAGAATTATTCGTGGAGTGAATACCTTCCATCTCGGCATAGAGTAGTTTGGAGATAGTCTACATTGGCTTCATAGTGTTGACGTGTTGATACCACTCGGTTTTTAAGGCAATAATGATTCCGATTGTTAGCAAATTAAGTAAAGGCTTCAAGCAGACATAAAGCTCCCTCGGCGTTATTATATGGCCACTATTCCGACCTTTAGGGGGAAAATTCTAGAGTCATGTCAGCTAACCTACCTCATTTTGTCAGAAGCCTACCGGATCCTTCCGAATTAGAAACAAGGTACCAAAGTCATGTAAAACCGGCTTACAAGAGCTACTACTGTAGGGACTGAGCCTCGGTCATTCTTAGTAAGTTAAATCGTGCCGGCCCAATGCATGTCGGTGCCATTCACACTTTCCAATCCGTGGAGTCCCCGCGCCCTAGCAGCCTGGGCCGTGGTTGGGCGAATCGAAGCGCGGGAGCTGAATCGCTTTCGGCCTATTGCAACGAATCGCGCGGTGCGGAGTGACGATCGTTTCATGCACCAAGGGGCAGCCTAACTTCATCTGGAAAGGAGAAACAGGGGATAGAAGACTTGGAGATGGGGCTCATGTTAATAATATTATTGCATTAAGTAACCTATCGCCCTATTTGCCCATGATTCTTATTTCCTAATGTTGAAAAATATCCAATAGGTGTTGCTGGTAAGGATGGCGGAGTTAGTGACGGAGCTTTTGTCGGTCATTCTTGTACTCGGTCCGTGTACTGTTGAAATCGGCCTCTTATGAAATATGACCGGAGGCGGGGACGGGGTAGGAGTTGAACGGAGATGAAAGGAGGTGTTGTCTTAGTTTCGTGCGGTCATAATCGTGAGCCACGCCGCCCCCATACTATAAGTGCATCGACAAACTCCATCCTTTCTCTCTCTCTTCTCTTGAGCCATTCCCAACCCTTCTAGGTAACATTATTCTTGGGTATCTGATCGCTTATACTTGTCGCAAATATGCGCGCCTCGTTAACTTCGCTCGCGTTCCTTTCCGAGCTACTCACCGTGGCCCTCTCGGCCGACGTGAACGCTTGGAAATCCAGGAACATCTACTTTGCGCTGACAGATCGTGTCGCTCGGAGCAGCAGTGACACTGGAGGCAATGCATGCGGCGACCTCTCGAATTACTGTGGTGGTACTTTTAAGGGTCTTCAGTCAAAGCTCGACTACATTGCTGGTATGGGCTTCGATGCTATCTGGATAACCCCTGTAGTTACAAGTGAGTCTTGCCTTTTTCATGAGACGTTTACCCTCAGTAAGCTAATCACTGTGCCAAATTAAGACAGCAATGGGGGTTATCACGGATACTGGGCGACGGATCTATATGGCATCAATTCGAACCACGGTACAGCAGATGACCTCAAGGCTCTAGTTAGCGCTGCTCATGAAAAGGTATTCGAAAGAGCCATTCCCCATCCTTAATTGACCGCTAATATAAAATTCGTCAACTAGGGTATCTATATTATGGTTGATGTGGTCGCGAACCACGTGGGCCCATCTAACGTCGCGGATCGCAAACCAGCACCACTGAACCAAGGCAGCTCCTATCATTCGCAATGCGAGATCAACTATTCCGACCAGAACAGCGTGGAGAACTGCTGGATTGCTAACTTACCTGACTTGAACACGCAAAATTCCGAGATCCGGACCGTCTACCAGAATTGGATCAAATGGCTTGTATCGGAATATAGCTTCGATGGTGTTCGCATCGACACTGTGAAGCATGTCGAGAAAGATTATTGGCCAGGATTCTCCAGCGCTGCCGGAGTCTACACAATCGGCGAGGTCTTTGACGGTAACCCAAGCTACGTCGCGGGCTACGCCAGTCTCATGTCTGGATTGCTGAACTACCCCATGTATTACCCAATGAATAATTTCTATCAGCAGAAGGGATCGAGCCAGGCCCTCGTCGATATGTTTAACCAGATCAGCTCGTCGTTCCCCGACCCCACGGCGCTAGGCTCGTTCCTCGACAACCACGACAATGCGCGATGGTTAAACTCGAAGAACGACCTTGCTCTGCTCAAGAACGCTCTCGCCTACGTCATCCTGGCTAGGGGTATTCCCATCGTGTACTACGGTACAGAGCAGGCGTATGCTGGTGGTAACGACCCCGCCAACCGTGAAGATCTCTGGCGCAGCAGTTTTAATACCAATGCCGAAATCTACAAAGCTATATCTAAGCTATCCGCCGCCAGGAAATCGGCCGGTGGACTAGCTGGTAACGACCATACACATTTGTATGTTGCGGATACTGCTTATGCCTGGAGCCGAGCCGGTGGCAACTTGGTTGTTCTCACCACCAACAGTGGATCTGGGTCGAGCGGACAGCACTGCTTTAACACGCAAGCTCCTAACAGATCGTGGAACAACACTTTCAGTACTGGGTCCTACACTTCGGACGGAAACGGAAAGGTATGCTTGAATGTTAGCAACGGCGAGCCGGTCGTGCTGGTTGCATCTTAAAAATCGCGCGCAGCGTGAAACAGCTGAAATACATATCTTGGATGCCTGCCTATCTACCTAGGGTAGGTGGGGATAAAATGTAACAGTCGCGTGTTTAATGTATAGGATTTAGTTTAAAATAAAATAAGAAAGCTGAGCTACTAAATAAAGCAAGCCCTTCCAAGAATATTACGTAATTCAGTTACAGAAGTGGAACAGATTAAATTAAAGTACGTATTGTTTCGGGACCGGCCGTGGATACCTTTAACTTAGTGGGTATATGAGTGGTCCCCCGGGTCAGATAAAAAAATATCGCACGGCGCCCGGCTTACAAGACGCCCGATGAAGGCGTTTCAATATTCCTTTTGTGGAGGTGGTTCGATTATACATGGCCATTTCCCTAAATAGACCTGTTGCTTAACACTCGTACGAACAAATATGCTACACCATGTCAGACTTAGCATGACCTAAGCAGCTGCTAAGGCACTGATGTAGGAGGCTTCGGATTCGGACTTGAGCGCCCGCCGTCCCTCCGTTGTTTGTAATCATTGTTCCGAACCCCGAAAATAGGTATATAATATGGATATATGGGAGTTGAACTTTACGCTATATAGACTTTTATAACTCTTAAAATTTGAAGAATAATTGCAGGAGCAGACTTGGTTTGCATTGAGACACTGGTTTTTCCTTGGGAATCATTTGAAGACGTTTGAAGACATTTGAGCGTTTCTTCTGCCAACATTTTCGTGTAACTGCATCAACGGAAGTCCGTTTGCTTTTTATTTTTAAAGGGCAGTCATAAATAATTGATTTATTCTCGCTAAATCTTTAATATCTATTTCTATCCTCCCTCACCCCTTTCAACTTCTCTAAGATAACACGCAGCGCTATTACGAGCGCATTCGACAATTCCGTGTCGAATATGAATTCTAGAGTACTCTCCGCAGCTCGCCTACCCCGAGGCGTAACTAGTATCGCAATTATTGGAACAAGCATTGGGCTGTACTATACCTACATGAGGAACGTTGCTTACGCGGATTCCGGTGCGCCGAAGAAGGCTTTCGGCTCTGGCCCGGCTTTTTTGTCTCTTGAGCTCGAGAGCACTGAAGCTGTAAACCACAACACTAAGCGATTACGATTTAAGCTTCCTACACCAGATACCGTTAGTGGCCTCACATTAACATGTAAGTGAAAACCAAAAGCGCACTAAATATGCCGCTACTTATTGTCGCCGTTGCTGACATTTGGGAAAGCCGCGCTCTTAACATACTCTTGGCCAAAAGGCAGTACATTTCCTGTTGTGCGGCCTTACACTCCGATTAACTCACTGGGTAAGATCAATTTTTTAATGTTTTTACCAATGAATATAATCTAATTTTTTAATTATTAGATGAACCAGGTGCTTTAGAACTTCTCATCAAGAAATACCCCGATGGGAAACAGAGCACATACATACACTCCCTAAAGCCGGGAGACTCGTTGCGCTTTGTCACCCGGATACCGGGATACAACTACCAACCAAATAAACACTCAGAGATCCTTTTAATCGCCGGAGGAGCCGGTATTACTCCTATCTATCAACTGATTCGGGGCATCTTGCAAAATCCCGAGGACCACACCAAGATCAACTTGGTATTTGGCGTAAACACAGATGCTGACTTGCTCCTAAGAAAGGAGTTCGACGAGTACGCAGCGAACTTTCCTAGTCGTTTCAACGTCACATATACGATCAGTCATCCCGCGAATGGTTCGCCGTTTCGACAAGGCTACGTTACCAAGGAGTTGCTGAATGAGGTAGCGCCCCAATCGGCTAGTTCCAAAGTGTTTGTTTGCGGACCGCCGCCGATGGAGACTGCGCTTGTGGGAAGCTGGCAGAAATCGGGGATCTTGCATGAACTTGGCTACCGGAAGGATCAAATACATAAGTTCTGAGCCTTTAGAAATATCGGAAGCTTTAGATCAGTAGATACTGGGGATCTCCCCTCGTAATATAAATAATTACTCTAAACTTAGTTATTTCAGTACAACATAACATCGAGTACCCATATAGTTAAGGCGACTAGCCAAACAAACTATCAAATTCAAGATTATTATATAGTTTAACTCATAAAAATTGCTTTCGTAATGAGTTTTTGGGTACGTATACATTGAGACCTCCCCAGCTGAGAGTTATAGGAAGACATGGTACAGATTAGGAATTCAATTTAAAATCGCGCATATTTACAACCAATTTTGGGATTATTATGAATGTACATACTAGAACGTATGCAGTTGATGGAATACACTCTGCTATGCTAAGATAGTAGGACTAGATATACGGAGATATCAGATAACCCCTGGTGGCCGCCAAGATTGTTGAACTGAATTATTAACGCCAGCCCTTTTATCCTCCATCGAGGGCGCTAGGCATCTCTTATATACTCAATATCTTAGTATACCTACCCCTGAATATACCCCTAACCCCTATATTTCCCGATAGGATACCTTCAAATAATGACGAATATATAAGGGGCAGCGTGATAGCAATAATATTTCAAGGTACGAGGTCCCCTAATTATCTTAACAAGCTTAAACCTAATATTATGCTAGGCTACTACTATTCTCTTAGTATTTTATATTTCATAAACCTTTCCGGCTGTACCGTTGCCATTTTTCTCAACGATCCCTTTGTTACTAGGCAAGGTGATGTACATTTTTCAGAAAGCAGAACTGAAGAAGCATGGGTCCAATTCCCCTGCATCTCTTTATGACCTCATATTTCTGTTGGACTTCCGAGCCAATATCAGTATTTCTTGGGATTATCCCCGGTGGGCAATAAAAGAGCGCCATATACAGCAAGGCTTCGTCGATAATGTGCGACGATTTGGATTCACGTGTAAAATATATGAGAATTTGCGCAATTGGAGCGGATAGATCGGCATATCTTCAGTTCACTGCGTGCCTATTCATTTAGCCGGAGCTTGAGGATCGGCGTGGCCAAGATTACTTTGCGGCTGGGATCTCCAATCGTTCGGCGGACATCAATACAATATTAGCGGATAAGTTCCCTTGGAGCCTCAAGGAGAACGGCTGAGAACGGAGCTGGTGGGAAATCGGGCTACTCTGCCGAGATTTTTGGCTATGACATCCGTCCCGAATGTCTTGGAGGTAGGGAATCTTCTAAGACGTAATCAGCAAAGACCAGCATATAGAGGAAGACTCTTAGCAAATAATTGTCATGAACAGCTGATTATTCACATTAAATGTAGGAATATGGCGACTTCGCGTGCTCGTACCTAACACTTGGCCTCGCTTGGCCCTCTATTGGCCGATCACGCTCAATATGCACGCCTTCATTTACTTCCGGCCGAACCACAAAATCGGACATGGGAACGTCGACTTTGGAAAGGTAAGATCGACTCTGGGAATATTGAATGGTATACTTATAACCGGTCTGTGTGACTTATAAATCATACCAGCTGTGCTCTCTGTTCCATGCGATGGTAACTGAAAATGAAGACCCGAGCCGGTTTGCTTCCTAGATTTCTCTGCATTGTGAGCCTTCTCGTACCACGAGTTGCGTCTCATAGCCATATTTCTGCTGCTATTGGTCAATGTTCATTAAACCTCCCGGAAGCATTACAATCTCAGGCGCAGTTAGGATGTCCACATCCAATTGACGCGGAGACCGCCGATAGACCCGTTGAATGGTCGCCATGGACGCATCCACCAGAGTGTGTGCACTCGAAAAAGTCGCCAGGGGCTTCGTACTGCGTTTACTCTAATTCGCAGCACGGGAACGGGGGTGTCAGCATAATTACAAGGCCAGAAACTGCAGCAAGCACCCTTGAAATCCTAAACGACTCCGGGTACACTCATCTAAAACACTTCGTCAACAATAGCGCTGGACCAGCTTACGAAGTTACCGACATCCCCGGTAAGGGGAAGGGAGTCTTTGCGACACGCCATATAAAGCGCGCCGAAGCAATTATGGCGGATTGGGCCGCATTGGTAGTGGACTTGGACCTCCCGACCTCGATATTGCGGACCGAAGGGTATAAGCTATTTCATAGAGCTGTAGATCAGCTAGCAGATCCAGATCGCGTGCTTCAGCTGGCTCGGAGCAGCGCGTTCTCAGGCGACATCATAGAGGATATTCTGAGGACAAACTCATTTTCTTACACGCTGGCGGATGATTCTCATATGACATTATACCCGGACGTTTCTGTGAGTTCACTCAGATACCACCATGAGTTGGTGCTGATGGAATGCTAATGGTATCTGACAGAGAGTTAACCATGCATGCCGTCCAAAGTAAGTACCTCTTTGGTGGAAATTACAACTTAAGGATACTGAAGAAAGCTAAATAAGCAATTAGTTCTTTTATAAGGTTTACGCTTTCAAGTTTGGCCGTAAGTGTTGTGGCTTTAAGAGATATCGAGCCTGGAGAGGAAATCACAATTACCTGTATGTTCTAATAGCAGAGCTATGTTATATGCGCATCGCTAATGATTCTCCCAGACGTACCCATAGGAAATACAAAGGAAGAAAGACAGACGGCACTGAAGAAATGGGGATTTGAGTGTACATGCTCACTTTGCACTGCGTCCAAAACCGAGATCGCCGTATCCGACTACCGCAGAGAGAAGATCAAGGGGTTGCGCAAAGAAGTCATGAACGCCGTCGGGCTGTGGGACGGAACCAGGGCTGTCAAGCTCACGCATGAAGTCCTAGAACTTATGAAGGCAGAGGACCTTACGCCGCTTTACTCCAGCCAGTATGAGATTATGGCGCGGTTGTACTGGAAGGCGGGGGATAAGACGACAGCGACTAAATACGCGCAGATGTCTTTAGACACGTTGGTAGACCAGGGATATATCGAAGATACCCCGGATGCATTGTCGATATTATTACAGACTTTTGATTAGACTGGTAGAGGATATTTTGCTCTTTCGGCCCCTCGGTTTAAATAAATTGTGTTGGGATCCCTTTTCGAGAAGTAAGGGGGTATGCCATACATATTATCTTGGCTTCTATGTATCTAATAGATCAATTATATGTACATATAACTTGGGACTATACTCGGCACTAGAACCTATTATATTATACAATATAATCTTTCGGCTGTTTACAAATGTTACATGAGATAAATTGAGTCTGCCAAGTTGGAGTGTCTGGGCAACTCTGCCTACCTCATACATGCAACTACCGAGGGGTTTCACGTTTATATGAATATTATTGGACTAAACAAACCATCCCCTCAAATTACCGACATCGATTACATCTACCGGCTCGTTCTCTGACAGGAAACCCTTACATATTGTATTTATAGTTACGATTCCAGATCAAACTGAAACTGCACGTGTCAAGTCCTTATAACTATAAGGTACCCGGGTAGAAGTTCATATAAGTGTTCAACGTGTACTTGCATATATCTCACCCCGCGTCAACTTTTAAGCCTAGTCTATGAGGATATAATATTATTCAAACCAATATATAGGTACCTTACTACTAAGCGAAATCAATCACCATGGGCAGCACGGAAGCGCTCTTTTCAGCGTCTCTCATCTCATCAGAGATTTCTGGTTCCTTTCCTACTGACTTCACCATCCGCCCATTAGAGAAGGGAGACTACGCAAAAGGCTTCCTGGACTGCCTGCGCGTCCTCACATGGATGGGCGAAGTCAGCGAGGCCGAGTTCAACGAGCGATTCGACGAGATGCTAGAGGCGAAAGGCACGTACTACTTCGCGGTAATCGAGCATGCGGGGCGGATCATCGGAACGGGGGCCTTAGTTGTCGAGAAGAAATTGTGAGTCTCCTCCCCCGAGTATTTGAAAATTTGCGACGAGAAATTCTTACTAGAGTAGCATACACCAGCGCGGCAAGTGCGGACACATCGAGGAGATCTCGATTGCAAAGGAGCACCAAGGCAAGGGGCTCGGGCTGAAGATGATCCAGACCCTGGACTCTGTAGCAATTAATCTGGGATGTTATAAGAATATCTTGAATTGTGGAGCAAAGAACGAGCCGTTTTATGTCAAGTGTGGATATAAGAGCTCGGGGATGGAGATGTCGCATTACTTTGAGGAGGAGCGTGATGAGTATCATCGAGGATAATGGTAGGAGAGAGGAAAATAAGGGGGGAGTAGACGAGGGAACATAAAGCAAGGACCTCCGGATTTATTTTAAGGGGTTACCTAATAATATTCGAAGTTGGTTGAGTATTGTATGAGCCAGTCGTTTATTATACCTAGTGCGGTCAGAATATGAATAGAGAATAAACACTACGCAGAAGTGGAATGCTTATAGAGATTGTGCTAATAGCCTGTATCAAAAGTGACGTATAATTCTAACAAGCTGGCTTGATACTATTGGAACCTCTAGTCAACAACTAGTCTTTATTCAAGTATACAGGACAGCGAAGCTAAATCTATACATAGCGGTAGTTGTGTGATGGAAATTTACGATTCCTACCTAGGTGAGCAGGTCTTGTTGCAGTGGCATACTTGTGTAAGTGATGGTTAAATATGGCTTTTATTTAGGATATAGTTAGCCTAGATCTAGGTAAGTCGATTATTTGATATAGGTAGGTACCTATATATTTTGATGCCTAGTAGAGCCTAGCCGCGTCTTACTCCCAGGTTCCATCTCGCCGATGCGTTAGCCAGCAGCGAAAAAAATAGCATTAAATATCAATGACACCATTAGACATGGGTCGCCGTTAGCCCCATGTGAGATCGTCGTTCACAGGGCTCGCCGGTATTGGTGCTCTAGCGGCACCAATCGAGTAATGGTTACATATGAAGTGCATCCCAGCCCTAGGAGCTGAAATAAAAATAGCATTTGGGGATTGGCTGATCCCCGATTACGTTCTCCGTGGGGTGTGACCGTTGGGTCACTTCTCGTGTTAGACATACATAGTTCCTGCATAAATGCAGTTACTCTAGAGGTGATGGTAGCGAATAAAAATGTCGCTTGCTAGCCTCGTAGGAATTAGACCTGTGATAGACCAATCGATAATGTTAGAACGCCTACGTAATGTCTAATGAGGATTCGTGATGAAGTGCAAAAGATAAGATTAGATTCGACCATAGAGGTACATAAAGTGATATGAAATGTCGCTCGTAACTATACACATCTAGTAGCCCTGAGGCAATTCTGTAGTCTTCCTGCTGGATATCCAGCTTCCGTAAATAATAAGAGATCCATGGTATAATCCTGTGTCTAGTCGAATAAATATTTCCGCTCAAAAACCCACCCTAATTCCAGAAACCCATGCGCCTAACATAAATGATTGAGACATATCGACTCGAATCAGCGGGATCACGAGTGTGACTTTCTGCCTGAAGTCTTTTGGGACTCTCTCTGGCTAGACTTCCCGTAACCCGGAGTTGGGGCACTGTCTTCATAGCCAGTGCTGTGGTGGTTGTAGACAGTGACTTTGGGCCGGCGCGCGATATCAACAGTGAAGTCATCTTTGGTTATGTTAGCTGAAAACATATGAATAGGATATGTTCGCGTGTAGCACGTACCGGCCCTAGCAGATCGACCATGCTCATGGACAACAGGTGTGGTTCCAGAAGAGCCACCGGGGTAAGAAGTAGAACCAGCCCCTAGGCTGGTGCGTGAAGACATCGTATTGTATGAGCTTGCAGACGACGAACGAGAGGTACGGTTGTCTACAACGATGGCGTGGGATGACTTGGAAGTGTATGATGCCATTGCTTGGTAGTGGCAGGTGTTTGAGTGAATTGGTATAGAGTATTAAGCAGATTGCTTGATAGATTGCTTGATAGATATCTTGATAGAGATATAGGACTGTGATAAACTTGTCTGGTTGCTGAAGAGAGAATAGGAATGTGAATAAAAAGACGGAGGCATCCTGTCTTTATATAACTAGTTAAAGTATTAAGAGAAAGTACTTTACCTTACAATACTCACAGTAGAAGCCTGTACGTCAAGGACTATCACATGGCGATATGGGCAAGCTTAGCTTCAACATGTAACAGCCGGAGCAAGCATGAGCAGTGCCTCAGGCTGACCCAAATGGGGGCGTATCTGGCGGCGATGAGTAGTGACAGAGTCGAAATATTAAGATACACCGAAGGGGTGAGTCACCCCTTAACTTCAAGGCAGAAAGGGGAAGAGAGAAAAGGGTGGTGTTTGTCCGTGGCTGTTGAGGCAGCAACCTTATTGAGCAATTGAGCAATTCAGCTACATGAGAGAAGAAGGGCTGTAAGTGGATGGAGTCCGAATGACTAACTGAGTGGAGACCATTTTACCAGGGTAAAGAAATTGGTACAGAGTCAGAGAGTATGCCTAGGAGATATTGAAGAGTCAGGTAGAGGCTGTGTGGTATCGTAGAAGTCGAGGTGAAGCTGATGGAAGAAAAGACGATAGTGGCTTGTTGATTGGAACATATCTTAATTGGGGGTATTGGGGGTTAGCTTTTGGCGGTTGTAAATTACCAATTAAGGTATAAAAGACTGAATAGGGTCATTACGAAGGATCGTTAATGTTAGGCCTATGTAGTACCTTGCAATCCTGATGATGGGGGAATAAGAACGCGGAGAGTTCTAGCGGATTGAGGCACGATAGGCACAATTACATACGGCACAGCGGCATGTGAACAGTGTTATCGGGATACACAGTGCAAATAACTGTAATTTAGTATGTATACTGTGTGGCTTAGGTTAGGTACGGATTCGTATAATGTAGGTACTGACCATATTTAATAAGAGTACATACACGAATATTACCTACATATATATTATTAAAGAATTTTACACGTCTAATTTTCAGATTATTACTATTAAATCAAACAGAGAGGCCTACAACTACGTAGTTGTTATATCTATGGGGCGTAAGCAGCGGCTATGTCAGCTTGGTTGACCTTGTTTGGCGGCGAATGCTTGTTGGCTGCCTATTTGCCTAAGAGTTCTAAGGTTAGCCAAGCTGAAGTCCTAGATTTAGTACTTGTTAGTTCTATATTAGTACCTCGATACAACTAAGTGTTTCCTCATATAGGTACTTGTAGTTTTATATAAATTGCTTATAAAGTTTGCTTATGAACACGTATGTTTGAGGCCTTATGTGCATAGGTAAAATCATTGATTGCGTATACAGATAAGTTATTGTTAAATGTGTATACGAAATGCAGTAAGAGTAACAATACTGCAAACATACATGCTTCATTTAGCCTTGCATGTTACCTAAACACTATGTCCCGTTCAACCGCTATGACTAGCTGACTGGTAGCTGGCTGATGAACGGGGTGGCTTGTGACCTAAGGGTACCTGAGGTTCACCGAACTGCACGAATGAAATGTAAAATCTTCATTGTGAACTCAAACGTATGTGGCAAATAAATACATCATAGCTGTAATGGGGGTGGCTTAAATTCAATGGTGGATTAAATTCAAACATATACCCCGCCATCTCAATACCTGGGTACTACATATTGCCAATTAAAGTTGTACTTATGGGCCTTTATGACCTGTTCATCCAATTGAAAGGCATTATGCACATAAGAAATACCCAAAATCTTGACCCGGCGCTGTGCCGCCCGCAAATTGATTAGAATGAAAGCCGGTGATGATTTCACTACTTTATTTGTGCACACATTTAGCTACATCTCGTTGATATTTCTATATACCCTCTTGTCAGAACTATCATTCTATACTAAAATATAACCCTAACTAGATCTTGATATAGACAATCTCATTCCAAGTCTACATCATGCGCTTCCTCTTCTCCTTATCCCTCGTGGCGTCCGTTGCCGTCGGCGCCTTGGCTTCGAGTTCCTCCGACCTGAAGATTGACGTAACCCTCCCCGTCGAATGCGACCGAAAAACGGAAAAGGGCGACAATATCCAAGTACACTATAGGGGAACGCTTGCTTCCAATGGAAAGAAGTTCGATGCCAGCTACGATCGAGGCACTCCTTTTAGCTTTAAGCTTGGAGGCGGTCAGGTCATCAAGGGGTTCGTCGCCATTGTCCCTCGCTGCTTGCTGCTTATTGGGTCTTAACACGTATACAGATGGGACCAAGGACTTTTAGACATGTGCATTGGGGAGAAAAGGTTAGCAAACATCCTCTCTAGGGCATCGGACGGAGGTTGACTGCTTATTAGGACTTTGACCGTCCCTCCCGAGTATGGATACGGAAACCGGGGCGTTGGGCCAATCCCCGCCGGATCTACTCTTGGTATGTAACAGATTGGACTATTGTGGAATAAATATCAGGTAATCTCATACTAAACGACTATTAGTGTTCGAGACGGAGCTCATCGGCATCAAAGGCGTCCCCAAACCCGAGTCTATCGTCACCAAGGCCACCAGCAGCGCAAGCTCTGCTGCCAGTGAAGCCAGCGAAACTGCCGAGAAAGTAACGGCTAAGGTGGCAGAAAAGATTGCGAGCAAGGTGGAAGAGGCTGCCGAAGTCGTTGGAACCCTACTTGTCGATACCGACGACGTCCAGGACCACAACGAGCTATAGGTTATAGAAGAAGTATTGGCTGGTGTATATATGCAGTGGAACATTGCCGTTCTTCTCAGCTAGCATCTTGTCTTGGCGTAAGTTCAGTTAAGGAAGACGCGAGAGCTTGCTTACCTGCCTAACCTGTCTAGATACCAACGCTTGATATAGAACGAATGAATATATTGCTATATTTGATTCTTGCGTTATTCATTTTCAATGCGCTTTGGTTATCATATACATATGAGTGCATGGGTACCTAGGTAGGTATATATGAGATTGTCTGTGTAAACAATTGCTATCCATATGTTGACCTTGAAGACGAAGTAGTATATTTCCGGGATATAATTCGTACTTATAGTAAGATATATCTGCCCGTTAAAATTTTATTCATTTGCGTGAAACTATCTTTGCCAATAGGTATGTATTGAATACGCCGTAAAGAGGCACCTACCTCTATACGAGAAGGGGTTGGAAACTACCTATCTGCCTATGCACCTACCTAGACCTACATGGTGGATAGAGGCGGGTACGGCACACCGCAATTTGATATACTAACGGCAAGAGCATTGCCGTTGTTTACTTCCTAGTATGCATACCTCAAGATGTATGTATGCTAGTAATGATTGATATGTACCTTCTTTTTGAAGTCTCTTATCTCACGGTAATATTGTTCTAGCCCCTCTGCTACTGCATATGTGGCCGGGATATACTACCTAATGCACTAATAAGTACATAAAGTGATATCTTCGTCGCAAGGCTCTAAAAGCCATCGTTACACGACTTCCTTCTTCTCATCATCTGCAGAAGGACAGATTAAGAGCAAAAAAAAAGGCCTCATAAAGTCCAATTGAGGCTGAAGATTATAAGATCCGATTGAAATACATTCAAGAGTCTCAATATGTTGCTCAACTAAAGAAATTTATTTTCTGCTCCGCTAAGACCATTAGCACGAAGCCACTTCGTTATTTTTTATTTTTACTTTTTTGCTTTTTTATTGACTATTCCTGTCGTCCAATTCGTTAGAATTTTCCTTGGAAAAATCATAGGACGACGGGGGTTTGGCAATGCGCAGGCTCCGATTACTTTTACCACCATTAAATTTTATCACTATACATTATGTATACTTTATTATTGTCCCTCTAATATCATCTGTGGTGTTCTGGGGCTCGTCGAACCCCAGATCTAGCATCAGTTATGTCGACAGCTTATTCCTCGTCACCTCTGCCATGACAGAGGCTGGCCTAAATACTGTCAATCTCAGTCAGATGACCACCTGGCAGCAGGTACTTCTATGGCTTTTGATAATCATCGGCTCTTCCATCTGGGTGTCTATTTGGACCGTCTTGGTCCGCAAGCATGCCTTCGAAACGCGTTTCCAAGAGATCGTGCGCAAGGAGCGCAAACGCAGTCTTGACCGGCGCAATGCGAGTTTGACTCTTCTCCCCATCACTCATAGGCTCAGATCCTTGGGTAGGAGTAGGGCAGTGCAGGACAGCGGTGAGGGTGCTCCTTGGGGGCAGCGCCCAGCTATCAACCTGCCCATCATATCTCGTCCAAGCGACAGGAGGTTGGTCTCTGCCATTGTACCTCCACACCAGCAGTCTGGTGTCCGTACCAGCGGTTCTCTCACCCGCCCACACAGCGTGACCACGGCAGAAGACGTTGCGCCAGCTTCCGGCACTGCAGGTGCTGAAGGAAATACGAGTACTTCAACTGCCACCGAGCACGTCGCTTTCGCCGACGATCTTCATTCCGCAGCCAGGTCGACGTCTATAGCCCCTAGCGGTACCACTGCGCAAAGACACCTGTCCAACACCGACACGGCTGTTAATCCTCGCAGCTACCTAAAGGGACATAAAGTCGGACGCAATGGCCAATTTCACGGCCTGACAAGTGAAGAACGCGAGGAGCTTGGTGGCACCGAGTACCGAGCTCTGAAGCTTCTTTCTATCATCGTCCCGCTGTATTTCTTTCTCTGGCAGTTTCTCGGATGCATCTCGCTCGGCGCGTGGATTGCTAATAACTTGCCGGGACCTGCCTTGGAGAATGCCATTTCACCCTGGTGGAATGGCATCTTCAATGGCGTGTCTGCTTTTAACAATAGCGGTATGAGCGTGTTAGATGCTAACATGATTCCCTACGGAAGCTCGTATTTCGTACTCATCGTTATGGGTGCAATGATTCTCGCTGGTAATACAGCGTATCCCGTCTTCCTACGATTGATTTTATGGAGCAGCTGTAAGTTTGACTTCCCATGACCTTTTCATATGACCCTTATGCTCCTATGCATATTGTATATTGGCAACCTCCTGTTCTCACGTGGCTGTCCACGCGAATGTAAATCAATAGCCGCTAACCTAAGATCTTACAGTGAAGATGTTGAAGTGGGTGACCTATGATGATGATTTGGTAGAATGGAAGGAGACGATCGGGTATATTCTCAAATACCCTCGCCGTGTCTATACCAATCTTTTTCCATCACGCCAGACCTATTGGCTTGTTTTCATGCTCTTCGTGCTTAACGGTACTGATTGGGTGGCATTTGAGGTTCTAAACCTTGGCAATTCTACTCTTGAGCAAACCCCTCTCGGGTCTCGCATCATCGATGGACTCTTTCAAGCTCTTGGTATGATCCGTTGCGTTCATAACGCATTAATTAGCGCTAATCTCTGCAATAGCTGTTCGTTCAGGGGGCTTTTATGTTGTATCCATCCCGACTCTGTTCATCGGCCTACAGGTGCTTTATGTTATCATGATGTTCGTCAATACCCTAAAAATGGTCTTACCTATCCCCACCCAATAGCCTCCTCCTGTTCCTCTCGCGTCAATAATTCTGGCCAGTGTGCACAAACTCCCTAGCTGTTTAAGCTATCAAAATTTCTTATAGATTGTGAGTATATGTTAACTTTTAATGCCTACAGGTATATTTCGGTGTATCCTGTTGTGATAACAATGAGGCATTCCAACGTCTACGAAGAACGATCGTTGGGGATCTACGGGGAAGATCCGATCTACAGCGATGCTTTGACTCGTTCTGTCTCGCACGGTCAGTCGAGCAGTAAGTCCCGGTCTCTAAGTCGGATGGTCCGTGTCGCGTTTGCAGAATGGTATGGAGTTGGGGCTGCGCCGAACCAGCTAGAGAGCCGGATTAGCTTCATCAGCCACCAAATTCGTGGGCAGCTCTCTCACGACCTGTGGTGGCTTGTTTTGGCGGTCCTGCTGATTATGATCATCGAAACGAAGCATTTCCTTGAGGATCCGGTTACCTATTCGGTCTTCAATGTCGTCTTCGAAGTGGTCTCCGCTTACGGATGCGTGGGTATTAGCATTGGATCGCCGAACGCAGCATACAGCTTCAGCGGTGGACTTTATCCTGGGAGCAAGCTAGTCCTTTGCGCCGTCATGATAAGAGGTCGACACCGCGGCTTGCCGGTTGCGCTTGATCGCGCCGTCAGACTTCCCAGCGACGATATGCATATGGTCGAAGAGGAAGATCATCTTCGTAGGTCCATGTCGGTAAGGCGGCCAAGCCTTGACGACATGGGCATATGATTTAATGACCGCCACCAATCAATGCGGATACGGTTCCGTAGGTCATTGCTCTTCCCTTCTAAGTGAAGGGCTGTTTCACCAAAGACTCAACGTGACAAGTTGGATATCTCTCACATGTTACGGTAATATACACAAATAATGCGATATGACTCTCTTAGCTACTTGTTTCTTCGACAGTCAGTATCAATCCGACTTGATTTATGTATGTCCTTATTCGCTAGAAGTTGTCACCTGCACCTTCTACCGTATATCGTGATATGCTACACGCCATCATCTGCGATATATTCCTTGTTCGCACATGTGCGATTCTAAGAAACTCGAATTTACAACATTTAGCTATTATATAATCGATCTCATTCATTTAAGCTTAAAAGTATCCCATCTCAACTTAGCCCAACTTCAAGTAGCTAAATCCGGCAATTTTACGAGACTATTAAAAATAAACGAACCAAACCCTCGGATAACCTCCCTTACTGTATTAATCCAGTTATTTCCAATCGCGTTAGAAGAATGCTTGGAAGATGTAACTATACCCACTCCGAGTCCCGGCTTCCCCGCTGTTTATGTGGTCGTTATGCAAATCATAGTGGGTGGGCATATTTATACTACCAATTAAGCCGGGAGGATATCCAAGCATCTTCGGTATTCTTCCAGAGTAAAAACTCCTTCCTCAGTTCCTAAGTGCCAAAACATTGCGTTCTTCTAAATAAATAAAGGCAAAGATGGAACTAGGGAGGCTCTTTGAAGCCTACGTTCTTATAGGGCTTGTATCTCTAGCTGCCGGTGTATATGCCGTCTATCAATGCTTCATTTCGCCCCTTGCTAGAATTCCAGGGCCATTTATCGCCAAAATTAGTCCCATATATTATGCCTACATCTCGAAAAAAGGGCGTATCCATCGTGACCTATATGACTTGCACAAGAAATATGGGAAAGTTGTTCGAATCGCACCTGATGTATTGTAGGTACAGTCAAAGACTTCCCGGGGGTAAAAATCCTCCTTTGATGATGGCAATATATTGATGCGATGCCAATAGGAGTGTCACGGAACCCGCAGCATTCCGAGAAATATATAGTACGGCCCGTCATAACTTCATGCTGACCTTGTTCATTTCCTAATTGCCATGGCAGAGGCGGGTAACAGGTTCTATAAGGCCAAGTCATACTCCGTACTCCAAGGCTCGCGACCATTCGACCTTGCCGGCCAGACGAATGAGAAGATCCACTCAGAGCAGCGTAAACTAGTAGCACGTGCTTATTCTATGGATTTTATAGCTCATCTTGAACCTCAAGTAGACATGGTTTTGAAGATGTTTGTCGATCAGTTAAGGGCAACTCACATTCAACCAATCAACTTGGGATATTGGATGCAATTATTTGCTTTCGGTATTAAGCAGAACACCCTCCCTTATTCCCAAGATACTTATCTAAAGGCTGAAAATGCTATATACACTGACACTTGTTCTGTAGATGTTATCGGAGCTATCAGCTTCTCAAAACCGTTCGGATACGTCGCGACTGGCGATGACGAAGGGATCTTCCGTCGACTTCAAAGGGCTTTCGAATCTATCGGCTGGGTTAAACGGGCTCCTACGTTTTTTCAATTACACCAAAAACTAATGCCTTACATTGGGAATTGGCTGGCTAGCAATGACCGGAATACCTACTTTTTCGAGCTCGCCTCTCGAGAAATCAAGGCCCGAACGAACCGCGACGGCGATTTTAAGGACATTGTGAACCAGCTCTTTTCAGTACAGAAGGCGAAACCGGAGCTTGACGATACTAATATAGCCTTCATGATGACTTCTAATGTCTTTGCTGGATCCGATACTACGTCGACCTCATTACGGGCAATCTTTTACTTACTGCTGAAGAACCCAGAGACCTATAACCGCCTTAGAGAGGAGGTGGAAAGTAAGAAACAGGCGGGGGTGTTAAGCAACCCTGTTACTTTCAAAGAAGCCGAAACTTGTTCATATCTCCAAGCCGTCATGTACGAGGCAATACGTTTATATCCAGTAGTCGGAGACCTTCTCGATCGAAATGTGCCGGAGGGTGGTATGATGATCGATGGATATTATGTTCCAGCTGGAGTAAGCCCTTCGCCCCATTTTTTGAGCTTAACACGAATTAATACTGATCCAATAGACTGTGGTTGGAACCAGCGCCTGGGTCCTTCACCGTTTACAAGAAATCTGGGGCTCCGACGCAGAAGAGTTTCGTCCGGAGAGATGGTTGGATAAGGAGAACGAAGGCACCCTCAGTATGCTTCGCACCTATAAATTGTATCAAAGGCCTTATATAGACTCTAACTCTCCTTCTAGAGCGGTTTTTCTTCTCATTTGGTGGCGGCTCCCGAACCTGTATTGGAAGACGTAAGTTTACCCCTATTCTTATGTCAGATATGAAGACTAAAATATCTATATTTTTAGATATAAGCTGGCTTGAAATCAGCAAGGTATGAGAACCTCTCAATGATATATACTCGTTCTAGTAGTTGACCTATCTTCAGCTCGTCCCAACTCTCCTTATGTGCTTCGATATGAAGCTAGCCGACAATGTGGAGATAGAGGAGAAGCACGGGTAAGCCCGAATACACACCTCTTATATGCATATTCAAACTAACACATGATCTTCAGCGGTCTCCTATTCCTTGATGGATTAATGGTTCACATTACATCGCGAGAAATATAATGTTCTCACGTATACATGAACTCACATGAATAGAGGCATTAGCCTTGGGATGATAGGGGAACCTAGTGTACGTTGTAACGAACCCGATCCAAGTTGGTGATTGTTTCCCTGTTATACCCGGGAATGGCAGAAGACTATGCAATGTCGTATGAATAACGAACTATCACGAGGAATTTATTTCATTATTATAGATAGCTACTAGTAGGTCAAGCGTTATTGAAATGCCCGTTCAAGATATACTGCGAAGCTAGTCGGTGACGCAACTAGTAACTAGACATTTCGATCCCGCAGCTAAGATGTCCGGATTCCTTTTCCCTCAGACAAAAGAGCGAGCTTATTCGCTTAGCCTGTGTATGAGCAGACCACAGTGCTGGATCCAGAGGTCGAGCACGAGGTCAAAACCTTGCTGCTCTGCTGGATGTCAATGATGGTCGCGCCGCTGACTCCAGTACCGCCATTGACTGAAGCACCGGTGAACTGCACAGTGCCGAAGTCTGCGAAGCTAACTAAGCTGCCACCGCTTGAGTAGTCCTCCACGATCCACTCGGCGTTGGTTTGGCAGAGCTTGTCGGACTCGCCGGAGAAGGAGTGGGTGACCTTCTTGCCGGTAGTCGTGTTCTCGATAACGGCCGTGCCAGCCGATGTGCTAGAGGAAGTAACGGTCTGCGTTAGGTATTTATTAGCATGCTGTTTCTACTATATCGTGTTTATATAGTAGGTACTTACGAAGGTAAGGGTATCGCCAGCCTTGATAGGGATGCCGGAGAAGTCATAAGCCTAGAATATCAAGTTAGTACTAACCTTATCAAGTAAAAGGTGACTCTAGTTTATCTAGGGTATGGCTCATGAAGTACATGGGTAGGGCTGATCTGGGGGTTCGGGAGTTAAAATCTCACTTACATAGTCTGGGTACCACTCATACCAGGCATCAAAAGATACCGACGATCCCTGAACAGTGAAGTCGACACCGGTTTGTAGAATCGCAGTGTCACAAGTGTCACCGTCAATACCGACCCAAGCGGATGCCGAGTACTGTCGGGAGCTGCTACCGCCGGACGGTGTCTTCGGGGTGGGGACGACAATACTGCCGGTCACGGTCTTGTAGCCACTGCCAATAAGGACAGCACCAGCCCAGTTAGAGCTGTACTCGACATGGGCAGTGTCATTCTTAGAGGCGATCGCAAACTCGCTGTCAGCGGGCTGAAGCGTGTTCGAAGCACGAGAAACCCTCCTCTCAGCAAGACGCTCGGCAGCCCGCTGGCGACGCGCAGCCGTGCCGGGAGCAGCAAATGCCAAGTTGGCGCATAAGAGAGCGGCGACAATAGGAAGCTGCATCTTGAAGTGGATAAGGAGATTATCGAGAGAGGCAGGGGCGGCGTATGTGTCAGTTAAATCAACAAGGTCCTAGAATGTGGAGGATGATGCTATGCTATAAGAGCTAGAGCTGCGGTGTCTTATATTCAGAAATGATTGACGGAAGGGAGGACGTTAAGTGGTATTATATAGACTGAGCATGGCTCCCCAAGTCTCCCACGCAGTTGGATGCGAGATAAACAAAGCCAAGAAGTATACGCCAATGGGCGCGTCGATGCGAGATTCTCTCAAGGCATCATCACCCCCCAGCAATGATAGAATGTGATGTGTCCCAGATGTTGTCGTGACTTGAAAGATTAAAGACACCTTCCTGATATACTTGGAGGGCCGCCTCAGCTGCCCATTATTCGTATATACATGCTAACGAAGACCGTATCATCTGCCATATTGAACTTAGCGGGCGCTTGGACTTCTATCTTGATCTAGGAATACTTGAATATGCACGCGGTGCCTGGTCAAGGTTCGTAGAGATGCCAGTGGGTTGTCAGTCTTCAAGTTTGCCATGTTGATCTATCCCGATAACGACTATGTCGGATAAAGCTAGTCCGGGTGAACGGTGCTACTTGGAATGGGTTGGAACGCGGGTGGAAAAGCTACGCTGGCTAACCCCAGGAATGTGCCAAGATCAGTTGTTCGACTGGTCATTGGCTGGGGGAATACACGCAAGCCTTGGCCGTAGAGGAAGGTAGCATTGCCCAGCCGGCTCCTCAAAAGCTAGATGAAAAAACGACATGTAAGTCGGTGAGTGAGTAAGTGGGTGTAGGTAGGGACAGGCAAGTATGGTCGTCAAGAAAAGTTATTCCTAGGAGATAATCGAGTGGAATAGCCTGTGATAAGGAAAGAAACCCGCGAGAATGTGGAGGGGAGCAAGGGTCTTAATCCAATGAGGGGGAAGATGGGGGCGTATGGCGTGAGACAGATAAGAGAGAATGGAGTACCAGAGCCAACCGGGCTCGGAGCAGCATTCTTCTAAATATGTTTACAACAACATCGAAGGGAGGTTATGGAAGATATCAAGAATATCAAAGTCCTCACGAGCCTCAAAGTCTTCAGCTCGATTACTATGGATATCGACGTCGAAATAAGCTTTGATTTACAGCACCGCCAAGCGATTAGGGAATGATTTACAGACAGCGCCGAGGCATAGCCAAGCTTGCCAAGTGAGATTTTATCTCTCGGTATTCTTCGTTCTTTCGTTAGGCAAGTGATTTGCATTGGCACATGCGAGACACCTGATCCAGTCGCGCGCTAAGGTGTGATCCCCCATACAGGTAAGTATCTATTTCTCAATCTCCTTCCCAAACCGTTGGAATGCTATCGATATTATTTTGGTTTAACAGATATATACGCTGTCCTGGCCGAGTTCTCCTAGCCATGTCCTATCCAAACGTAAGACCAATCATTCGGTCCGACTACCGGCGTCGCATTTCGACCCAACTATCCTTAGAAAGGGATTCTTTATAGGTGGCGCTACACATAAGTCTTGTTTATCAGAGCTTAGGCTTAGTTAAGGCACATAATTATCTCAAGCTGGGGTATTATACGCAGATAAGCATATTCTATAAGAACTCAAGTTGAAGACTATTGGTCCATGCAAAAGAAGATTCGAGAGCCAAAGTAAGATATCGAAATGATATATCAAAGGTTATCGCGATTTATGTCCGAAGCTCCCGGGGAATTTCCCTATACGATGAGATTATATAATTCCCCTAGATCCTAATGACGAGTCAACCCACTTCCTTTAACTATACTACACTTACGTTCTAAGGTTTCATCAAGTTAGGAGGGAGACTACATACATCTCACTCATCATCTAAGCAGTTATTGCTTGCTTGGTATAGGCGTTTGAATTGTCCTTCAGATGATAGAACTCACAGGTCTATAGAAAGTAACAACTAGCCTATCGATGTATAAATGTGCTAACTTGGCTCCTATTTCCGTACCAAAGGACTCAAAATATGCTTACGCTTATAATAAATATCTACTAGACGGCCCAGTCCGGGCTACTAAGATACGATACTTCGAACAAAGCTCTTTATAGACAGGTCAGTAAACCTGTCTTGAATATGTTTTCAAGCCCTTCACGTAGCGGTGAATATGGATTCCCATATCTTGGTTACATCGTGCGAATGGCTTGCTTGCGTTCAATTCAGCTTATACCAACTTGGGTTACATTCAGCTCTTTATGAGTCCACCCAGAAATATGGTCTCTAAGCCAAGAGCCTCGTATTGAACTACGAACCAGGTAAAAAAAGCAATTAGTGGCTGTAGTAACTATTTACAATTTGAAGTATAAATTACGTATTGTCAATCTAATATTTTAGCCTGCTTATCGGTGGAATTTCCTAACGGGCTTTGAATCTAACGCGGCGAGCACTTGAGCCTAGTTGCTGTGATAGTCTGACCGCGGATTTCTCATCCCAATCGGGCGTTATTCCGACGAAATGCTATGAGTATCTTGATTGCGAGTCCTGCGAGTCTAGCAATTATTCAAAACCTCCTCGCAAAACCCGCCACCTTCCTTTTCAAGCAGTGCGACACATCCGCAATGAAGCCACTTAGTTTTTATCGCTTATTGCCGGGGCCGTGTCGCTCTTCGCATGTTCATGAACCTTCTCGAAATCAATAGCGGTCTCGCTGGATCCAAAAACTACGAACACGTCAGCAGCTTCGGCAATATGGCCAATACTAGCAAACTTACGAGATTCCATTTCCTCTAGAGACTTGCCCTTGGTCTTTACACTCTGTTAGCAAACGTCTTCGTCGGTATTGTCCATTATGTGGTATCTCACCTCCTTAATGAAAAACCATGTATATACAACCAAGGCCCAATTGAATATGCAGAACATCAGAAATGTCCTCCAACCAATGTTGTTTATAGCATGTGGAGTGACCTGAGAGAAGACAAAGTTGAACAACCATTGGGTAGCCGTACCGACTGGTAGATTTCAGTAATAATAACAATACCAACGAAGTAGTGAGTGTGAGTTACCTGCCACGCCCGCTTCCCGTATTCGGGAAGGAAATATTTCACTCATGTAAAGCTGAAAGGGGGTATGAGTGAGCTTATGGTAAAGATAATAGTAGCAGTGACAGGATTACTAACCCAAGGAACCGGTCCCCATGATATGTTATAACTCACTATTAGCAGAAAAGCATCAGCAGATGGTCCAAGGATATACTATAAACTTGAATAGGGGTTACTGACTGGCTTCAAGATAAACCATAGCCACTGCTGCTGCACCAGTACTAGTCAGAGACTGATTAGCTACAGGCGGGTGAGTAGCTGTTAAGCAAGCAATAATGAGCATATACGCCCCCATCAGGAATGATCCACCAAGAAGCGAGCCGCGACGGCCAATCCTTTCGACGAGGAATAGGAGGAAGAATAGGCACGAGACGACTTTAACTACGCCAAAGAAACCGCTGATTAGGAGACTTTGGTCACCAGCACCAACCGCTTTGAATATCTGCGGAGCGTCTTCAAGGAGTTAGCTTCTGATCCGGTGCCAAAGGGAATCACTTATATGAACCTACAGTAAGCTAGACTGGTATTTCCGGTCAGTTGTACGCCTAAATTTCATGTGAGCAAGAGCTAATTGGCCAACAGTAGGTATGAGCCTGTGTATACCTATTTGAAGCGTTATAACGATGAGAAACCGGAAGCGATTCACTGGTAGGAGGTATTCTTTCCAAGTGAGCCCCTCAGTGACGCGCTCTTCTTCTCGGATACCCGCGATGATTTCCGCAAACCTGTCGCTAGCTGTTAGTGGCTGGAAAAGGCGCATTTGATCTTTCGTCGTACTCTTCTTGTACTTGGGTGCTATCACCACCGCGAACCCATATGAGTGACTGCAAAGCCTCTTCCGTTCGACCTGACTTTGCGAGCCATCGAGTACTCTCTTTAGTAAGTAACATTCCTAGCCCCAATATACCGCCGGGGACAAGCTATTACAGAGTTTGATCAGCGCAGCAGACGACTGGAGAAAAATAACCATAAATTAGGTACTAACCTGGAGGCCAATAGGAATCTGCCACTGTTGTGTCGTTGGACCTAAGTGTTGTGATACACCATAATCGACCCAGTACGATGTCATTACACCAAGGGTGAAGAAGAATTGAAACATGCTTCCCAATTGACCCCTTATATGCTTTGGCGCCATCTCCGCGCTATACACTATAATTCTAGAGTCAGCAACTGACGAATCATACATAAATATTCAGGGGCAGTCTCGAATGAATAGAAGAGGGGTATATCTTGATATACTACGAAAAAAGGGAGAAGAAAAGGCCTATTGCTTACTCGGAATGATGACAGTAGCCATACCAACCCCTATCCCCGAAATAACACGAGCGACATAGAAGGCGGCTAACGAGTGAGTATTAATGACTTGAATGATACCTCCAATACTGAAGATAAGCGAGGCCAGCGCAATCGACCACCGGCGGCCAAATCGAGCCGTGAACGGCCACACGAAGAAACAGGAGAAAAAGGCTAATTAGTTAGTGATCAATCATCTCTTTCCTCGCTCTCACGAAAGGTGCAACTGGTATTAACCTACCTCCGGCCTGCAAAAGACTTGTTGCATTGGAGCCGACGCTCGAAGAATTAGATTTGTTGATACGGAAGTCATTTTGGAAAGAGGGTAGCGTAAGAACGCCTCCGACGACACCTGTATCGTATCTATAGACCTAGGGTAAGAAGTCGCACGTATAATGAAGAGAAGATGGGCAGTCTAGCATGGGAACTAGTAGAGTGGCGCTTCAGGTATATATGAGGAATTGTTGTCTTTGATGAAAACCGGATGTGTAAGTAGAAGGGAGGAACATACGCGAACAAGAAGCTGCCAGTACAGCATAGAGCAACCAGATACCAGGCCCTGAAGGTGCCTAATTTCTCCCCCATGGTGCCGGATCTTTTTGGCGCAAACCTCCTATGTATATTTCTCGAACACGTTCAGATATAACGACGATTGATGGAGGATTAGCAGCGTCCGAACTTCGACATGAGATTGACTGCTGATTTAAATGTGATACTAGGAAATGAATATTCATGAGTGCTTACATATCAGCTAAATAAATATAAAAAGCATACGATGGCCTGGTATATCTTATATGCCTATACCTTGGACATGTGTGTAGAAACACATCAGTCTCTACACCCGTATGTTTCTATATAACAACTAGTGCTCAGAGCTATTTAGACCAGGTAGGTACACGGTCGTTAACAAGTCACATAATTAGGGATCCATGCCATCCATATTTGGTAGCGTCAAATAAGTACACACGTCAATATTAAGCAATAAAATAAAATCGCGTGTAGTGTAAGCATTCGCCTGTCAGATGTCAGCTAACAAGCTGTCGTACTGTAGGACCAGAGGGATTCATCGCGCTTCTTGGTCTTCTTGGTGTCATTCGCGCTAAGAATTGCGAGCTCGAACCCCTGTGTTCTCGGCCAATTATGTGCCTGGTTTCGCTCGCTTGGCACGACGGGGCATGATCCTACAAGGCTGATCGTAGAGTGAAGTTCCGGACGGTCTTTTAAGTCAGGGGAGCAAGAAAGCAAAAGGGGGAGAGTGTATATATGAGATATCTTGTAGTATCACGTTGCTGTCCCGAGGATTCGGGTCAGTATGATAATTCTGTATCAGTATGAATATGGAGAACGGTAACTAGTCGAGTATCTGTACAAGCAAAGATACCTTTCATTCCTATTGGACACCCCCGCAAACGCTCTCGATCCCCCCGCAAGGAACCCTGGTGTAGCGTTTTATTTAATTATATGAACCCCCCCGACTCGACCCGTCGTGTGGTTGCAGCCGAGTGGAACGCATTGCGTCTTGCTTACGGTACTCGGCTCTGTCGGTCTGTCTTATTGATGATTGGGTATGTTAACCCCCATCGGCCCCTTGGATTCGAGGAACCTTTGATACCAAAAAAGACCAACAGTCATTAAAAAAAAGCATTACCAACGGCGACCCGATAAGCTATATTAAAGGGTATCCAATGAACGAATAAGGATAATAAAAGGTATCCAGCCGCAGGATTTATTGCCACCAATGACCGAGGCTCTGCGGCCTCTGCGACCTTTGCAGACACAAGTTTCCAGCGATGCTCACGATCCGCAGAGTCCGCAGCTCGGGCCAGGGCCGACACTTAACCCCGTATCCGTACCGGATCCGCTGACGAAGCGAGCAATTTGCTCTCAGTGCAGAATAAGAAAGGTAAGCAATCATTGCTTAGTCCGGTATCTATTTCATAATACCTATATTCGAAGAAACCAACCCAGCAAAGACACTTAAAGGAGGTATAGTATATGAAGTGTTTATTCTAATTTTCTTAGGTCCGATGCGACGGCAGACCAAACCTCTGCCAAAACTGCGACCGGCTAGGTTTCGAATGCTCGTTCCAGCAGTCCCCCAGCAAGGCACCGGGCCAATATGTAGTAAAGCTACCGGAACGGCGGCGGCGTATGCAGGCGTGCATCCCGTGCCACTCCAAGAAAACCCGGTGTCTCGGCGAACTACCAAGCTGCTCCAGCTGCGTCCGGAGAAATCGCGTTTGTACTTATCCCCGAACTCGGAAAACCGGGACTATGTCTCGCGGCCCCGACGCGGCGGAGGGTTCGGGGACCGACGATAGACCGGCGCACGCATCTCCTGGTCAGGACATCGGGATAGTGGGCCAGACGGAAGGGTCCGCGCTAGATTATGAGACGACGCTGAGTTTAGTCGAGGACTACTTCCGGCATTTATATCCGCTGCCGTCGTTTTCCTTTTTTCACAAGGCGACTGTCCTCCAGAGATGTAAGGACCAGACGATAAACGAAACCCTGAAGCTGTCAATATGCGCCATCACGGCGCTGCAGCTCCAACGCACTTCGCTTTGCCACGATCTCTGGATCCAACAAGCCGAACAGTCCATCTTGCAGCAGGTAGGCCGGGCCTCTATCTTCCACCTGCAAGCACTACTCCTCGTGATCCGGTATAAGATCGAAAGCGGGGATTTCCCAACCGCATTCATGTTAGCCGCGCTCGCAGCACGAACGGCGCTTGCCCTCCGTCTGAACTACGAGCGCCCCGAGCTATCCGATGTTGCGCAAGAAGCACGTAGACGGCTCTTCTGGGCGTTATATCTGCTTGATGATTTCTTCTGTGTGGGGCTTAGAGAGTTCGAATTATGTCCGGAAGAGACGATTCACCTCCAGCTACCTTGCGATGAGGACTACTTTGAGATGGGCCGATTCGTACATACGGGATTGCTCCGGCCCGGACCCTCGGAGTCTTTGGCTACTGTGGGTTTACGCGGCGTATTTCTCCGTTTAACATCCGTTCGACGGGCGGTTATGAGGTAAATTCACATCTAGTCTTATAAGTCTTACATACAAGGACTCCTTTCTTAACCCCCTTTTAATACATCTCAAACTTACACAATGCCGTACAGATTCAACCGCCGCGTCGGACTAGGTGAGGAATTATCCTCGACAATCAGCAGCAGCATCCGACGCATCGAAGAAGAACTTCAATCGCTAAAAGCCACTCTCCGGCCAGTCGATCAATACTCTATATCCAACATGACATGTAGCAAATGGCTAGCCCAATTCATCATGCTGCACATGTCCTGGCATCAATGCCACTGCGACCTATACCGCCTCTGTTTAGACGGATACAGCGAAGCGGCTCCATCCCCAGTCCTAGCAGTGCTTCACCCGCGGGACCGGGTCGCTATGCAGTTCAAGTGTCTCGAGCACGCCGAGAACATCATCCGGATCGTGTCTGACTTCTCAAACTACGAGGACGGCGAATGCCTTCTCGAGCGTGATGCTGCGGTCTGCGCGTTTGAAAGCGCACGACTGGTTATGTTTGGCTCGCGAATACCTGGAGCGGTGTCGAGTCTGGATGTTGCAATAAGTAAAGCCAAGTTGTCACTTGGTTTAATAACACGATTCTTCCCCTATTCCGCTTGCACGCAACCACTAGTAAGTTATCATCTACCTTCAATTATATAATCCCTAGACACAGCTACTAACACTCTGTAGCGAAAGGATTTAGAACGCTTAATAGCCAGCTACTCCGTGCGCCTCGCCCTGCAAACGCAAGGAACGCCCTCCGAACCCGATCTCCCACCCTCAGCACGCCCCTCAACAAAAGTCTCCCAGTACGCCAGCTCACGTCAGCGGCTCTCCGTTCAAAGCCTACTTCTCCAATCAGATTTCGTCGATGACAGCAACGAGATCGCTGGTCCAACGCCTCCACCCGAGACGCATACCGCTCAGATAACGCACGTCTATGGCCAAGGAAACGAGGAGCCCACATCCGCCGCCAAAGCGCAACCACAGTGGAGCACGGCAGGTAACGGGCAGCTACCATCGCCTGGGCTGTCTCTCGATGCGGGGCAGGAAGACGCGGGGTTGATTTTCAACCCTTGGATGGGCTTTACCGGTAGCGAGGATATGTCGGGGCGACCTCCGGGACTTGACGACGAATTCTAGTGATTGGATAGGCATTCTGTGCTATAACATGATACGTAAGCGGTAAAGAAAAGCAATGCCGTCGAAAATAACGTATATGTCCGTGACCAAGATTTCCGCCACTATATATATGAGCGGTCAGCAAAGAGCCGGGCTACTACGGGTGTATTAAGAGGTCTATATATAAGGAGAGAGAGTCATGGTCCATTCCTATATATCTGGGCTACTATGAGGATTAAATATGTGATATTTGTATAATAATATAAACTGGGGTTTGGTATCTGGTGTCATCGGGATGTAAGAACATAGTAGGGAAGGTTTCATAAATATCAATAGTAATGATAACAGTGCTAAACTGCTATGTAATAATACCAATACGAACTGATGTAAGGCTATATAAGTATAGCTCCGGCCTATACTATATCTAGTATGATCTGAGGTATATATCCAACATATCGTAACTTTGGAAAGTATAATTTCAGATGGCATTACTGTTTTCTGACAATGGTACTATGCAGTCCAGCCCGTCAACAAGTATACTCGCCTTGTATATTGTTTTATGACTAGTATTGTTAAGCACACTATTCCCGCCCCGCTCTTTTTAGTCTTTGCAACTCAACTATACATCTACCACAGAGCAGAACGACCCCAGAGCCTAAGACCAAGTCTCGTGTGCTGTTATAGCCTATCTTTTATATGGCAATCTCGTCTTGGTCGACAAGTTACACATCTATAATGTTGAAGTTTGAAGTTACGGATGATCGATATTAAAGAATTATACGTCATAATAGACGTTATTATGCAAAATTATGTGCTTATGGGTCGACTGTGTCTATCCTCATCCGTGTGGCTGTCAACGTCGGCGTCCGAGGTATGCAAGTCACTAGTCTCAAGTTCAGCGTCGTGGTGAGAATTCTGCTGTGGTGAAGTCATGGAAGCCGTTTCAGCAGCGGCTAAATTATGAGCACCGTCCTCGGGAGATACCGTGACCATTGCCGAAAGGGCCGACTTTTTCGAATTCGAAGAATTAGTATTCCTAGCTCCGATGGGTGTTATGGGCTGAGAGAAATCAAAAGAATCGAGATCCGAGGTGGAAGATAAGACGGGACTAGTTTTAGGACCCGTCTGGAATATATGGTTTTTTGGAAATCGCTTAAGCTTAATTTTCGGTTTCCGACCACTATGGCGCATTGCCATCTCAAGACGTTCCTCTTCGTCTGTTTCGTCATCCGTTATTTTATACGGATTTTCATTCGCAATGATGTGGTGGTATGGGTTTAGTAAATTACTTCCACTCGACCGGCGCCGGTTATGCTTTAGTTTCTCCTTCGTGGAAGGGGGTTCAATATGGTTGGAACTCGGTGTTAAATGGTCATATGTTTCCCCGTGTGTATTCGATAGAGACCCGGTCGCCATCCTTCGTAAGTTAACTTGGCTCTTACTAAACACAACACGAGCTCTCAATGAATGAACCGCGCGATCTAAAGCCAGTTCAATGGCACAGCGGTCCCGGATGCGAGCTAATTTAGGCCAGGTCGCACGCTCGCCTAACAAACACGAGCGATGCATGAACTCGGTCGTCGGGTTCTTCAGCACCTTAGGCAAGTCCCAAACGCCCATGGCAGGGAGAATATTGATATCACCCGAATATTTCTGGCTTAGGATAGACCGTAACTTACTGACGAGCGTTGGGAAAATGCCGATTTCAGCCATAAACTGCATTCGATGCAAGGCTTCGCTCTTGGCCAGAGTCGTAATTTTGTGCATCCAATCCGATTCCTCCTTGAAGATTGTCTCGTGACGTACGCTCACCGGTCCCTCGTCCTTGGTAAGAAAAGGAACAACATGCGGATTGACTTGCGATACAATGAAATGGTTGACGTTGAACATCTCGGCAAGTCTCGTCATAGGGAGGTCATTATCAACGGAGCCATCAATCCACATCTGTGGAGTAGGATTCCATGTACTGTGCTCGCCTGTTAGAGGGTTCTTGACTAACAACGGCGCGGCGCTGAAAACGAATGGCACTGAGCATGATACTGCGACAGCAGACCATATCATAACGTTGGGTGCTGTAACGTAGTTCAGTAATCGTGGTAGTTCGTAAATAGACGCTGATGAGACACAAATGTTGCATATCCTTCTTGTGCGATTATATGCTTCCTGGAAAGTAATGTCGCCAAGTAAGTCGCGCATTACGCGCGTCAGATGCTTGATGTCGGACCAATTCCCCTCAGTGAGTAGTCTTCGTAGATGGTCAAAGAGACTTTCTTCGTTACCCTCCTCTTCGAATACAGCCAGATCGCCATATGGGAAGTCCGCTAGTAGTTGGGGAATCTCATCGTCTGTCCTCGAACAGACTACAGAGCAGACGATCGAACCCGCCGACGCGCCTGAGATAATACGCGGGAGTAATTTTGCTTCATACATGGCTTTCAAGACGCCAATATGTGTCATACCGAAAGTGCCACCGCCGCTAAGTAGCAGAGCGCTCCGTCCAAAGCTCTGGCGCGCGTAAAGTACCGCGTCCAGCAAGTCCTTCGGACCTGGATCGTTCGCTCGGCGATACACGCTCTGCTCTACCAGAGCTGTAATAGTCTGCAAGGCAGAATCGACATACCGTGAAACCAATTTCTTAGTACCACAGTAGGAGTGACGGTATAGGTCAATATTGCCCATGCCGCCTAGATCACGCGACAGGGCTGTTCTGACGATATGCATCATGGATGGTATATCACAATTGGTGCGGGCATTATCGAGTTCTCGTAAGCGCAATTCTAGAAGATCGGGGTTATAGTCCCCAGTTGAAATATCTGCCTTCCATTCTTCATTACCTTCGAGGACATCTAGCTCTTGCGCTGCCGCCTCCCATTCACTATAAGATTCGGCACTCTGTAACCGCACCGATAGAATTTGTTTGCGTTCTTCCACCCGTCTCCATTCCGCTCTCTCTTTATGTGTTAAGCCATCCTTGAGGTATAAGAGACCGTCTACGACCTTATATAAAGGAGTCGTATTGGGTAACGACCCGCCAGCCTGTCCCTTACCCTTCCGCAGGGGCTTAACACCGGAGGGTTGGAGCGAAGGGACAGGTGGGAGAACGCCTACGAGATGTCCCATGATGTAGGTACAAGAGGCAGTAGTGTCGATTCAATGTGAGTGACAGGAGGGCGTTGCATTCTAATCTGTGCCATATATATATACCTATATATATGTCCGAAGTCCTCGTCGGTTCGGAGGATGTGGCTAGTTCCCGGAGAATCTAGATCGCCGTCGGTACGGGTTGGTCGGAGGTAATACTGATTAAGGTGAAACGAGGAAACATTACTACATGAAGACGACCAAGACACAATGTCTAGAAAATATATCAAAATAGAAATTAAGTAACGTATTGTTCAACCTCGGCCTTGAATGAAAGCTATAGTACAATAAGAAAAATATAATAAGGGCACTTTTGAGTTAGAGAAGGGTGTTGAATGTATGACACAAGAGGCTGGTTGAGAGAAGAGTTGAGAGAAGAATTATGTAATTTTGTTGAACTCCGAACCTGTTAGAAGCTAGGAAAGGAAAAGACGTCAGGGAAATGCGGAACTAAGCGGGACGCCAACCATGTGAACAATAAACATTAAGATCAGGTGGGTCATAGGACAGGGGGTCATGACCCTAAATAATGGAAATCTACATTTACTACGCTGAATTAATGCACATTATTAGAAAAAGATTGTGGGGTACATGAGGGGTATTAGTATAGAATACGGGGAAGTTTGCTTATGAGAATAGGAACAATATGTGGGGTTAAGTTATACATTGCACATAAAACCAAACACATTCTATGTAAATGTAAGCATAAGCAATTAGAAGACCACAAGACTCGGATCTAGACTAAATTCTTAATAAGCCACAAGTATTACAAGTCCTACAAGAATTGATGTATCAAGAATTCGACTTAGAAGAATCACTATAGACAAGAATAAAATTGTGTCTAATTACCCAAAGCAACCGAGATTATAGCCTGGTAAATCAAAAGGCGCTACGTCCAGACCTCGGAAGTAATAGATCCATGTCTTCTTCTAGACATCTGACAGCCATCAACCCTTTACAAGTCCAGCCGAAAAGGAGTAAATAGCCTCTCTAAGTTCATGTGCAACGCCGTGTTCTATCCAGAAATGTCCGGCGGTTGAAACCTCTACGTAGCGGAACTGAGATCCTTCAGCACCACTTAGCTGCGTAGCCCAATCACGCATTTTCTTCATAGATAAGAAACTATCTTGGTCCCCATATATAGCAAGAGTAGGGTTTGCCGTAAATTTCGCCTCGGCCTCAGCCTCACCTTCTTCCCGCTTCCTGTCGTCTTCGTGGTTTTTGGCAGGGCCACCTTTCTTTTTCTTCGCCCAGAGATTTGAAAAGGACATAGTTGCTAAATTCGTAACGAAGCCTAATGGAGGTGATACTAACAAATAAGCAGTACGAAACCTGATTAAGTTGTTGACATGTTCTAAACATGGAACCTCGACATCACCTCCTGTACCTTGATCGATAGGTGGGATGTTACGTCTCCTATGTATAAACTTACTCCGAGATAATATGTCTCTAACACCTCTCCGTATCTTCTCTTCTGGGTCCGGAGAATGTGCTCTTTGTTTATCACGGGCTTTTGGTGATATATCCTCATTACCACCGACACGCATTCCCAACGACTTTCTCGGCGAGGCGGGAGTAGTAAACATGATCACCTGCTCTTCGGCAAGGTGTTGTGCTCGCAGTCGAATGTCTGCGAAGGCGGTATGTGTGGCAGGCGAGGCGAAGTGAGACAGGTAGGAATCGAGAGGGGGAAGTTGGAGCGTCACCATGGCGCCGTATGAATATCCAGCAAGTAACAAAGTTGAAGCCGAGTTCTCATCTGTTTCGATAGGGCGCAGTTGGTTCTGGGGGGCGCTCAAATAGTGCAGGTAATAAACGAGAAATCCGGTGACAGACATGTAATCGGCTCGTTCAGGCTTTGATGTCCACGATGTGCGACCGTTGGAGGACGAGGCGCCCCTATATTTTAGCACAATAATCAGTTTCATGGTTACACATTAAAGCTAGGTACTCTAACAACTAAGGGCGAAAACGATACGAACCTGAAATTAAATGTCGCGACTACGAAACCGAGATGGAGTAGTGTGCTAGTCACAAGAAGTACAATTGGGTCGTCGTAGGATCCTCCGAGTGGTGCGTATGGGTGGGCAACCACGGCAGCATGTCGAGGCCATGATGGATCGGACAGTGTAAGTGACTGATTAGAGCGTATTGGATGGTAGATGCGACAGTCGAGTTTGGTATTATCGTGAATGCTAGGGAGCGTAAAGCTCAAGTTGGGTCGCGGAAGCATTGTCTAGTTCTCCTCGAACGTATGACAAGGCAATGCATCATGTTGGACTCACAAAAGAGCCAGCTGACGAAGCTTGAATGGTAAAATAGTTGAAATATTTAAAAACGCATTGTTATGAGCCGTGTGTGAAACAAATATTTAGTGTCTCTTTAGTAAGTAGATAGTTTCGTTACACGAACTATATATTCTGTTACAGTAGCCTCGATGACGTTGCCCTAAAACTTGGCGCCTTTCCGAGGTTGGCTCCCGGTTGGACCCCACACCGCCTAGACCATTCGACCATTTTATCTTTACAGTTTACATGTGCATGTACCACTGCACCAGTCTGTCTCGAAAAGTAATGGCGCAGTCTTGGCATTTAACCCTTCTTAAAGAATCACCAATTATATAAGCAAAATAAATAGTAATAAAATTATAATATATATCGTTTTATTTGCAAAAGGCCATTATACCTTTTTATTATTTTAGTTTTTTTATTGGAATAATAATGCGCTAAAAATATAACTTTAAATATATATCTTTAATAACGTTTTAATATACCATATTAATATACTTATAATTCTACCATTTCTATAGCAATAAAATTATAAAAAATACCTATAATAACAATAAAAGGCAAAAAGTCAATAGGTATTTTTTTCTATTTTTTGCTATCTTCTTTTGTGCTTTTTTTTACATATATTATATGGTGTTGTTTTTGGAAAAAAATGCCAAGACTGCGCCATTACTTTTCGAGACAGGCTGTGCACTTACAAAGCTGGAACATCGAAATATTAATATTAGGGACCCATACATAAGGAGATAAGAAACGCTAATTGTTTTCCACTTAGTTATACATGTTTATCAAATACTTCCACTAGTAGGTATCTCAATAGGTATTAATTTATAAAAAAAAAAAAGAATTGTTTCTCTAATAGCATTGCGGCTTTCTTGTATAATGTGCAAGCAGCTAGATCCTCTTCGTAGTGCAAGCGATGTTGGTATCTTAACTACACATGTAAATTCCCCCGCTAGGTAACTTGAGTATTCTCTTCACACACATACGCACACACACACACACACACAATGCGCCCTGCCAAACCTAACTCCTATCCAACCAATGATATCATGTCTCATGCCCGAGCTATGCTTATGAGTGATATTTCTTCTATGATCCAGTGTGGTCCAGCTGATCCCTCCTAAGATCCTGCAATCCCTAAGCCCACCCTCGAGCCGAGTCTCTCCGTTCGCCCTCCGTCTCGTTCGCGGTCGACAGTTGCTCTCATTCGTCGTCCCTCCATCAGACCTCTCAACCCCCGTTTCTGTAACCCAATCACGCTGCTTAATTCCCCACTCCAGACTTCTCTGACAGTTCCATGCTCGCTCTCGCCAAGCTCACTCCACTCGCTACCCGATACGCTTGTTGTTGCGCTTAGTTCATCGGGATCTGGCCTGGACCTAGATACACTGGTATTGATCCGGAGACCTTCGAGCCCTCCTGCTGCTTCATCGGTACTCGATTGCGACACTGACATTGATCGACCCTGGTAAGGGCTAACGGCGCCGCCCCCTAGAGACGACTCGAGACCCATATAGAAGTTGGGATTCATGCTACCATCGATTCCGCGGCCCCCGCCGGCTGCCATGGCAGTGGCATTGAATACGGCGGCGGCGTTACGTGAATCAAGACGAGCATGCAAACGTTCGACTACAGCCTCCAATAGCCCGTCTACCTTGTAAGGCCGGGCAATCTGCAGTAGCGAGCAGAGAATCTGAGGCGTGCAAAGGGGTGATGACGGGGGAGGTAGTGCCGACGTATAAAGGAAGTGCAGGAGAGCCTGGACAGTCGGGCAAGTATGTGGAAGGTAAAGGCATCTCGGTCGAGAACCGGGCGGTAGTGACGCAGGAGTTGGCGCAGAATTGACGTGACCAAAATCTGTTGAACCGCCACCGCCACCAGTTGCGTTTGGCTTATAAGACCCAGAAGAGGAATTGTTTAGCGTAGTAGCCATCGAGAGACTGCTGTCGCCGCCGGTGCTCCTAGTTGACTGAGTAATTGTTATGACAGAATTACGCGCGCCCGCTTGTCCCGACATGCCTGTTCTTAGGGTTGCTGAATCGCTACCGTCCTGTGTAGCAGCACCTTCGCGCAGCAACTGGACAAAGTAGGGACCCCATCTACGTCCAACGATGCGGGAATTGATAGGTATTCGCTCGCCATGGAAACAAAGGATGTCCATGTCTGCTAACTCCCGAAGCATTAAAGCCTTCTCGCCCAACTCCTCAGCCGCCCGCATGTGTGATCTCCCACCGCCGGTCCAACCAGCTTTCCTAGCCGTACTGAGATCAGGAGCTGTAAAAGGACTGCTAGCAGATATAAATCCCGACAGAGGCGATATCTTACGGGGATTGTCGTAGAAGCCAAAAGCTTCTAGCTCCACCATACAGACATTAGAGAAATTAATACGACGGTGATTATAATCGTCGACTAAACTCCTCTTACGATTGCCCAGGATTACAAAAATATTCCGCCTGTTCCAGAGAACACCTCTGTTCCAACTACCCTGGCTGAAGACACTACCGCCCGTATCAATACGTACCCAAGTTAGATTTCTAAGGTCCAAAGCCCACAAGGCGTATTCTTGCTTAGAGCTTGTGAGATATGTGCCGCTGACAACAAAGTACGTATCAATAACTCCACCGTTTGGAAATCGTAACCCGGGCGGGGAATATGTTCCCGACATCGGTTTTTCAGCGAGCGACCCATCCGGGCCTCGAATTTGAAGTTCTAGTTTTACATCTAGAAAATTGTAGTTCGAGTAGATGAGCATCGATGAACCTGGTTCCTTGGCCTCATAACTGATCGCACTGTCTTGACGTGAAGTTTTGCCTATCTTAGAGGTAACGTTAGGAGGCAAGGGAGCGACCACACTACGATAGGCACCACAAGACTTCCCAAGCGATTGTGTCGAAGTCCACTTTAGACTTCGGAGATTGAATACACTAATCTGTTCAATGTAATGGTTCGCTCCATCCTGGCCGCCAACCACAACCATCTCGGCCCCTCCAGCACCGTCAATGTTGATGCCAATTCTACCCTCATTCGGGTTCCCGTTCGAGGGATTATGTTGCAAAGCAGATAGAGGGGCCTTGTGCGACGAAAATGTCGCTGAAGAGGGCAGAATACACGCGCAGTGAGCGTAACGGCCTTGCGGGGCGTCCTGGGAGGGGACATAAGTCCATTTATTTGTTATGACGTCGTAGATGTATATATCAGACATCACAGTTACTTCAGGTTGCTGATCGGGGGCTGCCGACGTAGGCTGATTAGTTGTAGGTGACATACCCCCGTAACAAACCATCTTAGTATCACCCAGAGCACACATGGAATGGAAATAACGAGGTGGAGGGATATCTCCAGTGGTCTCAATCTTGGTCCAGTGTCTCCGAATAAGATCCAACTCGTAAAGATCCGAGGTAAGGGGAGCCGGCCGGCTTCGCGATAGAATACGCCCGCCAAAAACATATAGCTTATCCCCAAGTATCGTAGTTGTTGCCCCGACCAGAGGGTGAGGCTCTTGGCCAGTAGTTCGGTGAACATTACACATCAACCCGGACAAGTGAGCGGAAGACCCCGAAGTCGCGGGAGTGCCAACAGCGGCACTAATAGAAGGATTTCTACCCGTAGAGGCCATCGCCGGAGAGGGGCCAGCCGAGAGAGGTCCATTACTTCGGGGTGTCAGATTATCCCTCTGGCCATCCCCACCATCAGTTCTCAAACTAGCTATACTGCTCTGGCTGCTGCTCATATCCATGCCACCGTTATACATCTGATTTGAGAACATTGAAGCGTTGGAATCCATAGCGTTTGTTCCACTATCTACGTTTGCGTCGTTGGCAATATTATTCTCAGCTATAGTAGTCAAATTATCTTGCGGAGCATTCAACGAGATCGCGGGAGGTGCGAGACTCGAGGGGGATAGTGAAGGTGGTGGTGGCGCTGGGAGCGGTTTCTCGAGGCTATTTTGCAGACTCAGATTCCTGACATGTTGCAAAGGTGGTGGTCGCGTTTGAACAGGTGTCCCACTAGATTCTGACACTACAGGACTCGCGTTATGCGTTTTGAGAGAGGCTAGTCTTGAAGGTACTCTTGCAAATCTTAAAGAATCTTCTCGACTAGGAATAGCCTTTCTAAGACCTCGATAGACGTCGGAGAAGAGATCGGATGGGGATTTCGAGTGAGCGTGTCGACGGTCGTGGTCATCTACTTCGCTCTCGTAGATGTCGTCGAGGAATTGCGGACTAGCTTGACGGTCTGGTTGACCCGTAGTTAGACTAGCACCAGACGTAGACATTTTAGCCCCTCCCTCTTAGCCGCGAGTTACACGACGATGTTCAGGGCTGAAGAAGAGATCTAGAAGACGAGGAACAGAGCCTCAAAAATAGAAAGGTGCCAGAAACCCGGGTGAGTACTACTCTAATACAATACCAGGGGTAGCTAGGAGGTAGAACCGGAAAAGGTATTATTAGGAGACACGGCACTAGGATTAAGATAACAGGGGATATTTCTTCGGTCGGGCTTGGAAGACGCGACGACGGTAAGGCTAAGGCTAACGAAAGACCACGAGGCGGCTCTAAGCCAGGGGTACCACGAGAGCTTGATGAACATGGGATATCGTGTTCGAGACGGTAAAGGAACAGACGACAAGCACTGACCGAATGTTCGATGACATACCTTGAATCCTTGTGTAAACAAGATGAGGCCTTAGAAATCGACGTCGCAATTGACAATCTTAAATGCTCGGTCGAACACGATGCGTCTTCCCTGTTCTTCCCTGTCTTTTAAACCCTGGCTCCGTCTGTATGTATGTATGCCGCGCGCTTTCTTTCCGAGTCCCGCGGTCTCTTTACTATAGATTTCTATAGGTTCGTTTCTCCGGGCGCTCCGAAGATCTGAAAAGGATATCTAATTGCACAGACTTTCCCGTATTCTTGCCGATTAGCGGTGGTGCCTGTTTGTA